GATATGAAAATAACCGTAAAGCTCAAGGCAACGTCACGTACAGTAAAATTGGATAATTGTTCTGTTTGATCTTTTGTGTTCCTATCAAATTCGTTTTTGACGTGCTTTAGTCTAGATTCTGAAAACCCTATGAGCTTATTGGGCAAGTGTATCTAGGTCATATAAAAACGTGTGGCACTCGGGGTCTGCCGCGGTAAAGCTATTGCATAGCATTTTTTATCAACTTATGCAATTATTATTATTATTTATTTTTTATTTATGCAGTATTTTTTTAAATATTAATTCAAGTTTTTTCTTTGATAGTAATTCAATCTACGACTCTACCACTCTACCAGCCTAAGACTAACACGCCTATATAGTCTGTCTCACTCTAACGTCTACCGGCTGCACCGGCCGCGCTTACGCTACATCACCGATCTCGTCAGAGAGATCTGAATACGCAGTATGCGTTTTGTCCCTCTCTAACGCGTATTGAGCGCTCCTATATTACGTCATCATGTGTTAGGTTTTTATTTACGTTACGGAATTTTTTGATTCGGTCGCCGCGCTTAAACCCGCGATAAAATCTATGCAATAGCGTTGAATATTCCTAGAGAAATAATTAGTTCGGGTGAGAACTATTGTAACGAACTTGAATTACAGTAAAGCCAAATCGGTAAACAGATTTCTCCCAACAGACAATTTCATAACAAAATGTTGGCATTGTGGATCGGACACGGCACGCTCTACAAACGGTGACCTTAAACTATCAAGGTCATGTGCAGCGGGCAGATATTTCTTAAAATACAATTGTTTTTAATGATAGTGAAGAAACTTTAGTTTTTCTCGACAGTAATCTAAGAATAATATATTTGCAGTGGAGCTGACTTTTATATGTACCTAGTTTAATAATTCCTTTTCTTGTGATTTTTGATTTAAAAAAAGGTTATAATTTTGAAGTGTACCTATGTATGTGTTGGAATTTGTTAATCTTTGGGTATGATCTTTAGGCTTTCTACGTTTGCATATTTGTCGACATATTTAAATGAATGAAATGAAACTAAACTTCGTATATTTGACTGACAGTCATAACAACTTAGGGGATCCATATTTTATTTTAATCTGTTAAGTTATTTATCTATCCACAGATTTCTGGAGGGAACAGTATAGGTACATATAAATTATATTTCAAGTCAATTATATTTTTAGTTGAAATCGAGTCGGACTTATTTAAAATCTTCATCTAATCTTAAAGACATAATAGAGCATACCAATTCTTAAAAGGCCGGCAACGCACTCGCGAGCCCTCTGGCATTGAGTGTCCATGAGCGTCGGTATCACTTAACACCAGATGAGTTTGCCCAAAAAAATCTATCTTTTTAAAACTTTTTCTTTTTCATGTGTCCTTTTTTCACTGTTTACATGTTTTAATTGCTTTGTTTTGTTGCATTCGTTTTGTCTATATGTCTTATGCATTTTTGCACTGCTTGTGCTTGCCTTATCTAAAAAAAAAGAGTGTGTGTACTTATGTACACGCGTTAGAAGTTATACTTCTTTGGCGTATGGAAAAAAAATAACTAAAATGCAGTAGTGATTAACGATAAATATATTCAAATTAATCAATAAAATTATTAGCAGTAAATACTATCACCGTCGTATATAATATGAAATTGATTGAATAAAAACACCAAAATAATATATATTTATTCACACTTTTTAATTGTACTGTTACGAAACACGTGTTCTAAATATAAAAATACTTGAATATAAAAAAAAAAAAAAAAAAAAAAAACATAGTTATTATCGATTTTCATGCCACCTAGAACTAACTTCATTCTGTTAATTTTGTGTAACGGTGCGCGCGCATCGTAAAATTTCACTCTCATCAATTTTTCATAACGCGCCTAAAGAAGTATAACTTTAAAAATCTTACATTGGTTGCCTGGAAGTGATCGCTCGAAAGCGATAAGGCCGCCAGTTGCTCTCCATTTCAGTTAATTATGTCAAATATATTATATTTCTGCATGCGAAGTGTTAATAAATAAATAAATCCTAAGCTATTTTGTATTAAAAATAGCTATATTTATAAATAATACGATAAATTCGTGACGTGAAATTAAAAGAACCTGCTTCCTAACTTTTTAGAAAGTTGCTATGTGTCTATGAATGATAGTATATTATGAACGGTCAACGATTCTTATAATTAATTGCCCCTTCATTCACGTGTATGCAGTCATTGCCAACAACTATTCACATGCGAGACAAATGCTTTGTAAAGGGCTCGCATTTTGTGGAGTAATTGTTATACATATTGATAAATAATAAATGACACAAATATAAGTCTTTCCTCCAACTTCGATTTTGTTCCCTTTGGAGTAGACTCTTGCGCCGTGGGGTTCAAGTGTACAGGCGCTTTTTAAAGATTTAAGTTGGCGCCTAGTAGATAGTACCGGTGACCCCAGAGCTGGTGGTTTTCTCGATCAACGAATAAGTATCGCAATATAGCGATGAAATGCTGCCAGCGTTAAAGGTACACTGCCACAGGGACCAAACTTTTTATATTTGTTATTATTTTTAATATTACTCTGTAGGTTAAGAAAATTTTAAATACTGTATACTTGATTGTAAATATTGCGTTTTGAATAATTTGTATTAAATGTCTATAAAGAAAAAAAAGAAAAACGCACTCTTTTGGCGTAGAGAGTATTTCGTCTCTTTCTGTCGAAATGTGTCTACGTTGTGATAAAAAGAGACAGGTGACATTGAGACGGTGCAATAAGACTTACTTTTTGTATTTGTATTGTTTATGAATATGTAGGTAACTTAAGATAATTACAAAATATGCCAAACCTTTATAAAGATGCATTATGCAGTTGCTTACCTTGAATCTTTATTCAATTGTTCAAGATTTGTAATTTTATTTAAATTTATCTAATAATTATTTATAGCTTTCAAAGTTTTGACGAAACGATACCTAACCTATGTATTTGCCAAACTAACAAATGCCGTTTTTTTTTTAATTGCCAGACATTTACCAAGAACTCTTATTAACATCTCTAATATTTTTTGTATAATAATCTGGTCGTGTCCCCATGTTATAGGGACGGCACCGCTTTTTATATTTTTGTATGTATGTCAATTTATATAATGTGTTTGTCCTACTTTTGCGGTCCAAATAAAAAAAAAGGTCTCATAGGTTCTTCGAAAACATCAAATAGTCTTTTAATAGGAGTGATGAGGAAGGAAGGTGCTGCTGAGCTGTCTTACCACTGACTGGTGTTGACAGTGGCTAAGTTTGAGGTTGAGACCCGTTCGGGGTACCTAATTACCCCAGTGATCATAACTGTACATTGTACGTCTCGCTACATATGCGTTAGATTAAGTAATCAAAATAATCCTGAGGTATGCCACAACCGAAACTTCGATATCGCTTAACCGCACTTTATTGACAATAGCAATATAATCTGTGTACAATAGACAATAAAGTAAATTCAAAAGTTCCAATTTCAATTTTATTATACGTTAGTTAGTCTGTGCGTAATATATTATTTAAGATAAAGAACACGAGATTAAAATAAAAGCTATAATAAGCACGCATTATACGCTATCTTGAATACGCGAAAAAATATATAACTTTCTTTAATAATCTAAACCCAGATTTTCATACAATCTAAATCAATTAATAATACTTTAATATGATTCATACACACCTAACAGATGTGTATGAAAAATATTTAGTATTTATATGAATATATTTACGATTCCTTGGGTATAGATAGATATCTTTACCATAATAAAGTGCAGAATCAATATATCTAAACCACAGATAGACTAAATTCTATTCCAGAGACAATAAGAATGAACTAACACATCTGTCAAATAGTTATAGACGTTTGACAGTTGGGTGCGTTGTATCTTGACATACGTAGCATTTAAGAAAGAACAATTACCAAACAAAATAGCATTTAATTTCGTCGATTTATTAAAACTCTGACATTTAACCATTTATAATATAAACTACACGCGAGCATAGCTTACCGGAAGGAAAGTTATCATTATGTAATAACAATAAGTGAGATTTTCTTAGAAAATTTTTCATTCTCATTCTAAGGGGCCGTTCAAGTATTACGTAAACAGATTTGCTGAAATTTATCCTTCCCCTCCTCTTGTCAGCAAAAATAAGCAAAGCTCTCAAAAATAATAGTACATAAGCGTATTATTTTTTATAGGAATCCTTGAAAATGCATTTTGTTTTCAAGCATAGACAATCTGTGGGTTATATGTGTAAAAAAGTAAATAATTACTGTTGACTTAATCACGAAATAAGAAAATCAAAGAACCCCCACCCCCTATGGTGCTTACGTAATACTTGAACGACCTCTTACTTGTCTGCTAAAGAAATTTTTGCTCTTGCACTAGTAGTAGTAGTAGTAGCTATATAGTACTTTGGTAAGTGTCTGATGTACAGAAGAGTGTTACGTGCCCCAGCATCCGTGGAATATTTTAGCCGGAAGACCGCATCTAACTTTCACAACAATCAAGTAGTGAACATAACATATTTCTATGTTTTAACGTTATTTGTACAGTCTAAATGGTATTCGCCGAGATGTTAGGCGATCAGAGGTCATTCATTCGAGTTTGTACTTTGTACACAATTATCAGTTCGTACAGTGAAGAAAGAAGAAGCATTGGTCGTACAGCACATGCCGCATAGATCTATAGGCATGGGTCTATCAGATGCCGAGGGCTGATCACCTTAAGAAATAATATTCTGATAGTTTTAGTAGTCTGTACTCTGTAGTATAATCTAAGTACAGATACCGGCAAACATCTTGAACAAATGGGGGGGTGGTGCGCGGTGGCGGGAGAGTGACGTGTCGATCGCGTGATTGGTAAATCAGTTGACGTATGTGTCCCGCGCATCCCGTACGATGCGCTCCTCTATTTAATGCTCAAGAAGTTTGCCGGTATCTGTAATACCTTTTAAAACTGTCAACGTATGACAATTTAAATTATGTTACCTTCTCCATCCTGTCATAGGTTTTTTTCTAAGGTCGTCTTCACTGAGGCCGTAAAGGCCGACACAGGCCAGGAACCAGGCGGTCACGATCAGGTAACAAATGACGATCACACGGAACGGTAGCAGGATGACCGTGAAAATTGCCGTCTGAAAGAGAGAAATTGGCCTTTATTAACTATATGTATACTATCCAACTTAGGTGGCACGTTTGATTAAAGTCGGATTAGTAGTTTTTGTGATAAGGGCATCCTCGATTTTTAGGTTAGGTTAGGGGACATGTATAGGATTGCCACCCGTACTTTTTAATAAAGTACTCTATACTTTATGAGAACAATAAAGTACACGAAAATACTTTATGTAGCATGATTTCTTTAGTCGTCAATATTTTTTCGTTAAACGGAATTTATCGATTGGCGCGGTATCAATGTTAAAATATAGATTGTAAAGATGCTGTGCAATTTAGTCGAGATACTAATTTATCACTAACTGCAAAAAAGCAATACAAATATATTTTTAAATAAAATAATAAAAAATATAAATTATACTATTTACTTTTTCTCTACCAATGTACTTTAATGGCAACCCTCGACATGTATAACATTGTTAGTCTGGCTAATGAAAGAAGATAACGAAAAAGCGCGGCAAATTCAAAAAAAATTGGATAAATGATGTTGACAGGTATCTGAAGTCGAAATATAAGTCTTTCCTCCAACTTTGATTTTGTTCCTTTTGGAGTAGAAACTCTTAGGCCGTGGGGCTCAAGTGCACAGGCGCTAATTAAATATTTAAGTTGGCACCTGGTAGATAGTACCGGTGACCCCAAAGCTGGTGCTTTCCTCGCACAACGAATAAGTATCGCAATACAGCGAGGAAATGCTGCCAGCGTTAAAATATGTACTCTACCACCGCGGTGCAAACTTTTTAAACTTGTTTTAATTTTCTTTTTATTCATTTTTAATTATTTTTATTATTACTGTTTAGGTTAAGAAATCGTAAATACTGTACATTTGATTTTTATGATTACCTATAAAGATGATAGAGAACAAATCTTTGTTTTTAATTTATTTTATTATGACTATTTACTTAAGATATCATGTGGAACATGGTGGAATGGTTGCATCTCCTTACAAACATTGTGTAAAACAAACAACTTGGCGATTAAAAAGAATAGCGGAGAGTTTATTGCCAGTTCTTCTCTTCCGTTCTACTCCCTTGATTTAAGAAATAACTGTAAAATTAGAAGCATTTCATACACATTTCTTTTTTGACGTTCATAAGTGTACATTGTGTTACCTATATAAATTAATTAATTTGAATTTGATATTTTAGTAAAATACTTTCATATTATTTCTTTACAATGTCGACTCGTTATTAGTACCATATAATCAAAAACAATAGGACATCACAGGAGACCGAAGAGCAAGCAGCTACCTCGGACAAAGAATTAGTCTAACTATTCAAAGAACACACTGCCAGTATCTACGGAACCTTGCCTAAACTCCTTTTAATAATATATTTTAGTTATTATATTTTAGGGTTAGTTATTGTTTTTTGTTATAGTAATTCTTAAATATAATATTTATTAAGTCTAAAACTCACTCTGATGCACAAAATAACATTAATGTGACATTTAACATAAAAACAATATTCAGATGCATTTAATTTTTAAAACATCTGGCAACCAAACTCCGATCGTGTAAAATATTACGTAATGACCTTCAAAACAATTTCACATACCAAGAAAAAGTAAAACTAAAAAGCTTCACTGCACTATCGGCCAACGTTCCGGTATTTCACTTTTAAAATTACAGTAATTTGCCAACTTCTTTGCTTCTTTTAAACAATTAACCTTTATAATATAAATAAAATAAATAAATCAGTGACGCTACAACCATTTTAGGTCTAGGCCTCAGACTTCTGTATCCGATTTGTCAATCTAATAGGCAAGTTGGTGATGAACCTTCTGTGCCTGACACACGCCGTCGGTTTTTTGGGTCTCAAGGCAAAAGCCACAAGATGTTTTCACCGTTCGAGCAAAATATTAAATGCACACTTAGAAAGAAAGTCCGCCGGTGCACAGCCGGGGATCGAACCTACGATATCAGGGATGAGAGTCACATCCTCAAGCCACTAGGCCAACACTGCTCTTTTTTAATATACTGTATATTATATATATATGTACATTTTTTTCTTTATGGTTTTACAATAAAATGCTTTGCTTAAATACTACTTGTTAATTTTTTAGTTTATTGACGACTATTGTATACTAATTATTGTACTACAATGATGGAATAACGGTGACAGTACCATTTTTTATTTTGAATAAACCCAGGAGTATGTATACTAGACTGATTCAAAATAAAATAAAATAAATTTTTTTGAGTAAATATATCTAAAAAGCTTCTTTGTCAGACAAAAAAAAACCTCCTAAAAAATTGAGCTTGATATCTTTAAAATTGAGCTGGCGCATGGGAGGGTCCCCTTTCCCATTTAAAATGCATTGAAAAAAAACTTTTTTCTTTATTTTCATTGTAAATCGTCGAAAAAAAATTTTTTTTTTCAAATTTCTCTTACAATTTTTTTTTTCAAATTTAATACAAAAAGTTGTGTTTTTATTTAAAAAACATAAAAATATCCGATACAAAATAAATAGTATCAGAACAACTTGTTATGTTCTCTAAAAGAATAAGTTACGACCAGAATTAACTTGGCTTAGAAATCGTAATGGAGAAGAGAGTGCGACTCTCATCCCTGAGGTCGTAGGTTCGATCCCCGGCTGTGCACCAAAGGACTTTCTTTCTATGTGCGCATTTAACATTCGCTCGAACAGTGAAGGAAAATATCGTGAGGAAACCAGCTTGCCTTAGACCGAAAACTTCGACGGCGTGTCAGGCACAGGCTGATCACCTACTTGCCTATTAGACTTACTAATCATGAAACAGATACAGAAATCTGAGGCCCAGGCCTAAAGAGGGTTATAGCGCCACAGTTTTTTTTTATATATCAAAGTTATTATCACATTTGTATTAAAGTATGAATTGAGTATGCTCATCACGTAAACGTTACGCAACAAAAGAAAGTACGCGTCGTTTTTCTATCGGAGTTATGTTGTAATAGTGTTCGACTTGGCTTCCTCGAAGGTTCTAGAACTTGAACTGTTCCCACTAGCCTACTGACGGAAATAACTAGACTAAGTAACCGTACTTATGTTCGTATAAAAATTACTCAACTTTCAACTGAGGACTGTCTAATACAGGGTTCCAACGCCCATGCCCCACAGGGGGCAATTTGATTGCTAAGGCTATTCGAAAATGTATCAAAATTATTTGTAATTTGAATTTCATGAATTGAAAATATACTTACTGTGTTTCGTTAACAATTGACTAGTAATTTCTTCCTCAAACTTTCTTAAGTGAATAATTATTTTTTTTAAATAAAAATTATGTATGTTCCATAGGGGTCATAAGAAATTTAGGGAAGGCTACGGTGGGGCATGGCACAAAATGGTTTGGAAACACAATTTTATATACAGAACTTGTTTAACAGATCTAATAATAATAAATCGTTTATTTGTTAAAGAAACTCTTACAATCAGATCGAATAATTATAAAAAAAAGGGTGCGTGTACTTATGTTCGCGCGTAAGAAGTTACACTTCTTTGGCTTTCTTTATTTTTTTTAAATATTAAATAATTAATAACAAATATTTAACGTTAATAATTTAATAATATTTAATATTAAGTATATTATTCAATTATTAATTAATATTAATAATAATTATTATTATTATTTATTATTTTACTATATTATTCATTCAATTTAATAACTACGTATGGTTCATAACCTTTTAACTAAGTAACAATAGGTCTTTGTGAAAAAGCATTGCTAAATTTCTTTGAAAAAATAATTAAAACTCCTTTATTTGTTTAAAAGGTAAATGTCATTATGTTCATTCAAAATTCTTGGCATAGCTACTAACTTCACGCATATTCTATTTCTTTTTACTTGTAGATTGTCTTATCCCCATCTCGCTCGCGCACGCTATCACACTGACAACTTTCTGTCTCAGGTGCGCGCGCATCGTAAAATTTCACTCTCATCAATTTTTCATAACGCGCCTAAAGAAGTATAACTTCAAAAATCCGCACATCTATATAAAGCATGAAACTATCATATTAATTAGCATAATGTCATAATAATAAGAACAGTTAGTTATTTATAATGTCAAAACTTATGGTCTATATACTCTCCGCTACAAAGGCACTTTGCCTTTAAAAATGAAATCACCTTCCTTGAAAACATTACAGGGCATTATAGTATGATAGGCATGGAGTAACATTTTTTAAATACATCGTGGTGATACATGTAGGCAACCACAGCCGTGTTGGATCGCTTGGTAGATAGATACAAGCTATGACTAGATTTATGGTTGATTCTAGAATACTTTAGTAATATTATTAAAGCGAAATCACTATCGAAATTTGTAACAAAAATCTATGGTTTATATGCAAGATGAGTTCGTAGTTATCCCCAGCTAATAATTAAAGCAATACGTTTAAATTGGAATATTAAGATTCGTCTTAAAAGCAGTGTAATTAATACATATTAAATGCAATTAATTACATGTACAATCCAATTATAACTATAGTCTACAACAATAAAAAGTGCGTGCGTACAAAGTACACATGTCAGAACTGAAACTTCTTTGGCAAACTAATTTTTAAGTCTTATTCATATTTATACAAATCTAAAGATTTCTGAAGGAAAAAGGAAGATATGTTAGGATTTTAATGAATTTAGTTATCATTAAAATATTAAAAGTGTCGAAAATTAATACAAAGTATTAATTTAATTTTTTAAATTTATTTCTTCGATAATAATAACACGTGAATTTACAATTCGTCATTTGAGATTTCAATAAATTATTTTGCATAAAAACATAAAATACTAATATTTCATGAAACTTACGAAATTTTAATTTTAAAAATATAATTTCTATATAGGTAATTCGCCCTTCTCACCCTCTCTCAATCAGTCACAATCGCTCTCTCCCTTTTCTTCGCCAAAAACGCTGCACATCTAGCTAATATTATTATTTCGTTTCATCCGTAAAAATTTTACCCTCATGCGCCTAAAGAAGTTTTACTTCAAGGAAATATCCTAATCAAGCCAAAAAAACACGAAATGTCATAAAAACAATGTCACGACGCACTCTGTACACATGACCTGCATGTTCTCGAGGGAAACTGTTCACTTACGGCACGAACGGGGAAAGTTGTTTTGACCATTACTTTAGAAATGATCACATCTAATACACATCAGGGACTATTTTATGTTAACAAAGAACTAGAAAAACAGACATATATGAAATTCAAAGCTTCAAATCATTCATATTATAATCATTAAAGCCATCTGTATAGGTAGGTACATATACTTTTTGTAAGCGCCTGTATCACAAGCGTAAACCTGAGTTAGTACCGACAGAACTTCATCCATATAAAAATAGAACCACGCTGGAACCACGTCGCACATTTTTTATTTGGATAATAAATGGTCCAGTAAGGTCGGGAGACAGCAGTGTTTGCCTGATGGCTTCAGCGTGCGACTCTCATCACTAAGGTCGTAGGTTCGGTCCCCGGCTGTGCACCAATGGACTTTCTTTCTATGTGCGCATTTAACATTCGCTCGAACAGTGAAGGAAAACATCGTGAGGAAACCGGCTTGCCTTAGACCCAAAAGTCGACAGCGTCAACAGCGACACAGGAGGCTGATCACCTACTTGCCTATTAGATTGACGAAGGATAATGAAACAGTTACAGATATCTGATGGCCAGGCCTAAATAGGGTTGTAGCGCCAATGATATATTTTTATTTTTAATTATGGGAGAATTTAGAAACTACAACCGTTTAATAATGCCTTAAGCAACTCACTATTACCAATATACAGAGACTAAAGAGAAATAGCTAAAGAGAAGCCCGCGTCATGACAAGTTGATGGGGGAAATGTGGTTTGAAGTGAAATGCATTATGAGTATACAGTACCACTATCAACCCCTTAACATGTCAAGAACGTAAAAGCCAAACCCATATCCTTAATGGTGAGTATTATGATGCATTTTCTGTCAAGAGTTTATAGAACAAAAGACTCGTCTTTTAATATTCTAGATACAACGTTAATTGTACTATACTAGTGGATAGAACTATGTATTACGAAATTGATGTTCATTGATGTTTATTACTAGTATCAGATAATTTCTTTAATGAATGGTTTATAAGTAGAAAGAAATTTCCCATTCAGGTAATTTGCGTATATCGGTAACAGAAGTCTAGTTCTAAATGTACATGATTTTCTAAAACTAGAGTTATTTATAGTTTTCTTTATTGTTAATATCGATCTTGACTACGTTTGCATTCATTTCCTGTTTGGCAAGATTATGTCTGCCGCAAAAATACTCGTAAGTAAACATGAACTCAGTATTAATTTTAATTCAATTTTAAGCATTCTCTTGTGAATTAAAAGAATAAATCTAATAATTACACCGTCCTTAATTAATGCTCGGTTCTGTCAGCATCAGACAAATGATAACTCTATGAAAGCAGCAAAATTAGACTGATTATTTTTTTATTAATAATTACAAGATGTCTACTTCATAGCCAAAACACGTTTTAGTATTTGTGTATTTTTATTTGGAAATCCACTAGAAATACTACATAATATTATTTATTTCAGATAACTTGAAAGCATGGAGGCGAGCATTCAATTTATTGAGAAGTTACTTTAAAGATTTAACTTATTAAAGTACAAAAAGGAAAGGTTTACCTTGAAGATCGATTGAAGATAAATATTACCTAGTACAATACATAATTATAGTAACCGACTAGAAATATTGAATAGGCAACTAGATTATAATTTTATGATTATCTATGAAAAGTAGTCTGATCATCAATATAATAACGTGATCTATATATCATATTATAACATGATTAATAAATCCTACGTTTTCTTTTCTCTCACACGAGTTTGCGCATTGCGCGTGCGGAACATCGTAACAATAATATTATTGTATTGATATTTGCACAGGATTTTCTCAATTATCATATAATAATACTATATAAACTTACGCGTATTTTATCATAAACGTTGTCTAGCTCCAACTTGTGCACAAATGGATTTAAGATTTCGGCTCGCATTCCGTCTGGCGAGAAAGTTCCCTTTTCACAGCGCTTTTTACCATTCATTTTCACTAAATCACTAATACGCGATAGATTTAAATTCTTATAAATTAAAATGCACAGTAAAAACACATTTTATTCGATTCCTTCACGGTAAAAACAAAAATACACTGTAAAAATAATTAAAAAAACACGTTCTATTTTGAAAAGAGAAATTCGACGCAACATTCGACATGCACTACCATGGAGATAGACAATACAGACTGGAATTTAATTTCAGATTTTATAAATCGCTGCGTAGAAATGTTTGACATTGGCATTAAATATGGAGATAGTTATTGACAATTGAAGTTGGCAGTAAAACATCTGTCACATTGAACACTACATATTATTTGTCAAATATCATGTGGCCAATGGTCGCCGCTAATTGTTTATAGTTTTCGTTAGCGTTATCCTAAAAAAAGTCCTATCACTATTTCAGTTTCTTTCATATAGAATATAGATATCATTTATAAATATACCTATATAGTTAACTAGAGCAATAACTGCATATTTTATTGCAGAATGTTTTTGGGCAATAGTAATGGAAGCTAAGATACAAAACCAAATTATTGACTTCTTCTCGTTTTTAGAAGATTTTTACGACACATCCAAAACGTGTTTGAAAAGTTGCCAAAGCAACGCTGTTTCCATAAATAAAATAATTCGTCGCTGCACCAATATTAAAGAGTAAGTCAATTTATAAAAAAACAACGTTTTTAATTCCTGACATTGCCATGATATCTTTACAATTTACATACACCTTTATTTATACCCTTCCATCGAGCTTAAGTGCATGTTTTCAATTTTATTGTTAATAATTCCAGAGCACAACTTAAAGATACACCTTTGGAAGAATTTGAGGGACTTCAAAAGAAACTGCTATCAACGCTTCATAATTTTATTAATATTGAAATTCTAGAAATTCAAAACCAATAGTAAGTAAAAACACAATATATTTATAATGTTATTTATACATGTATGGACTTGGACTTAGCTGTGACTTACAAAAACTGTTATTAAAACATAAGAGATATTACATAGTTATGTCTATTGAAACTTGAAAAATATATATATAAACGTAAATGTGGTGAAATAATAATTGCATATTCAATTAAGGCACTAACACTTAAGCCTAAATGTAAACAGATAATACATCAACAGATATAACATGTCAAGATAGATAATGTTATCTTGTTTTCTTAGGTTTCTTTAATGGGATATTTAAAATTTATAAAAAATAGTTAATTCTGTAAATGTATTCAGTGTTATGAATTCTCTTGAATGAGAATGATAATGTTTACCAGTTTGGTTATCTTATAACCAAACTGGTAAACATTTTATTTCAGACACAGAATAATACATTTTTATACTTCTGTAGTAGCTTATTTGCTGATATTGTATAATGCTTTTTATTATAAAATCTGTTGTATGAGCATTTGTTTTTTTTTTCAAATATTTTTTAGTTCCATTTTGCTGCATTGAATTTGTTTAATAGTAAATTTTATTAGTGTTTATATTTCTTTCTAGTAAGTTTTAGGATTTAGATTTACCTATTCACCTAAACATTTAAAATTGGATCAATTAAAATACTTAAGTTATAAACTTTTTCATTTCAGTTCAATATTAGAAGAAAATTTTGATAAACTCTGCCACAAAAACAAAATTCTACATGAAAGTTGCAGGACTATTGACTTCAATCAAACATCACCTTTAGTGCGAGGAACTCCACTTCAACCTTCGCTAAAACAAATATTGCTGTTTTCAACAGAATCAGTTACATTTGGCGGTCAAGTCACTGCTCAAGTAGAAACATCTTTGTCGGTTCTATCATTTAAACAATTAGAAACAGCACATTTTGTGGATAACTTCAAATTCCCAACCCCCTGGAATAAAAGAATTCCCGAAATACTTGCTTACACTTCTTTCTGTCAAGATAACGTCATTTCATAATGGATTTATTAGGATCTATCTTAAATTCTATGCAAAAGCCGCCAACTGCGAGTGAGGCCCAAAAAACTGCTATGCGAAACCACAAAGAAGCATGTGAAAGAAAACACAAAGAAGAAAAAGTAATGATTAATAAATTTAGACAGCGGGTAGAAGACAAGATCAGTAACTTCATTAAAGATGGTACAAAACCACACTTACAATTTGATCCAATGGATCAAATGTACAGATCCATGATACGAGATGTTGCTGAAACGGCGGGTGTTCAAGTTATTTCTTTTGGTCAAGAGGGAATAGACCGATATTCAGTTATTTATCTAAAAGACAAGGGCCCATCTGAGGATGAACTTACAGTGAGGAGAAATGGAGGTGTTTGGGATGAGGAAAAAGCTTTGGAAATGGCAAAAAAACGAGAATACGATAAGCTTGCTCAGCAAGAAGACGTAGTAGAAAAGGGAAAGAAGCGTAAAAACAATGATGAATTGAGTGGAACATTCTATAAACAGAAATATGCTCATCTTATTGGCCAGGAGGCAGCCCTCGACGCGGCTCAGAAGACGAATGTAAATAAGAGTTACGGCGAAGTCCCGAGTGAAAATAAGAAGGATCAAAGGTCCATTGAACAGACTATGGCAGATATCAAAGCAAAGAAAATGAAAAAAATCGAAACTGACAAACTGTTAGATGTTACTGAGAATGTTTAGTTAATTGTTAAAATTGCTAATAGTTTTAAAACACCAATTGTAAACTTTTGACTGAGGTAAACACTACAACTTTGTGTTCTTAAAAGCAATATAGTATAGTAGGTTAATTTATGCAAATAACTACATTTGTTTATTCTTATAAAACGAGTACTATTAATATATTTTATACAAATACGTCGAAAACCTTCAAGCGATTGTAACATTTTAGTAAGATTATGAAAATCTCCATAAAAAAGTTATTATTTGAGCAATTCGGAATTTTTACTACTTTGTGTTTATGATAACCAGGTATATGATTAAAGAATATGTATGTAAATTAGGTTTTGTTTAATGAAAAACCCGCCGAATTACTCAACTACTTCATCTCTTTCTGTCAAATTAAGTCTATGTCGTGATGAAAAGAGACAGTTGAGTACTTTAGTTATAACGGTGCAATTGCAGTGGTGAGATATAACATAATAATTTGGGATTAGGGACAGTTATCATAAAAAAACGATTATCACTTTCCATTGAAAACTTGATTAGCTATTCCGATTTTTTTTATGTTCAGCCCTAGTGGCAAATATTGCAGTTTATTCAAATAATCCGTGATTTTTCGCGTGGTTTATGTCTTATAATGTATGAAATAGCTAGAAAATGAAATATTTTATTGCACTGTAATTTTAGATAGGTATTTGTAATAGTTATTTTTGTACCTGACAGTACTTGTAATAGTTATGGCTGGATTAAAAATAAAATATTATTAGTGTTTTATTTAACCTACTACCTTATTAGTTTACTTGTTATAACATTAAAGGTACTCCGAATTTCAATGAAGTGAGCAAGCAAAGATATTCTGTTTTTATATAGTTTTATTAAAACCAGTTTTTTTTATTTAAAATTTACTGTGAGAATATTATTTTGGAAAGTTTTCAGGATTTCATTTTTCGTAGGTTTCATACAAAAATAAAAAAATATGTTGTCAACCTTTTATAACCCGAAAAAATTACTGTTTCGCCGGAAACTGTAACCAGTCCGTGCAACATTACTACTCATATAGGATAAAGATCGAAAAGGTACAAAAGAAGTTCCTTAGAACCTTATATGAAAGAAATTGCAACTTATTTCCTTACCTTTACTCTAAGAACTTTTGAACTCTAAGAACTTACTAGATTTAACTGTTATTAAATTTGGTTTGAAGATACTAAATAACTAGACGGTAAGCGCTTATTTACTTGCGATTAGGGAGCTTTCAAGTATTACGTAACGTATTTTTTGGTTCCTTTTGTAAAACGTTACGATGCGGGGTGGGGATTAAATTACGCGTTATTGTTAATATTTTTTTCGACCTACACCACGTAATAGTAACTAAAGAGTCACGAAACGTTTTACTATACTTGGGTACTGAATAACGTTACGGCGAGTTACATGGGGGGGTCAATAATCTCCAAAAATTGCGTTACGTAATACTTGAACGCTCCCTTAGGAGATTGTACGTTCCGGAATGATAACCTTTTTGCTGAGTTTTCTACTCGTACAGTCCAGTGTCAACAAACTCCCATTCCCTGCTTGCTCTCGCAGTTAATGTTTGAGTCTCAATAGTTTTCTAGACGTCGGAGTCGAACAATTTGCAATTTGTGGTGAGTAAGGGTAAGGGTACTGTAATTTAAAAAATAAAAGAGTGATGTATAGAAAAAAGTTTTATAATATAAGTAACGCCAGGAAGGCGGTCGATTTTGTATTGTAGAAATGGAATAGGTTGTACTTACATCGTCGAGTTCGAATAGTAGGTTAAAAGAGATCTTAAATGATTTGCTTTAATGATTAAAATAATAAGACAAATTGCTTTTAAACGTTTATTTACCATCAACACTCAATATATTATAGACAGACAATAAGATTTATATACCCATAAAATATATCAACCAATTTGAGACGTATTTTTTTCATGATATCCAGCTTTAGACTCTGTTGTTTGCATACACCTACTAGAACCTATACCAAACGATAGTATCATCTTTCTTGAATACATATCAAATTGGTTAACCATTTTATAAGGTTTAACATTATATGATTAGAATAGGACAATCTGGGATATGTTAAACATTAAAATTGGTTTAAAAGGACTCATTCATCAGGACTAAACTGACGTTAGCAAAACGCATATTTATTGAGCAGTGTTAAGTTGTCTCGTAGTGGACACTAGCGCAAAAATTAAAGTTTTTCTTATATAGACGTAGGTACATATTGTGGAAAAAAGGCGCTGCTGTTTCCTCAACCCAAAGGGAAAGATTCTAGACCAGTCTACCCTCTGACTTGGCCCAAGGTCTTTATGGCTTAGATCGAGATGTATAATATAGCCTTAACGGTGGGAATAACTTTGACAGCGCGATTTAGGGTATCAAAGTAATTGCAGTTGTAGCCGCGATAGGGTTACAAAACTTGTTAAAACCGATATATTGTTAGATACAAACTTTTATTAGCGAATTAATTTTATTACTTATATAACTCGACGTTTCCTATGTTGAAAACATTTAAGGTTAACCGGAAAATAACAACCTTTTAAAACAAATATTAACTCACTTAAAAATATTTCTATTCTATATTATTTGCGTCTTAAATCAAATATATTCACATCCAAACCACAGGTTTCTTTAATTGACATTCAAAATATTAAAAAAAACGTGTAAAGTTAAATTATTCATTCATCAGTTAATGTTTAAGATATGTAAGCATCTTTGATGATTCGGTTTGATATATTACAATCAGTTTTTTAAATATTGTATCGAAAACATTGTTAACAAAATATGCACTGATATATGCTTTCCAAAAAGATATGTCAAAGTTTTTATAACAATCATTTGATATGGGTACAATTTTATAAATAGGTATCAAAATTGCAACGCTCGTGAATTTAACCGAATTTTACCAACTTCAAAATTTCTAGACAAAGCGAAATGTAGAAGAATTTTAGGCTTCGCTTCGAGCCGGTATAGCCGAGAGCTATATTGTGAAATACCGTCACGTACACAAATAGGTTTTATAGAATAACACTGCTTAGAATTAATACAATATTAGTAAAAATCTATTAACACTGAACGTCGGTCACGTAGTTATAACATAAACATATTAGTTATTGTCCGGCACTTTATAGAGTAAATACTAAACTAATAGATATCAACATGTTATATAAGTTAGATCAGCAATATTAGTCAAAAATGTAACAACAATATATTTATCACATCAAATAGTATCTAAAAATCTACATATAGGCTTTAGATTATGATGCAGTCAGTTGCATTTTATTTTTAGGTACACCCACAGTGAAAGCGTTGCAGTGCGTAATTTTCTCGGTCAATCTGTCATCCTGCCAAATAGACTGCCATCACCTTCATCATCTAAGCCTCACCTGAGCAATAGCTAACTTGAGATTTTTCAACTCCATTTCGATATAGTTTGCAATATCCGTTTCGCAATACATTGGGATGACGTGATACACACATACTGTAGCTTTATTCCTATGTGATCTTAGTTTTAATTTTTACTTTGATATAGTATTTTTGCTTGAGCATAACTAAAGCTATTGCATAGATTTTATCGCGGGCTTTGAGCGCGGCGACCGAATCAAGAAATTCCGTAACGAAAATAAAAACCTAGCACACGATGACGTAATATAGGTGCGGCCAATACGCGTTAGGGCGGAACAGAACGCCTACTGCGTCTCACATCGGTCTCGCGTGATCGGTGACGTAGCGCAGGTACGTTAGAGTGGGACAGAACGCATACTGCGTATTCACATCTCGCTGACGAGATCGGTGACGTAGCGTAAGGTCGACCGGTGCAGCCGGTACGCGTTAGAGTGAGACAGACTATATAGGCGTGTTAGTCTGAGTCTGGTAGAGTGGTAGATTGAATTAATATCAAAGACAAAAAATACTGCATAAATTAAAAAAAAATTATTGCATAAGTTGATAAAAAATGCTATGATATAGCTATACCGCGCCAGTCCCCGAGTGCCACATGTTTTTTTTTAATGGAAATTGGCTGTTTGCCTTTTCTTTTACAGCTTTTACAGCTCAGCTGTTTTGTTGAGCGTAGCTCAGCCGGAATGGATATGACCTGAGAATAACGTTGTTTATTAATAAATCATATAATCATAATCATAATAAAGATCAGATAATAAAGATATGTACTCCAAATACTTGATTCGCAGATACAATACTCTATAGACAAAAAAATAATAATATCTTATCTACCAAGAGTTATTTCAGTGTGGGTGCACCACATTAAAATATACAATATTCCATCTACGGATGGATATATAGGACTAAGCCCGAACGGCGACTATGCTAAAGTTCTACAAATATAACAATTCCTATTCTAAATTCAATGGGTAAGATTCAGAATCGAGACTTAGCGTAAGTTTGCTTTCTGTATGTCAAAAACGTGGATTTGACACATGCGATCATGACAGCTGGATCTTAACCAATGAGTCGTGATGCGTGATTTAATATTTGGTTATCGAAACTTGACTTAAACTTAGCTTTAATCTTAAAATCTATGCTTAAAAGGAAATAAATAGAATACTTTATAGGTAACTACTATTGTCATATATTTCGTATTATTGTCTTAACGATAAAAATATTTTCATTATTGTCATATAATGTTCATTCAACGATGATTTAAACAATTGTAAATATGGAAATATCAAAAAAAGCTTCAAAAAGTTATAAATTACAAGAAAATATTAATACAAAAGTTTTGTTTAGGTTAATAAATCGTAAATTGTTACGATACGTGTCGAAATTATTTAAGTAAATATAAATATTATAAAAAAACATGTAGAACAAATTATTTGCGCTTAGATAGTTTGATATGTGTATTCGAAAGAAAAACACATTTATATCATGACATCTTCTCAAAAATTACTTTGAATAGTTGAAAACTACTGTAACTTGTGCGTCTTCTTTTACGTTATATTTCATTCAAGCGAATTGTGTATGTGTCGCAGCCAACTAGCTTAATTAGCCGTCCAATCAACAGCCTAGCCACTTTCCTAAACAGCGCCGTTTAACAAGCGGCCTGAACGATATTCAGTAATTAATACAGCTAGGCAAATATGAATGAACGTGACGTTTAATTAATTTCCTAGCCTGTTCGTTTCTATTTAGTTCTACTTTCTGTCAATTTGGCGTCGCTCATCCAAACAATAATTCCAAAAATAATTGTATTAAATAAATATTTCTTTACGTCAGATTTAGTTTTTTTATTTCTGTCACATGGTCACCCACATCGCCTAAGCATTAGCCAGCCAGTTTTTTTTAAATGTTGTAACAAATCCTATGGCTGAAAATCATACAGGCCGCTTGTTTATTAAAGCGGCTAGTCTTTTGATAAAACGGCTAATTAAGCTAGCTGGCTGCGACATATGCATTACAGTAAGTAATTATAATTACTACTTAAATAAAGGCAACATCCAAAATTTTGTATTATCAATACTTGATTATTGTCAAATTGTATTGTATTATATGTTATTTTGTACGCAAGAAACAAGATATACAAGCCTATCTTCTGTTACTGATATGCTATTCCTCATCATCAGTTTCGCAGCATCCAGGCCAGCAGCACCCTTCAGTGCCATCAGGCCTGGTACAAAAGAGTATTGTCTGCAGAGAAGTTACGGGGTGCGGTTCTATGCCGTGGAAAACACGAAGGTCCTCTGCGGGAAACCAGGCGCGTTCCTCGTCATCAATCACTTGGATGCCAAAGTACCTGAAATTGTTATTGAGCAATCTATAGAAATTTAAAATGGCAATTACAATTAATGCAACTTTTTAGACATATTTTTAAATACGTCTAAAACCCTTTTTTGGTGGTACTTGTTCTGTGCATTTAAGAAGGAAACAGCGATACCAACATTAGAAGGAAATAAAGTTTGCGCGTTTGAAAAACGATCGATTGTGTTCGTTCACTTCGTTCGGATTACATTAATAATCATACTTAAAAAAATCAGTGGCGCTACATCCTCTTTAGGTCTGGGCCTCAGATATCTAAATCTGTTTCATGATCATTAGTCAATCTAATAGGCAAGTAGGTGATTAGCCTCCTGTGCCTGACACACGCCGTCGACTTTTTGGGTCGAAGACATGTCGGTTTCCTCACGATATTTTCCTTCGTTCGAGCGAATTTTAAATTCGTATATAGATAACAAGTCCATTGGTGCACAGCCGGGGCACGAACCTACGACCTCAGGGATCACACGCTGAAGCCATTACGCCAGCACTGCTGAATCATACATAAAAGGTTTTAATTATCTTTTAGTAGTCTAAATGGCGACGCTGGCCTCGTGCACAATTATTCAAACAAACCCTATTTAAAATCAATCAATTACTTGAACCTTCGTAGTCTAATTAAATAATACTAAAAAATAATTTACGGACTGATTTGAGTCTCACCTGCAAATAGCTAATCCTGGTATCCACAGGACAGAAGCCAAGACGAGAACTAATACCAGAAGTATGGCCCACACCGGCCAGGGCTTTCTTACTGTGTCTCCTTCAGAACTGATCCAGGCGTCGTATCCTGAGCCTTCCACAGCCAGCTCCGCAAATGAGGATATCAGGATAGATATCATGGCCAGTGGAGAAAGGTACTTCCAACATATTAGCCAATAAATTCCAGGGCGTTGGCCTGTCATTGCTTCTATGTCGTCTGCAAATCTAAAACATTAAATTAATTATCAATAGGTATATTAGTTACAATGCGAGATTAGTTTATGCTTGAAAAAAAAAATATGTTTATTATGGAACATAAGATACATGTATCACTTATTCTACGTCATTAAATTTAATTTGTAGGCATCCCTTCTCATCGGCAAGGAAGACAGAGGGTGTAGGCCGAGAGAAAATGCCGGCTTAAAAAACTCTCGGTACTCTTTTAAAATAGCAAATCATCAAACAACACTTATCTATCTTATCTAAATCAAATAACACGAACGAAAAAGCATTACAAAGGTCTATATTTTATATAATTTGGTGCAAAACAGTGGTTTTTAGTAAGTAAAAGTAACCTTACTTTTTATTTTGGTAATAAAGTAATTTATCAATATATTACCTATTAAGTAGATTTACGGTACCGTGTGACAATGTTCCAAAACAAAAAGTATACCCTTGCTACTGAAAGGAACTACTGAAAGTGAATGCTAGATTTGAATAAGATAAACAATGAATCTTTTCCTCCTTCGCATAACCTTTCAATTAAAGACATAATTAAAATAACGTACTTTAAAAAACAGCAATATGTCTACGATATGACGACATAAGTTAGTACTAAAAGAACGAGCCAAAATAAAGCCCTATTTACTTAGAACCTTTCACCGCAACTTACACCCACGTACAAAGTATACAACCTTAATTTATCTTCAAAGGGATAGTACGCCCACGTTATATACAGAATTATTTATATATCTCAGAATTTCAACGAATTTAATTAAAGTTTAACCGTTGAATTAATTTGATGTAAAACTAAATCTAACATGCACTGAGTGAATTAATATTCGCTCCAAGCTTTAGATAATAGATATGTATACAAACTGTATCATCTAATCCCTCTGTCGTTAACACGTTTTACTTGATACAGTTATATTTAGTATATAGTTAAGTAAAGATATAATAGAATAAATAAATCAGAGGTGCTACAACCTATTTAGGTCAGATTTCCGAATCTTTTTGATGATCATTTGTCATAAAGGCAAGTAGGTGATCAGCATCCTGTGCCTGACACACGCTGTCGTGTTGGGTTCTAAAGCAAGCCAGCCTCCTTCACCGTTCGAGTGAATTTTAAATGCGCATATAGAAAAGTCTATTGGTGCACAGCCGGGGATCGAACCTACGACCTCAGGGATGACAGTCGCACACGCCAACACTGCTATATAGAGGTTTACTAACTATAGATATAGTTAAAAAAAATGTTTTATTCTTATATGAAATTAACCCGTGTGAGTTCCGATGGGCGACGGTCGGTCTTAGTATATCTTTTGAGTATTTAGTCTGTCTGGACATAGGAACTTCAAATTTAAGTTTAGAAATAGACAGTAATTATATACAGAATACGTAACTCACCTATTCACTCCGTAGACATACGAGATCCCAATACATTCAAACAGCGCAATTATCAACAATGGAAAGTTTCCGCTATACATATCGAAAAGCAGAAATATATAACTTCCGGCTCCATGCGCGAATCCCATAGATAATAGACAACATAACAAGCAAATTCCACCCGTCAAATATTCCTTTCTTAGATTCGGAAATAGTTTCATATCAACAATCGATGTGACCACTCCTTCTAAGGTCCCGAATTGTGAGTCGATTCCCAATGTGAACAGCATTAAGAAAAATAGTACGGACCAAAATTGCGCGCCCGGGAATTGATTGATTGCTTCTGTAAATATTATAAATGCTAGGCCCGTACCAGATGCTGTCTGCAAATGAAGAATGCGTTTGTTTTATTAAGGATTAAATTGCTTGTATAAGGAAAAGAAATGTTCTAGAATATAAAATAAAAATAAAAAATAAAATATGTTTATTATGGAACATAAGATATATGTATCACTTATTCCACGTCATTAAATTTGAAGGCATCCCTACTCATCGGCAAAGAAGACAGAGGGTGTAGGCCGAGAGAAAAAGCCGGCGTAAAAAACTCTCGGTACTCTTTTAAAACAGCAAATCATCAAACAACACTTATTTAAAACAAATATCGCAAATTGATTAGAAGTAGCCTGTCTAGCACTAGTCCCAGGCCCTTTTATCAACTAGATAATCGTTGACTTTATAGTAAGCCTTTTTACACAGCTTTTCTTTAATACATTTCTTAAATTTATTGAAAGGCAGTGATAAAAGAGCCTCTGGGATTTTATTAAAGAAGAGTATCCCTTTCCCCAAAAAAGAATTACTAACTTTAGATAGTCTAGTACGGGGAAATTGCAGCCTGCGTTTGTTCCGTGTATTAACATTGTGCGTATGTTCTATTCTAGTAAACTTATCACTATTTTTGTATAAATACATAATATTTTCATAAATATATTGCGAGGGAAAGGTAAGTATATTAATTTCCTTGAATTTATCTCTAAGAGATTCCCTACATTTTAAATTATAGATTGCACGAATAGCCCTCTTCTGCAGGATGAAAATAGTTTCGACATCAGCAGCATGACCCCATAATAATAAGCCATAAGTCATTAAGCTATGAAAGTAACTAAAATAAACAAGTCTAGCTGTATCGACATCAGTTAGTGAGCGAATTTTTTTAACCGCGTAGGCTGCAGAACTAAGTCTCTTCGCCAATCCGTTAATATGAGGGGACCACTGAAGTTTTGAATCCATGGTGATTCCGAGAAATACAGTTGTATCATCCAGATTCAATTCCTCACCGTTTATAATTGGTCTAGTATCCATAACCCTTGCATTTTTTGCACAAAATTTAATGCATTTTGTCTTTTTTGCATTAAGTAGAAGGTTATTCATACTAAACCAATGGACAATCGAAGACAGAGCATTGTTCACATCGTCAAAATTTGTTATTTGTCGTTTGATTTTAAAAATCAAGGACGTGTCATCAGCAAACAAAACTATCTGATGTTTTCTCTCTACCATGAAAGGTAGATCATTTATATAAACAAGAAAGAGGAAAGGGCCAAGAATTGAGCCCTGTGGTACCCCCATATCTACTGCCGACCCAGAGGACCTCTTACCATTCACTTCAACCTTCTGAGTTCTTCCGTGTCAATAGGAAGTCAGAAGATTCAGTGCGGTATTCTTGATGCCATAGTGGCGGAGTTTCCCGATTAAGGTCTCGTGTTGGACACAATCAAATGCTTTGGATAAGTCGCAGAAAACACTTAAAGCGTCATGCGACTCCTCCCAAGCCTTAACTATATATCTATATAACTCAACACCGGCATCGGCTGTCGAGCGACCTTTGGTAAAACCGAACTGATTATTATGTAATAATTTGTTTACGTTAAAATGACTTACCAGTTGATTTAATATAATTTTTTCAAATATTACTACAAGTAGGTAGTACGGAAATTGGTCTAAAGTTACTGGGGTCGGACATACTACCTGCTTTAAATAAAGGAATAACTTTACTATGTTTCATTAGATCGGGAAACTCGCCACTTTTAATACAATTGTTGAAAATTATAGCTAGATGGGGAGCAATTACATCAATTATGCTACTAATTATTTTTACAGAAATACCCCAAAGATCGGTAGTGTTCTTAATATCTATGGATCTAAATATCCTCACTATATCGTCGGCACCAATGGGTCGGAATGAAAAACTGACCTTGCACTCGTTTACATTATCTTTGAGCAGCGTTTCGGCGAGGGCGGGAGATGATTGAAGAGACTTAGTAGTCGAAATTGGAATGTCAGAAAAGTACTTATCAAAAACAATCGCTATCTCTTCGTTAGATTTGATTATAGTGTTATCGACACATAGTTCGATGTCTTGATTGCGATCCCTGACTCTTCCAGTTTCACTATCAATTAACTTCCAAGTCATTTTAGTTTTATTGGTACTATTTTTAATCTTGTTTTTGATATTTAAGGACTTGGCCGCGTAACAAACTTTCTTAAATAATTTCGAACATAAAGAATAAATTCTTCATTATGATTGTATGACTTTTCAGCGTAAAGGTCATACAACCGTTGTCTACTTTTATAAATTCCCGCTGTCGCCCAATCACTAAACGATTTACACTGCGAATGAGAGACTTTCTTTGGGGTAAAGATGGTGTTGAACTCTTTATTAATACAATCACTTAGATTGTTGTATTGTGTATCAACGGTAGTACCTACCGGTAATAAAGGTAGGCGTTTACCTATATTATGTCTAAATCTCACCATTCGCTTTTTATTCACTGGAACAAACACACTGCTCTTATTTACTTGTTTCACCACTTTACATTTTAGCGCCACTAACTGTCCACAATGATCTGAGCTAAGATCAGTTGTAATTGAGGTTTGCATTGCCTCTGCATCTGTAAATACATTATCTATACATGTAGCAGTGGAGCTTGTAATTCTAGTGGGCTCAAGAAACAAGTTAACAAGATTGTAAGATTTTAATAACAGATTGAATTTTTTACTAATGGAGGTATTTTCTAATAAATTTATATTGAAGTCACCACATACAATAATATACTTATTGTTCTTAAAACTAACTTTACACAAAATTTCCTCCAACTTTTCTTCAAAAAAAATCGTAAGATGCACTTGGTGGTCTGTAAACACTTAAAATAATGCAATTCTCAATCTCTATACAGGCTACTTCCAAAGAGTGTTCTACAGACAGACACACGATGTCATTACGCTCTTTATACTTTAAATTTTTATTAACAATAATCAAAGAGCCCCCATGAATCGCCGACAATCTGCAAAAAGAACTTGCAACTTGGTGCTGATCAAAGTTAAAGATGATTTGGCATTCTCTAAGCCAATGTTCGGTAATGCATAGGACATCAATTTTACTTGATTTTAAAAACAACTCCAACTCTAATTCTTTGCCCAACATACCTTGCATGTTTTGATGCATCAAGTTTAAACAGTTGTTGTTAGTAATATAACATGTTTGTGTTGAGCTGAGTTGTACTAAATTATTGCTAGAGTTTGCCTCTATTGTCACACTATCTAATTTAAATTATTTATACTTAATGAAGTGCTACTGCAAGTATCACTACATTCACTTAAGCTAAGCTGCTCAATAGAAGCAGTTGTCTGAAAAGCTAAATGTTTAGCTTTAGTTGTAAATAAAAAGTAAGATAGCATAGTAGCTATCTGTTGTAAATAATAGTACAAGGGTAGGCGGAACCTATCCTTTGTCAATACATACTTATTTTTAAATATACAATTTATGTCCATTAAATTAGGTAGTGTACCTAAGTCACAATTTAATTGTATATTGTTAGTAGTTAACGTATTGTGCAACAACATGTTTAACTTATATCTAAAAATATATATATATATAGATTCTTATTGTATAAAAATATATATATAGTTTCGTTTTTACAACAAACTCCCAAGCGTAATTAGAGTATTATCATTGAATAAATTCAAAACTCTCGTTAAACTTAAAGTAATTAATGAAGCTTGTTATAATTATTTAAATGATCCGAAAGTGAGTGTCCATGGGCGGCGGTGTCACTTAACATTAGGTGAGCCTCCGACCCTTTTGCCTCCAATTACATAAAAAAATTAAGGAAACATGTCAATAAAAGATTTTTATGGACGCTTAATGTTTCTTTAAATATGTTACTCAGATTGAAATCAGTCTGTAGTTATTGAGTCTATTTCTATACATATAAACATACAAAAATTCCAATCTTTCCTCTTTACGATTTTAACTTATATTGTTTATCTAATATATAAAATTATCGTGTTCCCATACTCCTCCGAAACGGCTCCACCGATTCTAATGAAATTTGTTATGCAAATTCATTAAGTCTGAATCCTAAGTGATAAGGGATGTCCAGCCCAAAAATATTTTTTATTATGTGGCATTAAAAAATACATACAACCCTAAATTTTCACCCCTCTACGATCAACCCCTATTTTTTAGTATAGTAGAACTAAAAAAATGATTCCTAAAAATAATATACACGGCAAAACAAAACCGCGAGCCACCTTTTATCTTAATCTAAAACATTAATTACGTTAGAAGTTATTTGCAAAGAATATTTCAAAACTGTTTCCCTATATTGTCTACAAATTTTAGTTGAAACTCATCTAATATACCAAAGCTGAAATTTCCAGAGCCTCCCGTGGGGACATATTGTGGTCGTGTTTTATGAAAGCTTTTAATTTAAGTTTTGCTTTGGGAGCCAGCCAACAATAAGAATTATTCTTCGCAGTATTGAATTGAGATTTTTACAATTTAATTGAAATATTTTTGTACGTAATAAGCTTTATTGTCTTGTTATTTTTGCCTTTTTGAAACGTATTTTTAACTTCAATAATTTACCCGTAATCTTCCAATTAGAAAACTTCTTTCTAAGTTAAGAGAAATGCCGTTTGGCTGAAAATCCCGGAGTTTTAAGATGTATGTATGTTTGATGTATGATGTATGCGTATCTAAGCATCTGAGGAGAGGAGGCATCTGCATCATAATAATCCTGACTTATAATAACCAGTTTAATCAAAAGAACGTAATACTTACATTATCCAATTCCTTTTGTAAATCGCACTCAGGTAAATGCGGCATTATTAAACGAGTCAAACTTCCATTTAATCCAACGGTAATATTTTGTCCCGCCTCCGGAAACACCATATCCCTATATCCAGATCCGAACATCTCTAAAAGCGTCTGATTTCTCTCGCTCAAGCATTTCTCATAAACCATAGTTGCTTTGAAGCCAATAATCGAGAAAACGACGATTCCGGCGAACATGGACGTTAAACAGTTCGTCATAGAGACCATTATTGCATCCCTATAACAATTATTGTCAACTGGATTGTATGAGCTAAAAGCAATCAGACCGCCAAACGCTAGGCCAAGGGAAAAGAAGATCTGTGTCCCTGCTTCAAGCCACACAACAGGGTCCAAAATCCTCTGCCACTTTGGAGTAAATAAGTGGATCAGACCGTCGCCCATTCCTTTTAAAGTTATTCCTCTGAAGAAGAATATTACTAACACGATATACGGAAAAGTAGCAGTGACATATACAACTTTTCCGGAAGACGCAATCCCTTTAATCATACACATATAGACAAGGATCCAGGCTACGATAAGAGCTAAAGCTATCTTGTAATTGAATGTTTCTGGATAGTTAATATCCTCTGATATTTGTAAAGTTGTTCGGTACCAAAAATATTGAGTGGGACTGCTTACCTGAAACAAAAGATACACTCGGTATAACTCATGATCGCTATGGGGCCGACCTTATTAGATATTAGACAAGGGCAAGAAATATATGGAGGGTAGGGTAGAGGGTCAGAAATAATATGTTTATTTATCAACTCTTTAATGTATCTGCCGTATTTAGTTCAAAAATAGTTTAGTTGTTTGTTAATAACCTCTCTTGCCAATTCACAGTTAAACACTTAAATACTTATGTTGTTTTAAAAACTATTTATTAAAAAATTCGGGTCACGGTGTTAGTAATAGCAATCCTCCAAAATTCTTTTTGTTAGTTTTGAATTTTGTAAAGTAATATCCCTAGGTGAAATCGCTGCGCAATATTTACTATTTATAAAGAAGATAAAATGTGAAGTGTACGCGAAGAATATATCGTATAAATCGATTCTCAGTAGTTCTCTATGATAAATAAATCTATAAATACAACTGGGAAGCAAGTATCCTCAGCCCGGCACGGAAAATCGATACACCAATACACTGTACACGTGCAAACAATGAAAACTACACCCACGCTAAAGGAAATGGAAATCCAATGTGCAATTTTACTCAATGGGCCATAAGTTCGTATTACTTCTACGTGCTAACGTACGAGTACATATTCCCTCATTTATACCTTTTGTTATGTGTACTTATATTAAACGCGGCCAAAATTATAAATACTTATATAACCTCATATAAATTTTATGTAACACTTATTCACACATGGACTAGTAATATACAGGCTAATAGTTATGATGAAGTAAAAATTGTGATTTTAGTATTGTTCCCCAGAGTTTTATTAAAATGGAATCACCATAGATATCACCTAGAACCAGATTTAGCGTAGTAAGTCGTGGCTAGCAATAAGTATACGACAATATATTTACAATACAGACACACAAGTATGTTTAAGTTGTTAATATATATCTTTCAAGGGGAAGGTGATTAAATTTTGAAAGGCAAGTCTTTATAGCGTGGGCGAGTATTTAGACCATAAGTTTGACACCAATTCTAAGTAACTTAACTTATTATATGACATTATAAAAATTGATATGACAATTGCATGCCTATTTATATATGGCTGATTTCGCGGAGTTTTATAATTAATCTATATAATTATACCACTATCTTAGAAAATAAACGTTTCGTTTCATTTCATTTATAACTTGAAGCCCATTTAATTTCCAAACAAGATACACTATAGAGTCGTTAAGTTTCAACACAGTTTCCACTTTAGAAGCTTTAAGGCGTTTATTCACGATCAATAAGTCAACACGCCTCCGCTGCTATAGGGTTGACAACAGCTTATTTAATGAAATTACGATATAAACTTTTTTTGAAGGTTAAAGTTTTACATAGGTTTATATTAATAATATATTAACTAGTTGAATTTCGTTAACTATGGAATCTAAATGCACGCGTTTCATCTGTGGTTTTTCGGTATGCATCCATTAAGACATCTTAGTAACCTATACTACGGCTTAGTTTGTTTATAAATTGTAAAATTACTTACTTTTACTAGTCCTAAGATGATAATTTTTGATGGAAGTATAATGAAAATATTAGTCCAACTAAAACTGTGGTGAAGTGAAATATTTTCATTTTATTTTATACTGTAGATGTAGCATTATGTATGATGGGCTGTACTTTGATAAATAAATAAAAAGATCTATGCGCGGGTAGCTAATTTAGGTTATAAACCACGTATGTTGGAAATTGCGTAACCCCTTTATTAAATGGTAAACAAACAAACGGAGTTTATGCATTCTGGTGAAAAAAGATTTTTTCGAGTTGCTATGCATAGGTATGATAAATGACACACGTGCAGAAATGTCCCTACCATAAATTACCTACCTATGCTCTCGAAATATCTCAATTACTAAATCTATTACTCTGTTACAACATAAGTGGTATAACTTACGTTTTGCGCTTTAAATATTGCAAATAGATTTGCATTTGAAGCGAATAAAATTGCCACACAAAGGAGAAACTTAATTTTAAATATTGCATTTTTATCAAATAGGCAAATTCTTCTCAATGTTACCCTATTTCTCATTTTGGGGCCAAATATTAAGTTACCATTCTTATATATATTTTAGGTCATTTCAAGTACCTAATGCTAAAGTCAATCGATTACGTAAGAAAGTAACATAACGCGTTTTCGTATAACGCTATTTCCGTCCCCCATATAGGGGGTAAATACCCCCTATAACGCGGAGTTTTCTCAAGTTATATCTCTATAGTGTGAAATTTATAACGATTTGTCAAGTCCATAATTAATTTTACGTACCTTTGCAACTGTTTCAATTGTGTTGTTACAAAGTTAAACTAAATAACTTTTCTTAAATTGAGTAAAAAATTATCAACTATAATTTCGTAGCGTACTTATGACGAAAGCGTAGCCAATAAGCTACGAGTGCGTAGCTAGCCTCTACATAGCAAGTATGTAGCTCACGTAGCACCGCCTACGCTTCTAATCGTTCCATACAAGATTGCACCGACCCTTGGCATTCCTCCAAATACTAATTGACATTCCCTACGTTCGCGTAGGTTTGTATGCGAGATGTATATTTAACTAGTTTATTACTAGGGAGACAAAGCGCCAAGTTTAGTTTTATTTTTTAATCAAAAAAATTCTTTTTCATCAACTTGGCTGTCAATAAAAGTTTCAAAATTCAATTCAAAATTCAAATTCAAATATCATTTAATCATATAGGTAACACATTGTACACTTATGACTTGTCAGTAAAGAAATACATATTTATGCTTCTAATTTTACATTTAGTTCCAGTTCTCAAATCAAGGGCGTAGAACGGAAGAGAAGAACTGGCAATAAACTCTCCGCCACTCTTTTTAATCGCCATTTTTTTTTTACACAACGCTTGTAAGGAGCCGCAACCATTAAACCATGTTCCACATGATATCTTAAGTAATTAATAATAATAACATAAATTAAAAACAAAGAGTTGTCCTCTATCAGCAGGAGGCATGGTGAAATAGGAGCACGCACTTACATTCTCGTGGGAACAACACGCAAACACATAGTCGAAATAATTAACATCACCGCATACACGAATTCAAGTACGACCAGTCACCACAACTAGCACCCGTTCACGAGTATGACGCATGGCCAGCCAGAGAGAGAAAACCCGACGCATAAAAATCTAGTGATGTGCCATCTCGTCACTATATTGACCTCACAGTACACATCGGTGGATCGCCGGAATTCGGGGAATGGTAGAAGATTAGATTTGGTGTAATGGTGGTGTTGGTGTTTGCACACCGCTAGACTTACAAAGCTCCAAATACTACGGCTATATTAAATGCAATTATTCCATTAAGCAAATACAAATAAAAGAAACAACAAGTACCCGTTTCAAAGTGGTTTTCAATAAAGCGAAATCAATTTAATAAAATATGTGTATCATATTGAAAGGCAATGAAATGGAAATTAATACTGAGTTTTATAATCGAATCCTTATTAATTCATTTTGAGAGATTCTGAAGTACAGTCTATACGTGTCGACTTAATATTCAAATCGCTAAGTCTTTCTTTATTCATTGGGAAACGGCTATTTTTGAAGTGAAACTTCTTTAGGCGCATGAAAAATTAAAAAAAAATTGCGGAACGTTACGAAGATGTGCAGCGTTTTTGTCGAAGAAAAGGGAGAGAGCGATTGAGACCGATTGAGAGAGAGAGTGAGAAGGGTGAATTACCTTATAGAAATTGTATTTTCAAAATTAAAATTTCGTAAAGAGAATTTATGAAATATTAGTATTTTATATGTTATGCAAAATAATTTATTGAAATCTCAAATGACGAATTGTAAATTAAAATTCCCCGTGCTTTTATTATCGAAGAAATAAATTTAAAAAATTAAATTTATTATTTAATTAATTCCTAATATATCTTCCTTTACCCTCTAAGCCTCGGAAATCTAAAGTTTTAGATTTGTATAAATATGAACAAGACTTAAAAATTAGTTTGCCAAAGAAGTTTCACTTCGGACTGTGTACTTTGTACGCACGCACTTTTTTTATTTATAATAAAGGCAAAAGAAAACGTATTAACCAATAAACATAAAATTTTATGTTTATTTATTGCTATTATTTATAGAACACTGGGCAATCGGGCAAGAGGCTGATACAGCCTCCCATGAACACTCTTGTGCGTTTGCATTCACGTCACACGTGCTTCTGCGGCCTTTTAAGAATTGGTACGCTCTTTTCTTGAAATACCCTAGTAGAATTGGTACGGAAATACTTAACAGTGGGCAGCTGGTTCCACATAGTTATCATAAAAAACCCTCAGTTGTGGAACGACGGACGTCGAGGTGATACGGGTGGAATTTCGTATTCTGCTGCGCTGCGCTGTATGCGTACAAGGCTAAGCAATAATTCTAACTTTGATTTTGTTCCCCTTGGAATAGAGACTCTTGGGCTGTTGCAAGAAGCGCCTGGTCAGTACCTGACTTCCGAGCTTGTGTTTTCGAGGAAATACTTTAAAAGTACATTGACTCAGAGACCAAACTTTTGAAACTTATTTAATAATTCTATTTATTTACTATTACTAAACATGTACTCTAATAATTTTTGACAATCATAATTACAGAATTCATTTATATTTAAGTAATTAACACAACATTTTATGTCTTCCAACCGACGTTAAATATCGCCCTAACGTTCACTATTTCAAAGTATCGTGCGACGAACATTTCTATCGACTTCTAGTAGGTTAGGTTAATTTTTTCGAGTAGTTTTACTTGTATAGTGCTATTCCCAGGAGGAGGCAAGGAATTCCTATCATTCAATCGTACTCTTACACAAACTAATTAAAAAACAAATTAAAAAGGGAATTCGAATGAAAAAGGTTTTACTATAATTTTAGATTTAACGAAATGGTTCCTTTACCCTGTCAAGGATTAAATTTATAGAGCCAATACGAGCGAGAATTTCCAATTTACAGCTTTTATCAGGCGTAAAGTTGCGAGATTCATTATATATCCATTCATAAGTTTCTGGCCACGGGTTGATAAGACTTAAAAAAGTTGGGGTTTAAAATTCTTTCTTTTGGAGACAAGTTTCACTGACAGTTTAATTAATGATAAGTTTTTAGTCTGTGCTTCAATCTTAAAGTTTGATAAGATTTCCAAGATGCAACATCTAAAATATATTGAATGGATGTGATTTAATCTAATATATAAAATTCTCTTGTCGCGGTGTTTGTAGTTAAACTCCTCCGAAACGGCTTGACCGATTCTCATAAAATTTTGTGTGGATATTGGGTATGTCTGAGAATCGGACAACATGTATTTTTCATCCCCCTAAATTTAATTTTTAGATTATTATTTTTTATGATACAAAATACATACAACCCTTAATGTTTACTCCTCTACGATCAACCCCTATTTTTTATTACAGTAAATAGTTATTTAATGGAACTAAAATAGTGTTTACTAGAAATAATATACATGGCAAAACAACGTTTGCCGGGTCAGCTAGTTTTACATATATAATTATAAAAATAATGGAACAACGTTGAGCTTTTAAGTGAATGAAAGAGGCAAGATTAAAACTTAATTTATAATCTTGACAAAACCGTTTTATCATAGTTAAAAAAAAATATTATATTAAATGTCTTAATTAGGTCACTGCGGGTCATTAAATTCCCGATCACTTAGTACCGGATTAGACTGGATATATTCCACCGTTTAAAAATGTTGTCTAACTGATACAGTATTAGCGACATATTAAATTTGTAATATGATAATTGGACGAAAACATTACTGTATGTAGAACAATGCAGTTAAACTCGTAAACAACTGATTATGTAGGTAATCGGAGATTATCATATTTCGGACATGCGTAGTTTAAAGCTTAATTGGCTACCTATTCGATTGCGGCGAAAGATGCACATTTTACAACTTCTCTATGATGTTCTTTTTAATCCTAAATCTCCTAGTTAAAGCAAAATTTTACGTTCCTGTCTGGCGGTGGTTTTGATTTTCGTTCTCTAGACAACCTAATTCTTTTTTTTTTTTTTTTTTTAATTTCTTTATTTTACGCAAAAATATAATACAATCATAATAAGTTACATTAGCAAACCGCTGTGGTTTATATTGATGTAACCATAACAGTCTTGTTTAGGAGCGCGACAAATGCATATAAAAGTAGTTTTTTAATTTGCTTATATTGGTTGGCGTTAGGCAATCTAATATGTGATTTGGTAGACCATTTATTAGCCGCGGTAGCAAATACCTCAACGTTCTCTCGCCGTACACGTTGTTTGCTCTCGATGTACAGAGCCGAACTTGCGTTACCGCTCGGGTCTGTACATCATGCTCCACTCGTTTTTTTATGTCATCTCGAAAAAAGTGCTCGACTAGAAGACATTTATTAACTTTTTCTTGAAACTTGAAACTCCTACTCATACAACTGAATTCTATCACTCCTCCTTTACCGTGCAAAGTATCCTGCTATGGAATTCCTTACCTATTAATATTGGTATCAGTCTTTAAATTTATTTAAGAATCTTCTTTTTGATGATTTTTCTTCTGCCTCGTATTTAGCTACTCCTTATATATATTAAATGTAACTCAATTAACCCTTGGATTAGCTTTTACATATAATTGTTTTTTGTTTTCTCTTTAGATTTTACTTTATTTTAGTTATAGTAGTGTTAAATGTTATTTTGAGTTTTCGTTAATTATTTATGCACTTCTTGTACTTTACCCTCTGTAGGTGCTTCTTTTTTATTGTTCCATATTAGGGTTGCCTGGAAGAAATCGCTTGTTAGCGATAAGGCCGCCCGTTGCCTAATAACTTATGTAACCTGTTTTTTGTGTAATTAAAAAAGTGTAAATAAATAAATAATCTTAAATATTCCGTGGGTTTCGAATAATTAACTAATAAGATATCTACCGATTATATATAGGTACTTATGTATGGCCTAATAGATTAATAAAAAGTAAGTGTAGATACCATACGACGTAATAGATAAATAAATAGATACCATACAATATTATGTAATAGATATTACTGTACTTACAGCACATTCAGGCTCTGCGGTATATGATCCATTGTTAAAATATTTTTTCGGACACTCCGACCATGGTAACTCAGCTTGGAAACTCTGAGCGAAGTAGAACAAGCACCATGCTATTATCGAGTTGTAATATAACGCTACGTTGAAGGAAACCACTGCAGAACTTATTCCAATTCCACCTAAATAGGGAGATACCTGGTGCCAAACCCCAATGGCTCCCTTTCGCAAACGTTGCCCAATAGCCAGTTCTAAATAAAATATTGGTATGCCCTCAATCGCCAGCATGACGAAGTATGGTATCAGAAATGCGCCACCCCCATTCTTCTGCGCGAGATATGGAAACCTCCACACGTTACCCAAACCCACTGCATACCCGACCGTAGCTAACAAAAACGTTAACTTGCTGTCCCATGACTCTCTTTCTACTTCTCCATTTTCCGGTTTAAAACCACCCCGTTCTTCTACAGAGCTTTCCTTACTCGGTGTTTCGGAAGACTGCCTGGGGCTGGTATCTTCAAACGCCTGGTTAGTCGCGCCATACATGACCTTAGGTCTATGCGAGTGTCCATTTTCTAAAGTAACAAGTCGACCACGCAGTTCTTTCATTTCCATCCGTTCCAAGGATCGTTGGGCGTACAAGTCCCTTGAGCTTTGACGGCGGATTAATTGTGCTGTGTTCGCCATTTTAACTATTTTAGTTGGATAGTGTTTTGGTTCAGGCTACCTCAATCACATCATCGTCATGGCACATTATAAGAGACACTAACACGACGGCGCTTACTACGAAGTGAATGAACTTTCGTAACTCTATCGATCGAATCATTTTGGGATAATTATCTTCTAACTCTATACTTTTCCACTACAACGTTTCATGGCTTATAACTATTTTTGCTAATTATTGATTTATTTTTCTGCGAGTGCTGACGATAGGATGTGCCGTTTATCACTGGCGGGAAAATCTCTAAAATGGCAATAGGAGTCGATGACGCATGCGCAAAAATAAAGGCTTTTATGGAGTATAAAAGGTTATTCAATCGGTATTGAAACCATTAGTTTTAGCTGTCGTAGCTAAATGGCACATGGTATATAATAAAAGACATTACTATTATGATGCAGGGCGCTAACTAACGTCAATTTATGAGAGTTTTGTAGTCTTTTTATTATCTATCCGGGCTATTATATATAACATTATAGACTTGAGCTTATATAATGTTTTAGAAAGCATAAGTAAACATTGACCAACTTTAATGTCTGTAAGCGTAGTTATTTCATAATTGGCCCCTCGATGCCTCAACAATACATGTAAACGTTATTTTCATTATCTTGGGTCGTAGAACCTGCGAAGTAATAAATCACTAGAACACTAAATCTAATTAGTTATGATTACTATTAGTACTATCTATTATGTGCACAACTCAATGAGATCAATTCATAAAGAAAAACAAAACAAAATAGGTACCTAGTCATATTTATGTCGAAATAAATAAATGTTAATGTTGTAGGTATTTATTTATTTGTATGTGTGTGAGAAAGTAAATAAAGCGATTTTACTATTTTTATTAGTAATTTTTAAATGATAAAAACTTTATTGATATTTTTTAGACGAATACTTGCGCTACTGCATTACTAGATCATTATTATAATAAATTTGTAAACAATTTAAAAAGCCTTACAAATTTTTCAATTTTCTGACTTTTCTATTTTTATTGCAAATGTTAAAAATTATTTATATGTAAGTCATGTTAAAATTTTTTAAGTTGGTACATAAGTTAGTTATTATATTCATAAGTTAAACGTTAAAACAAGATTAAATATTTATTTGGACGTCTGCAGTGCAAGCCATACAATCTGTCTTACCAACTCCTACAGAATGTTCCCCCTAAGACCAACTACAAATACCCCTAAACATCGATTAAAATCCCCTTTTGTTTTTGTTGTACAATCGGTTTGAAAGGTATAGTTCTACCAAAATCTCATGGCCAATAGGGAAATAAAAAAATTCTTGTGGGCAATACTGGGGAAATTGGTTTAAATGAATCTTGATCCTGTTTATTTTTTTATTTATGTCATTAGTATTAATGAACATGAAGAATATTAGTTATTTGTATGAAGAAGTTCTTCATCAACTGATGAAAATAAAGAGGTGTTTATTATTAATCGCTCTTCCAGCATTTTAATTATTATATCATGCTTCATGAAGTCGTTTTCTATCTCATATAAGGACGCAGACATTCCGGTAGACCTATAATTTCAAATACGCATCAAAAATACACTCCAGTAGTATAAAAAAGTAAAATTCGATTTTGGAGTATTATAACTGGATATAATTGGATTTTATATTTATTTGGTGGTTGCAACTTAATTCCCACATAATTTAGAGGGAAAACCCCCAAGTTGTAATCACTGCATACAATTTTAAAGTAGATAAATTTACGACTAGGAACACCTAAAATGGTTGACAGTGACGTCTGACACCAGTTTGCAATGTCAAAATTGTCACCGTAAAACATTATTTATTATTGTCGAGTAATTTTCTAGTTCCTACGCAAATGGAATGAGTACCTTGAGCCTTAGCATTATTTGCGTTCATTAAACAACTGTATCCTATTTACAGAATATGTTGATTGCGATATCAATATCACCTATTTGTGATTCTATACGTGTGAGGTAATCAATTGAAATCGTGTATACGACACCGGCAAAATGTATTGCTTACAATGGCTAATTCCTGTGCTCTTAATTCCAAAACCTGTTAACCCTGCATTAATTAATACACACGTCATGTTTATGGTGTTATATTTGATAGGATTTTTTCTTGAGAGGAAACCTTGCACGGTATGTAGCGTAGTGTTTATGGCTGCTGTAATTCTCATTTGCTACAGTGGAATTGGTAATTGTTTATTTTGGGGCAGTCAGTGTGAATCGGAGAAGTACGAAACTTAGTAAAAACTACAACTATGATATCCTGATGTGATCAAAATCAAGTATTCCAGATGGTGAGCGAAGTAAACATTCAGCCAAATACTTCTTGTGATATCACACTAACCAACAGGGTTATTGCAAATATTTTTGTATATAAAGGTATTTTTTGTTCATATTTTTTAAAAATTGTTATTTGAGTCCCATGTGGATATGTGCCGATTTGTACTTATTTAACATTGTTGTGTTGATTATTAAATAATATGTGATTATTGTACAGTTATTGTTAGTTATATTTAATAGGTGTATATGGATTGTGATTACTATCTATAGATATCAATTTCACATAGAAATGTTTTTAAATATTGACTCCTTCTTAATACTTTATATAAATAATTATCTACAATGATTCTTGTAAATGGAAAATTAATTCTGTTTGGTATATTAACCTCATTATGTATGTAATACAGCAATCGTAAGTAGATTTATAAAGTATTAAATAAAATTCTTATCAAAATGTATAATTACTTTTTTATTAGATAACTGAACTATTAAAGTATGTATATACATAATATTGTGTTATTAGTTTTCAATTACAATCTCAATGCAAATCCCATTTAAGACTTACAAAAGCCAGGATTAAATAAGTGGAATCAATCACTTAATAAACTTGATACAAAACTAATGCAATGTTTTGTGGACAAAATAATACTGAACAAATGAAAATATAAGCATTTAAAGGGAGTCGTGTAAATGATGCTGCTATGATTAAGTAGTTAGTAAATATGAAATAGATTAGTAGGAAGGACTTACACATAGGCAACATCAAAGTGTTTAAGTATAAATATAATGATTGATAATGCATAAAAACTATGGTGTATTTAGACTTTGGCCTTGTAAAGTAAGAATTAATCTGTTGGTTCGAGAGCTATTTCAACTTTTTGGTTCCAGTACAACCCACATAGTTTTGCGTGCAATTCTAGCAATTGTGATCACCATTTATATATAGCAATAATAATAGCCTGAATGATATTAAAAATATTTCTCAAGTCTGCATGCATATTTGGGTCTAAAATTAAAAAGCAAAATATGTTTGTTTGGCCATTAAAAACTCATAATAGAATGAGCAAGGTCTGTTGTCATATCATTACAATACTTACCATTTGTTCTGCTGTGAAAGCAGATGCCAGATATGAATGAAGAAATGTAATAAGATTGAGGATTAGGAAAACAAATAAATGTATTTAAAGGTTTATTTAACAAGCTGAATAGTAATTATGGTATCTTTGACGGTTTTGTAGTTCACTTAAAATTTGGATTACATAGTTGATACATAGAAAGCCTTAACCTAGAGGTGCTAGCAATCTGAAACAAGAAAAACATTAATGTGATTAAATTACTTTATTGAGATAACAAATATTGAGCACTCTTATTAAATGGCTACAAAAATTTATTTAAAACTGGCAAGTTAGTTTGGTTTCAACACCTACACCACCACACACCACAATAATTATTTCGATAGGTTATGCACAAAAAAACATTACTTTGGCTTTTAATGATGTTAAAGCACGAATTTTCATCATATATACCTGATTATCTTAGTCTTCTAGCTTCACGCTCAGATTCCAGTAGCGTCAGAATGTCTCCATCACGCACTGGACCCTTAACATTCCTGATGATTTGTCGACTGGTCTCTCCGATGAACTCGACCTTAACTTGGGTACATTGTCCCTGGGAACCGGTACGACCTAGAACTTTAACCACGCGGGCAAGAACGTTAGGTTTATCCATGTTTAATAGATATCAAGCGGAATCGCTAAATACACGTGCAACACAATTTAGCGTGTACGAAAAAGAAATTGGTCACAGATATAACTTGACAAGTTTGTTACGAAGTGTTGCCACATTTAAAAAAAAATATGCATAATCTGTGCTCATTAAAAATTAATCGATAGTTTCGGTTTTTATTTTAAAACATATTTATAGGTCAAATTATACATTATTGATTATACTTGACAGTAACAATAAATAAATAATGATTAAATGAATAATTCCTTCTCATAAATGTATATTAGTAATTGTTTATTACTGTTATGCTTTATAAAATTTACTAATCTCACCTTTATTTAACCGTTTTTTTAAACGAAATGTAATATAGGTCTACCAGAATCTGATGGCAAAAAAAAAATTTAAAAATTAGCGATTTTCATATGGCAACAAAAAAAAATTCAGTTGTCAACTGAAATTTCGAGGAATTGTTTTTGTTTTGGCTTCAAATTTCCTTTAAAAAGTGGTGAAAATGTCGAAGAAACCTCTTCGATCGCAAGCAAGAAGTATTGTTTTCAATGTTTATCAAAGAATACTTGATCAACAAGGTGCAGAACATACACAATCATCGATATTGAACCATGTGCAAGCGTTGACTGGTTAGTAGGAATGACACTTCTTGATACTTTGGTTTATTGGATTTTTCGTTAATATTATATTATGTTCTTATACTAAACTTTGGTTTATTTCAGGGGTTTCTAATACTACCATAAGACGAATTGTTGCTGAAGGCAGATCTAATAGAGGAGTATTTAGTACGCCCGGTAAAAAGAGGAAAGGTGGCAGAAAACAAATTAACTTGGATAGTTTTGATTTAGTTTTGATCAGAAACAAGATAAATGAGTTTTACACTGTACGAAAAGAAATACCCACTGTCATGAAATTGCTACAAATTCTTCGAGAGGAAATCAATTTCAATGGAGGAAGAGAATCGTTAAGGTAACAAAAATGAATTTCATTTTCTTTCAGTTTGAATATAATCTAAAAACATAGTAATCTAAAAATAACAATCTTATTTTGTCTTCAGACTTATTTTGAAAGACATCGGATTCGAATTCGTGAAGTGCCAATCAAAAAGGACTATTTTAATGGAGCGACATGACATAAAGATACACAGATTCAAGTATTTAGAGCGTATGCAAAAGAATCGAGAAGCCGATGATAAGCTAGATGTGGTTTATTTAGATGAAACCTACATACACGGTTCATGTTCAGTAAACAAATGCTGGCAAAATAAAGATATTGCAGGCCCATCTAAAAGTATTTCGGCAGGGCCAAGATGGATCATTGTACATGCTGGTGAAGAAAATGGTTTTGTGCCAAACTGTTGTTTGGTGTATAGGTCGAAGAGTACATCTGCCGACTACCACCATGATATGAATAAAGATAACTTTACAAAATGGGTTACGGAGAAGTTGATTCCCAACCTTAGAAAACCTTCTCTAATTGTTATGGACAACGCCAAGTATCATTCTGTACAATTAAACAAACCGCCTACACAAGCCGACCGTATTGCTGTTATAAAAGAATGGCTTCAATCAAACAATATCCCTTACGATGATAATTGGCGTAAATGTCAATTACTGGAAGCAGTGAAAAATCATAAATCTGAACCTAAGTATCAGATAGATGAGATTTTAAAATCACACGGCCACGAAGTCTTGAGGCTCCCACCATATCATTGTACGTTAAACCCCATAGAGTTAATCTGGGGAATAATGAAACAAAAAGTTGCAGCTAAAAACGTCAATAGACCTGCAAGTGATATAAAATCGTTAACAGAAGAAGCTTTCTCTCAAATAGGGATCGATGAATGGCGAAAATCTTGTGAACATATTATAATAAAAATTGAAAATCAGTTCATAGAACAAGATCGGTTAATTGAGATGCAGGAGGAAAGGTTTATCATAAATACTGCGTCTTCCACGTCTTCCTCTTCCGATGAAGACTTTTTTATGGATGTGCAGTATTTGGCACCATTTTCAAGTTCTTAATTAATTAATAAACTCATGAACAGAGTAATTTGAGTTTTCATCTAAGTTTCGAACCCCATTCGACTCACACAATCAGACTATCACACACAAAATCAGCCGCTATAAGGAAAAAAGTATCAAAACGTTTTACTCCAATTTCCCCAGTATTGCTAGCGTCAATTTCTTTTTTTCCCTTTTTGCCATCAGATCCTGGTAGACCTATAAATACTAAATTACGCAAACGCAACGCACTGGACGGTATTCCAGGCACACTATATGAAATCATAAGCTGAGAAGAATAGGAAATTTGACACCTTTGAGCAGTTAACCCGATAGGAATGATTTTACTCATTGGTTCTTTACAAATGTAATTCAAAAGCCTAACGATCATGTAACCCCTAATGTTGGTAACCTACAGCTTAATTTGTAATTGTCCAATTGTGTTTCCTATATTTTCAATTTCGATACCTTAAAAAAGGCGATCGCTCTGATCCGTCCCTTATAAGTGTTATAACCTTCTCCAAAATAACCGAAACAATTATTAACGGCCAGCTCCTGAGGTGTATCTAGTGGGCCACCAGCTGAGTAGCAGTACAATTGTTAAGAGGGTGTCTACCAGTTAGTAAATAGTAATTCAAACAATTTTGTATAAAAATTTAACATTTTTAATATTAATTATTTAATGTCTCTCATATCCGCAGCTCATTGCGAGGACCCCTCAGTTTGTTCCATAATTTACTCTCACACTTAAACTAAACACAGTCTGTTCTGTTTACATCAAATAAAATAAGAATGAAATGTTGCCCATTTTTGACTATCAGCATATTAATTACAAGAACATAACATTTATTTCAGTTTAGGCCTTAATGTATGCATATTGACAAAAATCTTAACACAATTATGTATTTTCAAAGAAGGCTAATATTCAATATGTAATGTTGTGTTGCATTATGTTTATTGAATTTATTACTTAATTTCTATTCTATTCTCTTTGATTTTATTCTTATTTTAATTGACAAACTATAGTATTGCCTGTTGGCTGAGCTCAGAACTTAAAATAAATTCACTAATTAAATTAGTCATCGCCGGCTGATCTCTTCGCCTTCCTCATACGTGGAGATTGTTTTGGTGTCTTAGGTGATTTTTCTGGAAAAAAAAATGTTTTTAGTACAAAATAATTTCATTACTAAGTAAATATTATCATTATTTTATCTATGATGATATTCAAGTCTTGTCTATACTAATATATAATACTAGCTGAAGAGATTTTTGTTTGGTTCACTGCACTATTCTTTGAAACTACTTAAATTCAATTGGAATTTTAATAAAATATGTTTGTATTACATAAGCATCAATTAAATGGAAATTGTTCCAAAAACCTTTGAGAGCTTCAGTTTCATAACCTCAAAACAGTAAAAGTAACACAAAAATTGTGTAAATTACATACTTGTTCCTCATTCAAAAGACTGTATATCTTCAATAAAGTAGGCTCAGAAAAATATTTTTATCAAAATTAAATTTGATTAAAAATAATTCGTTATTTTCAATATTGATTATGGGATAAAATAAATACAAAATGATTACTTACTGAGCTGATTAACAACTTCTTTAGGGAGCCAGTCATAATCAACATCGTTAGCAGTTCCAGTCTCGAGGGGTTTCGGAGCTGATCTGGGTGATCTGCGACGGGCAAGAGAAGATAAAGCTTGCTGGCCTACCACAAGGATAAGAACACATGCAGCACCAAGAAAGACATAGAGGAAGAATGTTTCTCCATCAAGCCCCTCTGAGATTTCAACAATGTTTACTGTTTGGTTGTAGACAGCTTCCTGAAAAATTAAATAGGGTGAGATCCAGAAATGTTTAGTAAGTATACTATGAATTCAATAACAACCATTTGAAGTAATACCAAAGTATGGTTAAAACCTTTAAAGACACATATATATGTTTATCATGTGCTTAATCATTTTTGAGAGGGATGGTACACTTCACTTAATGTATTTAAAAGATAGGTCATAAAGTATATCTAACTTGTACTTGTATACCAATTAGGCAACTGTATATTATGTACCTGGTATGAATTTCCACTAGCATCTTTGTAGTTAATCTGAATGTTGAGACCAAATGGTCGTCCAGCAAATGCTTCATTGGGAATAAATGAATAAGCAAAGGTAGCCTCTTGTTTAGGTTTTACTTCACGGTTGTATGGCAAAGCAGTGAAATTTTGAATATAGTAAGTGTAGTCCATTGGATATCTGAATGAGGCTTCCATTGTCTCAACCAGGTAGTCATCAGATCCTTTATTGGTAAAACCAACAAGGAACTCAACAGGATTACCAGCTTGAAGATCTACAATAAACAATTTAAAATTATTTTTGTTATTTAATATTTATAAGAAAATACAAAAAGTGATGTAATTGCTTTAGAATTAACAGTTTACATTCACATCTTACCAAAAGCAACATCACCATAGGTGGTGATGGGTTTAGTAAACAATATGGTAGTATCAATATCTTGTGATGATTTTACTACAGATTCGTCATCTTCAATAACATCATCTCCAACCACTTGGCTATCTTCACCTTCAATGTCTACTACATCATCTAATTCATCTTCTTCTGCTCTTGCAAATACTGAGTTTGCTGAAAAGAGAAATTAAAATCTGTACCCTCAGTGGTTGCGTGAAACTTCTATCAATACATAACTAAAATCTCATATATATGGTAACATAGATTAAAGTGAAGTTGTACATGTTATAGGATGATTGAAAAGACACTGGTCAATGAAAAATAAAATAGTTTATAGATACATATAACATTTTAGTTTAAAATACAAGATATCAATCAAAATATAGTATAATTTTAAAATTAAAGTATGTGAGATAATAATGGCTTTTTAAATGTACATCATCTTCCTTTAGTTATAGAACTTAACGCTTAGTATAAATTTTAAAACTAAAAGGCAAATGGCTCTTTCAATCTACTGTTTATTACTTAGCAAACATTAAATGAGAACACCTTGAGTAATTTCAATTGTGAAAGGTTGGTCAAATACTAAAAGAACATTATAGGGTATTAATCATCAATATTGTTCATATTACACATATTTTATGTAACAATTTTCAATAAAAGTGAACGTGCCACGTAATAAAGCTTACTTTCTAAAATTAATATATAATTTGATATAAACTTACCATTTTGGAAGCACAAAAGCACGGCAGGTAGTACTAGAAGTGTTAGATAAATGAGTTTCATTTTGATTTCTTTCTAAATATAACTAAGATTAAAGAAATATACTAATTCAATGCCAGCTTAGAGGAATTCACTTCACGTAATAAATCTGCAGCCGCCACCACAAAATCTCGGTGTTAACGAATGCCACTTTTCTTACAACTCGATTGACGTGGAAGGTAAGACTGTCAATAGTGATGTGCCGCTGTAGCGTTTATACTGACTCAAAAAACCGGTAATGGGTATCGATCCATTTAATTAAATTAGGATTAAGGAGAAATTATTTATATAAATTTAATGAGCTAGTATAAATTAGATCAAAAGTACATGCATTTTTGATTATCAACGATAAGTAATTCACAAGAAAATTTGAACATACCTTCCATTAAAATAATATGTTCTAAAGTGCGATCTTTTTTGTTAGAATTATGAAAATCTTAAATTTGAATTAATATTTATAAAATTTTATGCCTTCCTAAATAATTTCATTATTATAAGTCTAAGATTTTTTATAAGTTAAGAGGAAATTTGTATAATGTGGGGTACGACGATGGAGACACTAGGCGCCAATTAATGCATATATCATATGTTGATGATTACTTATGAAAAAAATCAAATTTTCATTACATTTTAAATATCCGAAAATGTTTAGATACCATTTTTACTAAAACTTCAATCATAATGACTAATAATAATTGTAAAATTTAACTAAACATTGAATATTTAGCTTTAACGAGCCTCGTTAGTATAGTAGTTATTAATAAATTAAGAATTAATATCGTCCAATCGATTATATGTTAAATGTAAAATGTAATGCATTTTAAACCTTCCTTAATAATATTGTTATGTATTCGAACGCCAAAGGTCATTTTCAGTGCCCGGTATTGTTTAACATTTTTGAATAACAATGGCTAAGAGAGGTACGTGCTATGTGGTATATTATATCTTATCTTTTTCTTAATATTAATTGCTGATAACGACTGCAACTCGATTTAAAATTAATTGTTGAGACTGATTTAATATTAATTTGACCTTACTATTAATATTTTTATGTTATTAAATATAGATTCAAGAGAGAAAATTATTGTTTTATAAATTTATCTAAAATTGTTTTATTAATTACAGAACTATTTCAATTATACCAGCGTATACCAAGGGGCCTAAGCACCGCGGTGCTTCCAAAATGTAACGTTTCACCTAAAGAATACTGTGTTAGTAATTTACCAAATCTCATTTATTCGTGTAAAATTTCCAAAACTAAAAAATAATACAAACCTTAACAAAATGTAACTCAAATTAAAATAAAATAGATAATAGTCTTGGGCAGATTTGTCAAAGTGGGGGAAAGTTTGTGCTTATACTCTTACTGTTAAAATATACCAAATTACTAGTGCTGATCTAATGACAACTTATACACTTTTCGGAAATTAAATAAATAAGAAATAATTTTAAATTCTACGGCGATAAAATTGAAATTTTTGTAGTGAATTTTTATGTTCAGTATATTTTTTTCTCAGGGTCCTGGTATTGAAAAACTTAACAAGCTAAAATCTGAAAATATTTCAGTAGTAGTAAAAGATTTCTATAGAAAGCCCCTAGTGATCCACCAAGGGCATATGCAATGGTTGTTTGACCATGAGGGTAAAAGGTACCTGGATCTCTTTGCTGGCATTGTAACTGTATCTGTTGGGCATTGTCATCCGTAAGTAATTTATTTATAAGTTTTTAAGATTCAACATGCATGCTTTAAGCATACGAGAAAAATATGACATTAAAAATTTTACACACATACACATCAATAATATTAGAACATAGAAACAGCGCAAAACGCAACATTAAAACCAAAGACTTAAAGATCATTAAGAGCACAAGGATTACGATAAATACGAAGACTATTATAAAATATATTGATTGTCATTAATCTTAACAATTAAGTTGTTTTAGCGAGATAGCCAATTCACGGGATCAATAATTATTATATTGACAATATAAACATTTAGCAAACTTATCGTATATACCTTGAACATTCACTAGGTTCTGTTATCATCAATCTACATATTTGTATATTTTAGGACAGTCACGGCGGCTTTGCACCAACAAATTGACACATTATGGCATACGACAAGTATTTATAAACACCCAAAGATCTACGAATACGTGGAAAAGTTATCAGCCAAATTTCCTGGAGATCTTAAGGTGTTAAATGTTACTTGATTACATTTTATATTTTTATAATGTATGTTACCATATCCGAATATTTTGTGAAAGGTCGTCTACTTGGTGAACAGCGGTAGTGAGGCGAACGACTTGGCAATTCTTTTGGCTAGAGCATATACTGGGAATCATGATGTTATCTCGCTACAAAGCTGTTACCATGGTTACGCTAGTTCCCTTCTAGGGCTAACCGCTACTCAGGCATACCGGTTTCCGATGGCAGCGCCATCGGGATTTTACCATGTAAGTGTCGCCAATACTTGCATATGATGCATTTTGAGTTCTTCTGTAAAACATTCGTAATCACATTTCTTAATGTAATAGAATTACGTTAAAACAAAAGTAAATATGGGTTTTGTTTTTAAGGCTATGTTACCGGATCCATTACGGGGAATTTGGGGAGGCTGTCGAGATTCATTTTCTCAAGTTCCTGGTGCATGCTCATGTCCTGGAGATTGTGTGACATCAGACAAATATATACATCAACTTAATGAAGTAAGTATTGCTATAGTTACAAAATATTGTAGTCAAAGTATTATATAAAAAAATAGAACATTAACGAGAAATTCTTTGTCATACTATCTTTAGATTTGTCTTAAAAACATAGTGTCAGTGCGTGAAATCGATGTGTAGAATAAAGTAATAATCATATAAGATACACACATTACCTACATAAAAAGGGTGCGTGTACTTATGTACGCGCGTAAGAAGTTAACTTCTTTGGCATTATTAAAAATAGTTTTTGATTGCATGAAAATTATTAATTACAATTAAATAATCAAAGACGGGAAAAGGAGTCATTATAATCAATAAATATCAGTTTACATTTGAAAAATTAAATAAATAAATATTTATTATTATTCTCTTACATTAAGTGTAACATAAATTCTATTATTATTCGAATGTTGTTTTTAAATTATGTCCAATGCCGTATCATCTTCCGTGGGCAACTTCATACTGATAATTTTGTGTAACGGTGCGCGCGCATCGTAAAATTTCACTCTCATCAATTTTTCATAACGCGCCTAAAGAAGTATAACTTCAAAAACATATTAAAGGTCTTTCTGACCATGCTACTTATTATTATTATTCACCACTTAATTTCAGCTTCTAGAAAATTCGGTGCCAAAGGGCCGCATAGCGGCATTTTTCGCGGAAACAATCCAAGGAGTTAATGGAGCTGTACAATTTCCTAAGGGCTACCTTAGAAAAGCTAGGGAATTGGTTAAAAATTATGGTGGCTTATACGTAGCTGATGAGGTAAAGTAATAATTTATGTTTAGCTAAATTGTGTGATGAATTCGCATTTAAATTATAGGTCTACCAGGATCTGATGGCAAAAAGGCAAAAAAGAAATTGACGCTAGCAATACTGGGGAAATTGGAGTAAAACGTTTTGATATTTTTTTTTTATATCGGCTGATTCTGTGTGTGATACATGCAAATATAAAAATTTATCCAATGATCAAGGATAATTTTTGAAAATGTGGCGAATGTGGGGTTTGAAATTTAGATGAAATATCCAATTATTCTGTTCATGAGTTTATTAGTTAGGTAATTAAGAACTTGAAAATGGTTCCAAATACTGCACATCCATAAAAAAGTCTTCAACGCAGTATTTATGATAAACCTTTCCTCCTGCATCTAAATTAACCGATCTTGTTCTATGAACTGATTTTCAATTTTTATTACATGTTCACAAGATTTTCGCCATTCATCGATCCCTATTTGAGAGAAAGAAACAGTGTAAAACTCATTTATCTTGTTTCTGATCAATTCTAAATCAAAACTATCCAAGTTTATTTGTAGTATAAGAAACCCCTGAAATAAACCAAAGTTTAGTATAAGTACATAATATAATACACACGAAAAATCTCATAAACCAAAGTATCAAGACGTGTCATTCCTACTAACCAGTCAACGCTTGCACATGGCTCAATATCGATGATTGTGTATGTTCTGCATCTTGTTGATCAAGTTTTCTTTGATAAACATTGAAAACAATATGTCTTTCATTTTCATCACTTTTTAAAGGAAATTTGAAGCCAAACCAAAAACAATTCCTCGAAATTTCAGTTGACATATGAAATTTTTCTTTTATTGCCATATGAAAATCGCTAATTTTTAAACTTTTTTTTTGCCATCAGATTCTGGTAGACCTATATTTATCAATTGGGCAAAAATGTCAATGTAAAAAAAAAATTGTACCTAGGTGAGGTTAGGTAAAAAAAATATATATTTAATGTTCAACGTCAACACTACACACACATTCCACAGGTACAAACTGGTTTCGGTCGAACAGGTGATAACTTCTGGGGTTTCCAAGATCATGGTATTCAGCCGGATATTGTTACGTTGGCTAAAGGCATTGGAAACGGGTTTCCGCTAGCCGCCGTTGTAACGACAAAAGAAATAGCTGACGCACACCAGAAAGCTTCGTATTTTAATACATTTGGGGGGAATCCTCTTGCTGCTTCTGTTGGAAAGGCGGTATTAGACGTACGTTTCTCTTTCTTTAAATTCATTTAAGCATTTCTTTTGCAATTGTTTTTCTTTTAAGTGATTTTAATAAAAAAAAAGAGATCCATATAGGAATATTTTATCGAGATTGTAGAAAATATTATTAAAATGCCTATTCTTTTTTTTATATTCCGAAATCAAAAGAATAGACATTTAATTTAATCATATTTACACAGGTGATTGAAGAAGAAAATATACAACAGAATAGCAAAATTGTTGGAAAATATTTTATTGAGCAATTAATGGAATTACAAAAGTCGTATCCCGTGATTGGAGATGTTAGAGGAAAAGGATTAATGTTGGGTGTAGAATTAGTCAGGCCCGGTACTAAAGATCCTCTTGAAGTTATAGGAGTGGCAGATATTTTGGAGATGGCAAAGGATTTAGGAGTCATGATCGGTCGCGGTGGTCGATGGAATAATGTTAGTATTATGTTAATTTTACCAGTTGTTAAAATATAAATAAATATAATTAATACTTTGTTTGCAGGTGCTACGAATTAAGCCACCTATGTGCATCAACAAGGAAGATGTGGATTTTGCAATAACAGTTATGGATAAAGTTTTTAAAGTCTTTCATGAAAAAAATTAAATATTTATAATTTAAAAATTATAAGAATAAACAAGATAGGATTTAAAGATTGTTGTTTTAAATTTTATTTCATTTCTCAATACGCTGCTACGCTCCATCTGATAAAAGTTAACATTTTAGGCTAAATTCAAAAATTCACGTGGTTATGCCTCGTCTAGGGTAAATCCATATTATTAAAGTAAATAATGAAAGCCTAATTTAAAAAAAAAAGTAGACGAAGAAGTTTTAATTTATAATTATTACTTAGCTTTCTGTGGTAAACAATTAAGATCTATATTATTAGTCTGTGATATTCTGTAATAAATACCAATGTATATCTCTATCTGTGGTACGTAAATATAACTGTCAAATATTATTATTATTTAAATGACAATTGACAAATCATATATTGATTTAAATAAAAGTGAAAGTTTATGGTTTCATTTCAGGTTCAATTCATGTTGTTTTCGAATTTTCTTTATGTTTATTCGTCTTGCCCTCATATTACTTTAAACGTGTATTCAAGTTGTGTAATCTTAAAAGAATAACGCGATATTATAATGGCCGATTCAGGAGTCGATACTGGCAACGAAAGTAGCGACAATACAGTATTTGATCATCCTCATCAAGTTTTCGAATTCAGCCCTCCACCAATACCAATAAACATTGCTGGGCTACCCATGCCTATTGACTTTTTTGGTGAAGCGCATGATCATATTGGGAAAATAAAGTTTTGTACAAATGCGAGGCATTGTCGTCGCAAATATAGAAACTGCAATCTATTATCATACTTTCCTAAAAACAAAAAGCTTAGGTTTGCTGCTGGCACAAACAATACAGAATTAGTAGAGAAGCTTTTGCAAGCAGGTGCAGATCCTAATTACACAGATAAACATTTGAGGAGTCCACTACACTTGGCGGCTTGCCGTGGATACACCGATGTTGTTAAAATTCTTATCAAATATGGTGCTAACCCAAACATAAAAGATACTCTTGGAAATACACCTTTGCATTTAGCTGCTTGTACAAGCCACATTTCTGTTGTCACAGCTTTACTGGGTGCAGGAACAGATGTTAGCTCTAATGATAAAAATGGCCGTACTCCTTTACAGCTTGCACAGAGTAAACTGAAGCTCATAAGGTTGAGACCAGGGTTTCATGCAACTCAGGAACTGCTTAGTGAAATCCGTCTAATAGTTGAGATGATGTTGAAGTACATGGAAATTCAAAAAGCAGATTCAGGAGAATTAGAATCTGTTTGTAAAAGGTTAGAAAATATAAGTACAAGGGAGCAAGTTGACTCTGAAGTTCAAAATTTACTTGATAGTTTGGATTCATTAAAATTAAGGTAAAAGGTAATTTATTTTGTGAAGAATAGTCTTAGATATTAATTTTATACATTTATAATACATATTATTATAAGAGTTGTTTGGTATTGTTATTTAATGTCTAACCACAGCAAGCAGTTTACTTGTTGTTTCAATAAGTAATTACTTTGTTTGTAATTCTTGTCTTTACAAACTGGAAAGAAAAATTTTATAAGAAAAGCAAACCAATTATTGCTATAATGGTCTAATAACTTTTTTATATACATGCTTAGTATTTAAATACTAAAGATGAATATTGTAATGCAGATAAACTTGGCGTTGGAAGGATTGCCTTCTTTAACTGTAGTTAATTATGAAAGCCATGTTTAGAACTTGCAGAATGTCAGGGAACAATGTGAACCAATGTTTTAGCCTTGGTTTAATACAGTTTATTTGTATAACTTAGATATCAGTTTACTTTATCTTTTAAATACAATAGATTCTAGCATTAATAATTTAATTATTGTGTAAGAAGTTTACACTGACTATTTAACTTGTCAATATCTAGATTGGATGAGAAAACTACAGTTGACTTTAATTATTCTTTATCATAAAAATTCATTTTCTTTGCATTTGGTCAATTGAATATAGCATATTTAAAAAAACTTTATTATAAGTTAATATCATTTTTTGATTATATGATTTAATCAAAACTATTTATTTCATTTATACCAAACTATTCCTCATAATTATACCAGTAACAAAAAAAATACATTAAAATCATAAAGTTTATTCAGTTACCTTTTATAGATTTTAGTAAACTTTAAAACAAATTTGTAATAAAATACTATAATAGAGCTAAAAACAATTTCATGATTTAAACAGTAATAAGGAATGTTAAAATAGTTTACATAAAATTAAATGCAACATTAAATATGTATATTTGGAAAATTTTTGTGCTTTTTGCCAAAATAAAACATTACATGAACGTCTCTAAAATGGACAATGATGTAGTTATTGTCAAAAATGGTTTTATCAATTTAAGACCATATCTTTAACTTACAGCCTAAAATATATTCTTAAATAGCTTTGTGATGTTTTTATCACGATTAAAAACACAAAACAAGACAAGTGTAATACTCAAATGTATGATTAAATAGGTATTTTTTGCCTGAAAAAGTAAATAAAATTTGACTCGGAACAATTTGAACATTTTTAAACCACAAATCCTAATATTAACTTATTTAAGCATCAAAGCAATATTTATGCGAATTACAGCCTTGTTTAGATACCTTGAGTTATTATCATTAATCTTAATTTTGTTGTAAAAATTATCAAAAAGAATTCTTCGAAACTATATAATATTAGGCAAAAGTGGGGATTTTAACACACATTGTATTATGGCATAAATAAATCTTCATTATCACAGAAAACTTTAAATTATTCTAATACCGCCTAATATAGGAAATAAATAATTAAAAAATTAAGTATATTTCTAACCCCAAATTATCTAATAATTCAAGAACCAAGCTACCCATTTACAATACTAATCTAATTAGGTACATACTCTTATATCATAGTAGTTGGAATAAATATAATAAAGCTTATCTTTCACCTTATAAGACGATACTAAGTTTAAATACAATTTAATAACATGAACCCCGGTGTTTTTTACACCTAAAATCAATTTTATAATCTACTATTTGAATGAAGATTATTTGTGATATTTTATTTGTGGAATTCTTAGACAAGTATTCTCAAGAACTTATGCCTTTATATAGAAACTAGAATTTGTACGTAATTATTGATTATCAATCTAGCAAAGTTTGCTCTACTTACGAAACGTGTACACAATAATTAACAATAATTGTACCTCAGCTGTTCATTTATATGTACGATAATTGCTAATACGAAATACGAATTTAAAGTGCTGCACAATTTGGCACTATTCACCGCTTTTTGACTAGTCGTTAAATAGACAAAAATGAAATGTACTCTCAATATCACAAGTTATTTAACGTAACACTAAATAACATAGAAAAACATCGACATAATTTTGATATAACATCTGGCACAACCTTTTAGGTATATATGAAACAAATGCCTTATTTATTGCACAACAGTTTCGCGTCGGCTCGGTTTTCTCGGCGACTGTTTCAGTCGAGTTTACTTTCTACTATTACTACTTGAGGTTATTTGGTATCGGGTACAAGGATATTTACTATATTTGGAAATATTTCGGCTTGAATAGGACCATAGTCCACCAGTTCTCCGTCTACTGTAATGTAACCCGTTTGACCCTCGGGAACTATTCTAAATGCACTCACTGGAACCATCTTAATGTACTCATTGTTTATATCCGCTATGTTACCCTGAGACACTTTCAAAAGAAACGAAAATATTTGCGATCTCGTTATGCCAGCCTTGATTATAAGCATCCACATAACTCCATCGGCGAGTCGGGAGTGGGGCGCGAATAAAAAGTCTTCGCCTATATGAGATTGATAGGAAACGTGAACCATGACGAATTCGCCATCTTCCTGCACCCAATGGGTAGGTAGTTCTGACATTAGAGAAGGTAGGTGTGAAGCCGGCCCGTACATTCGTTCCTGGACAGGCGACCGTAATTCCGATCCAGCGCTTGTCATACTATGGTAATCAGAACCGCGAGCGCTGTAAAACGTCTTCCTCGAATGTACAGAATACCAAGAGTCTACCCTATGGTGTTTCTTTCCAATCTCTGTACTCATAAACGTTTCAGTTTGTTCGTCACAGTCGAAGAACGCTTCAGTTTCAGGGGAATCCAGGGCGCCATCTTGACTTATACTTCGACCGAAGATAGTTGTTTTGGGTTTAGGTAGATTACCGATATCTTTAATCAATGCATAGCTAAGCACACCTTTGTATTTTCTAAGTGCAACGGTTCTCGCGAGAGCCCACAATGTAAATCTTTGGCCTCCTATTGAACGAAGTCTTTCGCTTTCTATATCGATGTCCGAAATTAATCCCCAACCGACCGATAACAAGGAGAACATTATCTGAAAAAAAAAAGATAGCGGTAGATTACAACAAATATGTACGTTTACGGTTTTAATTATTAGACAGATACGTTGGATAAGCAAGCAAGCAATGTTTGTCAATGGAAACAGCGACAAAGACCAGTATTTTATTACCGGAATAATTAATCTATGGTGCGTAATTTTTTGAATTGAAGGGGAAGTACCCAAATACAGGGAATCTACCGAGATGACAGCAACATTTTATTGAAACGAAACTACATGGTATTAATCCTTAGTCGATCAACAGAATCAAAAGTCCGCACTGTACATTTTCCATGAAGGTTTTTTTTAATAGAATAGGGGGAGAACGGACAGGAGACTCATCTGGTGTTAAGTGATACCGCAGCCCAGAGAGTGAGAGTGTCTCAATGCCAGAGGACTCGCGAGAGCGCTGCCGGCCATTTAAAGAATTGATACGCTCTTTTCATGAAGGACCCTAAGTCGAATTGGTTCAGAAATACTTCAGTGGGCAGCTGGTTCCACATAGTGGTGGTGCGCGGCTAAAACTGCCTTAAAAAACGCTCAGTTGTGGAACGACGGATGAGAGGTGATACGGTTGGAATTTCGTATTCCACGAAGTAAATAAAGAGCAGCGCAATAAATATGCGTTAGATTAGCACGAGAGGAGGATGTAATAGGATCAATGGAGAATAATTGGTATCCGCACAACACATGTCGCTTGCTCATAGAAGGAACGTTATGACTTAATAACACTTAGTACGGATGAACGCAATTGAATAGTAACATTATATTTGAAGGTGAAACAGCAACAAATAACCTCTCCCCCAAACTTCGTTCCCTCATTCGACAGCATAATCGAATCTATATTGCATACATAGAATAAATTCATTTAATAATGGTACAAAAGCTTGCCAAATGTAATTTATTACAAACAAATAGATTTGACTAATTTGGCACATTTGTTGGGTATCAACGAATAAAACGACGACCAATATTTAAGCCTTGACTTGTTTAAGCTATCGCGGAATATGGTTAAAAGGAGTAATAAGAATATCCAAAGCGCAAAATCACCTGCCTTGCGAATAGCACGGCTGCATCATGAGCATACCCCACATACACACCTTCACGTACATACCCTCACTTTTACACCATCACAGAACACAGCCAAATGAGGTATTAGTATTGAATAATTTTTATTTGTTTGTTTCCTTTTCTAAATGTTTGGACCTTTTTGTAGTTAAATGTATTATTCCATTCTGACTATATTTTCAGTGTAACTATTTATTATATATAATTTATGTTAGCTGTAGGATTACGAAATAAATAAATAAAACAATCAGATTTGCACAACGGATTACATTGACTAACTTTATTTGTTTCTTGTTAAAATAGACCTAGTTCATAGACAAAGTCATCATGATAATAAAAATATTTCAATTGTACTTGTTGAAAGCTGAGACATCTATTTGAAAAACAAAAGCATTGCATAAAACCTTGACCTCCCAGTATAAAACTAGGTTTTATCGCTCTGTATAACAAAGGAAAATTGTAATAGGGTCGCATCAAGTATCTTACTCGGAACAGAATTTTGTATATTTTACCCGTACTAAATAGTATGCGGAGCGAAGATTTCTGTTTCACTGTACCTTTTTAATCAGTAGGGAATCTACATCTCTTTGATACAGGCACAAATAAAGAGATTGAACAACTGTTTTCTTTATCTCCTTATAATAGTAAAAATTGTATTAATTTAAAATCCTTTGCGTAATATCGTAGTTATCAGAAAGGCCATTTGATACGTTATTTAGTAGATTAACGGTTAGTGATAACAAATTAGAAATAATTAAAACTATGTATTCAAAACAGATACGTGAATCAAAATGATAATCCTTACAATTTTATAGCTGGCATTAATCATTTGGCGACGTGTCTAGGTTTAATAATGGATTGTAAAAAGCGTTATTTAATACATAAAAAATGCATACGATAAATCAACATAAATACGGCCAATATGTAAAAAATACATATACCTTGGTAAACGATTATCATTTGAAGATAAAAACGAAAATACTTGAGGTATTTACATGGGCTGGAAAAAGTTTTGGTCCCTAAAGGAAACCTTAAAAAGCCAATTTCCCCTTCACCTAAAGAAAATTGTCTTGGACACTTGTATATTTTACCTACTCTCACATACGGTTGCCAAACGTGGACATACAATACAAAAATAAAAACCAAACTAGTAAGTAGCATGCCAGAAAGCAATAAAAAGAAGCGTACTAAAAATAAAAGAATATATAAAGTAAAAAGGTAAATAATAAGACAAAAAACAAAAGTTATAGATGCCTTACATTATGCCCTAAAACAGAAGTCGCAATGAGCGGGGCATATAGCAAGATGCACAGATATATGGAAAGGTGGACTTTATAGACCGCGGGGGAGATAGAGAAGGCGTTCTAAAAAAAGGTGGATAGAAAATCATTATGGCTTTATCTAAATTGAGTAAGGGAGCGTTCAAGTATTACGTCACGCAATTTTTGGAGATTATTTTACTGGGGGAGGGGCCCCCCATGTAACGCGCCGTAACGTTTTTCTGAACCCAAGTATAGTAAAACGTTTCGTGACCACCTAGTGACTCTTTATACCTAAAAGTAACCATTGTGTGGTGTAAGGTACTGGAAAGTCGAAAATAATATTAACAATAACGCGTAATTCAATCCCTGCCCCGCATCGTAACGTTTTACAAAAGGACCCCCCTCCCCCTAAATTCGTTGCGTAATACTTGAACGCTCCCTCAAACGTAACGATTGTTGTTGAAGAAGTCGTAAAAAAATCTTGCCATAATACACGAAATTGCGAAAAAGCTAGTTTCACATAATTATTGTCTATTGTGGTTAAACAAGGAAACGAGCCTAGAAGTGGCGGCGCCTTTCCGTCCGAACGCGAAACCGCAACAGTAAAAAAAGTTATTTAATCTTCCAGAACGAGATCAAACTCAAATTTCATTTAAATAACTACTAAAATGACTTTCTTCCAGTATTCCTACCAGTGCTGACAACTAAAGATATGTTGCATAATATCAGCCAGGGAAAGTCGAAAGTATTTTACCGAAACAATAAAACGCAATATTATTATTGTGTTGATTCAACGATATCTTTTAAGTTTCTTTAAACAAACTCAAAACATTCTACGCACATCAATAATTGTTTTGTTTCCCTTTTAAAATAGAACGGATACAAAAGTAGGCACAGAAAGCTATGGGTGCCTATTGAAGAATCTCCAAACCTTTCTCGCTAGTGCGTTACCGTCTTTTACGCCTTACGGGAATGGAAAACCTAGTGGTATTGGGTGCCGGTTCTAAACAAGGTAGTGCGCGCCAAAAATGTGTTTATGTGGTAAGTTAGAATAAATTCAATAGCAATATTTTTGAAGTTATACTTCTTTAGGCGCGTTATGAAAAATGTATGAGAGTGAAATTTTACGATGCGCGCGCACCGTGACACAAAATTATCAGTATGGGCGCCGAGCGTCCGCGAGCGAGATGGGAATAAGACAATCTACAAGTAAAAAGAAATAGAATATGCGTGACGTTAGCAGCTATGCCAAGAATTTCGAATGACTATAATGACATTTGTAGTACATTTTAAACAAATAAAGGAGTTTTAATTATTTTTTCAAAGAAATTTAGCAATGCTTTTTCACAAAGACCTATTGTTACTTAGTTAAAAGATTATGAAACATACCTAGTTATTAAATTGAATTAATAATATAATAAAATAATAATTATTATTAATTAATAATTGAATAATATACTAAATATTAAATATTGTTAAATTATTAACGCTAAATATTTATTATTAATTATTTAAAAAAAATAAAGAAAGCCAAAGAAGTATAACTTCTTACGCGCGTACATAAGTACACGCACCCTTTTTTTTTATTTACGCGAGTACTAAATATTTAAATAACTTCGTGAATGACGGTGATTTGCATATTAAATATAAAAATGATATTGAAGATACTTACATCCGTTTTTGTTTCAACTCTGACCACATCAATTTGCGATGATTTTCCTCTTGCTAACGCCAGAGATAGCCCCGTCATGTTTTGATGAATAAATGGCTCACTAAAACAATAACAATTCCTTTAAATCTTTATCATTTTAGATCACGCATTTGTCACTGTACGCTAAGAACTGCGCCAGTTTTGTTAGATCTCATATCGATTTGAAATCAATTTTAAAATTTGTAAATTAATTCTTTCTTTTAACGTATTTTCACCATCAATTTCTAGTCTAGAATTATAAATGTAAGAGTAAGTTAAAATAGTAGAAACCACCAGTTGTGTAGGTTGCATAAATTTTCGTCCCACGCGAATTACGTAATGAAAAAATGTGTGTACATAAAACATTGGCCGCAAGACGAAATCTTATACAAAACATGGCAAGCATACTTTAAATCCTAATATTATAAAAAACCTTTATAGCCGTGTTGGCTTAGAGCCTTTGGCGTGCAACTCGAATTAAGGTCGTAAGTTCTGACACCAACCAACCCTCGTACGGTGAAGGAAAACATCGTGAAGATACCGGCATGCCTTAAACTCAAATTCGACGGCGTGTGTAAGACACACAGGTCTACCACTTGCCAATCAGAAAAAGCAAATGATCACAAAACAGATAAATCCAGCCCAGACCTAAAAGATTGTAGCGGCAGTTCTTTTTAATTAGTTGGCTTTGGATAATAAATTCAAACATTTCAATAAATCACCAATACCGGGATTGTGAGCATTAAAATGAACGACGTGGAAAACACAATACGGCCTTAATTCTCTGTGTAAAATTTTATCTTTCATAAAATAAGATTAACAACTATTGTTTCTATGATAGCGGCATTAAAACAATTCTCTTATAATTGGATCAATTAAAACAAAAATACGATTATTTACTTGTTAGTGAATTTTAAAATTCATTATATCATTTTAGGAATTGTCTATGTATGTGCAATTTAAAAATTTTAGTGTGTTTTAACCGCCTTTTGTTTTCGAAACACAATCATTGTGTAAACCTTGAAGTAATCATCGTTCAATTTCACCGAGCCAACACAATTAAAATTATTATTGCAGATATAATTTTAATGTCTATTTTTTCTTACTGATTTCGGAATTGCGTCATTACTTTTAAAGTTCTATTGTAAATTATTTTACGGTCAATAGTACTGATAATTTAAATTTATATTGACGATATTTAGAGCTTGTCAAAGAATTTTAGTTTATAAATCTATCTTTACTCCTGCCTCAGTTTTACTTATTAATTTGTGTATACAGATAACGAGGAATTGTGGAAAATAATCTTTATATAATCGACGCATTTGGACACTTACACTCGCGAGTGCGTCGCTGGCCTTTCGGGAATTTGTACGCTCTTTTCTTTCGACTACGAAATACATGTAGTATTTTCTTATAATTCAATTTTAGAACATTAAAGAATATTTTTAGGAATATAATCCAATGATAAGCGAGTTTCCAGAAGTCTATTTCCTAATAGATCTGTGTTACACTTTTGGATTGGAACAAGAGAAAGTATGATTCGTAACAAAATATTAGTTCCGTCGGATTTTGGAAACCTAAAGTCAATGAACTTTAAAAGTTTATACGTAAAATATAGTAAAATTTCTATAAAGATATAGACAAATAAACAATTTATTTAAGTAATAATTAATTTACTTTGTAATTTATATTTTATATACATTTATTAATCACGTATTTTTTCAAGGAATTACCACAACAATGATTAACCCAAATACTGTTATCGACTCTATAATAATTAATTTAAGGTTCATTTTTGTAATATTTTACCTTATTCTAATATGAGTTTTTGTTTTGTTTGGTCCATAGGTCATATTGATACCAAGCTAATTTCACTTATTGAAACCTTTTATATAGAAGAATTACTTTCGTCACCGTTGTCAATCTCAAAAATACAAGTTTTTAAAGCTAATATAACCCTTCTGGTTTAAGCTGTGTTGATATGGGAAGATAGACAGTTTTTTATACAGAAGATGAACAGTCAACATTCAATAGCATAAGATAGAGTAACAAACTTACTTACAAATTAAAAATAATAATTATTAAAGATTTTAAAACCTAGATTTTTTAAAAAATAGATTTTAAATGTCATCAGCAATTAAGAATTAATTAATATATCATAATTTAAGTTAATGTCCCAAAAAACAACCATTTAAATTCAACAATTAACAAATTTTAAACTTGCTTAAGATCTGCTTTAGATTGGAAAATATTATCAAATATTAGTTTTTGTAAGAAAATGATAGGTAACTATAAACCAAATATTCACATATAACAATTTATATTCTTATATAAATTAAGGATATTTTTATAATATTACTAGTGGACCCCACAGACGTTGTCCTGCATGATATTTAAAGCGATTAGGATATTAAGCAAAGTATGAAAGTACCGACTGCAGTGCCATCTGCCGGGCTGATTTGTGAATCTAAACCATTCCCAGATCCCCTTGAACACACACAAAAAATTTCATCAAAATCGGTCCAGTCGTTTGAGAGGAGTTCAGTCACATACACACGCACAGAAGAAATATATATATTAAGATTTCCTGAATATTCAGAAATATTTCTAGATATTCATGCATGTAATGCAAATGCAACAGTTTAAACTGGAACTAAACCATGCAATAATTGATTCTACATTCATTGAATTTTTCACAGTTTAAAAGTCAATCACAATGTGATTTATTGCTTGATATTAATTAAAGTATGTATTAATGTAACATAGAACCATATACATATTAAAGTAATTTTGATAATAAGTAATTAATTAAATGGCGCAAAAACAATTTTCATTAAATCATAAGACATTAATACTTTTTATCAGATTTAAAACCTGTGCAGCAAACAAGGTAGTGCTTGAAAATAAGTTATTGAACTTGTTAATAAAACATTTGTTACAAGCATGATAACAAAAATGCTTATTAATCCATAAAAAAGTTTGTTGATAAGATTATGTTTTGTAAATTGTAATCTACTATACTAATTTAATTTCGTAGTAGGCAAGTTAAGGTTAAAATCCTTTTAATTGCAACAAACAAATACCACTTACTTAAAATGATGACAGATAGTCTTAGCTAAGCCATTGCCAGACCCACAGGGTAATACAGCTAATGGTACTTCAGCAAATACTTGCTGCCAATCTAATCTCTGAAACATTCCATTTAGAACTTCGAAAAGAACCCCATCACCACCTACAGCAACTATCCCCCTCCAATTATAAACATTTCGGGTACGAACAAATTCCTTAGCATAATTGGCATATTTGGTTACATGGAGATCATATGGAACATCAGCCTCTTGCAAAATTGGAGCTACCTTGGTTTGAAATAATTCTCTTGCTTTACCTGGCCCAGACTTTGGATTTAACAGCACTAGTAATTTCTTTTCAATATTTGAAGGGATATTTGAAATTGGCTCATTCATTAACAAACATTTGATAGTATTTCTCCATTTCTGCGCTTCTTTGTTATTATCTTCGTACTTGTCGTATGACCGGAACCTCAATGTAATTGTTGTGCGTTCTCGCTTTAAAGAACGGCGACTTTGCTTTAAAACGTAAGCATAAATATATAAATACGCACTAATATCATTTTCATCAAGATCGCCGCTGTTTTCATCAACAACTTTTAGTTGCTGATTACCAACAAGGGAGGTACACACACAAGAACCACCACCGACACGACGTCTTTTACTTCTCATACATTTACTACCTATTATATCGCGTAGTAAAATTGTTTGTTCCTTAGAACTATCGTCTGTTTCTTTTATTAAAGATAAACCTTTCGACGTTAGGCGTACCCGAAACACAGATTTCTTCTTGGACAGAATATAAAATGTTTCTTCAAGATAGACTCGCTCTTTAGGATCGGATTTTTCATCACCCATTGCATGAAGTACGTCTAATCGCAACTCAGAATCCGCCATAACTGAAATTGCAATAATTTTGTATTTACATTTTCACAAAACGAGCTCTGGAAATAAAATTGAAAAACTGTCAATAATGAAGTCAATTCTCATGCTGAAGCTAGTGTCATGTTTTGTGAAATGACAACTGACTATTAGCGTAATCTAGATGATGAATGCATAGATTACGTACATATATACATTATTAGACATACTTACCGCATGAGATGACCGTGCGTTTTCCAATTACAGAGCATTTTGCGACTCAGTGCCGCACAATGCCGCATAATGCTGAAGCTTAATTGGAACGTGAATTAGTTTTCAAATGCATCAGCAGAGTGCGCTAAGTCAGTGTTGACAAAAAAATGGTCTGAATAGAGTTAGCAACCTCATTAATGTATAAATAATGTGGTAAACAATAATAATTGGTTGAAAACTTTTTACGCTTAATTTAATAATCAAATTATTTCATTAACATTTTTTTACTGAAATAAGAGAAAACCTTTAAAGAATATAAGGTTTTAACAAGCTAAATTAACAGTAAAATATTTAGTTTAATGTAAGAAGTTTATGTTTTGAGTAATATTTTTTAATGATTTCTAAAAAAAATATATACTTTTTCAAAACCATTGCAATTTTTTCTAAAGTATAATCCTGTAAAGTAAATTTGTTTACAGATCCGATTTTTAAAATAAAATTGTGTTCATATTTTAAATGTGGAATATAAAAAAGTAACTATTTATACCTTCATCCATACTAATATTTATTTTTTTTAGCAGTTTGAAATAACTTTAATTATTTTCAAAATCTACGATGAAACGAAAGCCTTACAAATTTTTCAACAATAAATAATATTTACTAACGAAAATTTCGATAAATGCCAACTTAAAGAAAAATACTGGTCAATTTTCTGTCATTGTGTTGGTATTGTTTGCGAGAGCATTCGTTTTGAGAGTGCTCAATTGTGCGAAGCGTTGCTGTAGTTGGAACACTCAACGTTGAGCATTATGCCGCAAAATGCGCTCTAGTGCTGTAATTGGAAAACGTACGGTATAAATAGTGTTTGATGTTATCGCTTTTGGATATGGTCTGTTGTATTATCTTATATTAACCGATTATATTCTATGGTTATGACTTATGATCTTTGACAATAATAGTGTGTCCACAGATTCACACTAATACTTTTGTTTGTCCCATAATTTTTATGTAATAAGTAATAACTAAAAATAAGTTATTAAATATTACCTAAGTCGATTGTCCTTGACGACAACAAAAATAACCTAATTACAAAATACAAACTAGTATATCACATGTAATTTCAGTATTTTTAAGTTTATGCTACTGTTAATTAAACCCAAGACTTAACAGCAATTTTGTTTTTAGATATCTACAAAATGAAGCACAAAATATTGGAACTTTATAGTGGTATTGGAGGAATGCACTGTGCATGGAAGGGTACCAAAATTATTATTTTTTAAATATTATGTGTTTAATAAAATCTTTAGAACCATGCTATAAAATTATTACATATTTATAACCTTTCTAAAAATACTATAATTTCAGATTCAGGTTTAGAGGGTGATATAGTAGCTGCAATAGATATTAACACAGTTGCAAATGAGGTTTATCGTGAAAACTTCCCCGATACATACCTAATAACTAAAAACATTCAATCATTAACAGTGTCAGAGATAAACAAGCTTGAAGTTGATACAATTTTGATGTCTCCACCATGTCAACCATTTACAAGGAATGGCAAATATCTTGATGATAGTGATCCAAGAACAAATTCTTTCCTTTATATAATTAGCATTTTAAAAGAATTAGTAAACATTGAAAATATTTTAATGGAAAATGTTAAAGGCTTTGAATGTTCCACAGTAAGAAATTTATTTATCGATAAATTAAAAGAATGCAACTTTGACTATCAAGAGTTCCTTTTATGTCCCAGTCAAATTGGAGTGCCGAATTCAAGACTACGGTACTACTGTTTAGGAAGAAGAAAGTCATCCAAGTGGCACTATGAAAGGAAAGAAGAAATTGTATGTTAACAAATAATTATATATTTATAATAATTAGTTGTGTACCTTTATTTAGTATATGTTTGTTGCAGATATCTGAGCCACCATTTGAAGCTACATCACTATTTCCTCTACGGGATATCTTAGAGAAAACTGTGCTTGAGGTGTATTACTTGAATGACAAAGTATTGAAATGGGGAAAAGTTTTGGATATATGCTATAAAGATTCAAGGAGGTCTTGTTGTTTTACCAAGGCATATTCTCATTATGTGGATGGAACTGGTTCAGTTTTTACTGAAATGAGCCCAGAATTTGTAAAAAATTGTTACTCTGAAGCAAATAAGTTTGACATTGGAAGTGATGAATATATTGCAAAACTCAAGGAGCTAAAATTAAGATTCTTCACCCCAAAAGAGGTTTTGGCAATAATGATGTTTCCTAAAGACTATGTCATACCTGATGGCACTACTATGAAACAAAGTTACAGATTAATAGGGAATAGTGTTAATGTTAAAGTAATAACTGAATTATTGAAAGTTTTATTTATGTAGCTATATGCTTTCAAAGCTGATTATTTAGTAATTTTTTATATTTGACATATTTATCATTAAAATCATTTGGAAAAAGTGCTAAATAAACATGGACAACAGAAATACAAATATTACGTCTCCTAATACAGAAACCGCTCTATGAGGTCACATTTTGCCTCTCATGCTTTATGCTCATGCATCAGTTAAAATAAATGTAATTAAATTGTTCCATTAGCAAGAACTTGTCTGGCCCGTCTTTTAGCCCTATGGTTGAGAACACGCATTCTTAGCATCACAGCCAAAGAGGACACAGACCCCAAGAAGAATGACCAGATAGTAAACTTCCAGAACTTTCTCTCTTCTAAATGTGCAACACGGTCACAGCTAAAACAAAAATAATTTATTACCATTATAAACAATGGAACCTAATGGATATAAAGTTGAAAATATAAAATGTGCTTTACCTTTTGGTAACTGTTTCACCATTTTCACATCTTAGTATTTCTTTAAAGCTTGTGTGTATACACACCCCTATGCTCTTGCTTCGTATTTCAAAATCTGAATTCACATTTTATATATAAATTAAAATAAATAAATCAACACGTAAGTGAATATATTAAGCAATAAAAATTACCAGAACAGGGATGACATTCACTGATTACTGTATAAGGTTGTGACAACCAACATGTTGAATTATTTTCTGTTGGAAATGTTTTATTTCTTCGTTGACTACCAGTTAAAGTGTCCGCAAGATGTGATTCTAATATAAGAACTACAATTGTAAGGCTGGAAGAAATTCATACCTAATAAGTTGATCATATAAAAATGTTATATTTGAATAATTGTGATCTAGAATTTATTTGTTTTTAAAGAATCAAATTAAGTACTTACATCCCTAAAGAAACTGTGCCAAACAACATACATCTCTTGGAACATGTTTCTATCATATCTGTTATTTTGTCACTATTCTTGTTGAAATCTATATAAAATAATTCGTATCGAAAGTAGTTATTTAAAACTTTGTTACTAGAATTGAAAAAAAATTAAATCTTTGAACTCTCTGTCTATGAGTCAATTGTTGTAAATTTTTCAATTAATCTTGCAATTTTATTTTTATATTATTGTTGCGAAATGCCAATGCCCAATAGTGCTTACTGCTTAGAATTGTCATTAACAAAAAAGTATATGCCATTAATCACAATACTTTGTGTAATTCATTCCACAGGTTCGTATTACTTTTTAGCATTGTTGTCGAAAGTAATAAAAAAAAATCAACTTCCTGCGACCAATGGATATCTCTTGCAAATTATTTTTAACTTGGTTCAGAACTACTATAGTAATTGTGTTTTTATTAATCTGATAAAATCCTTAATTTCAATACCGTAAATTACTAAGTCTGTGCATATTATCTACTCTATCTACTGTCTACACTCTAGTATTTTATAGTCCGTGCTTCAGACTTGTTGTCTATGCGGTACCTCTATATGTCTCTATAGTTTAAAAGTGTAGAAAAATATTCAAAATCTTCAAAGGAAATTTGAATGGTGATCAGTGATCAGGATAATTCTTAATTAACGTGTTTAGTTTATTCGTGATGTGTTTTAATTAGGATTTCTCCTTTAAAAATCCTGAAATAAACAACAAAAAATGGCTTTGCCACCAGACATGCAGCGGTCCTTTCGCCTTTTTGTTACCCATGTGGATGGAGAGGGTTTTTTTCTCAAAATAAGCGGACAACTTGATCAGCAATCCTCTATGATGATTGAAAGTTTACTTAAGTTGGCTGTTGAAAACCTCGAAAGTGGAATTGGAGCAATCCCACCGGGAACGCCGGTACCCGAGGGCGTCGTGTGTGCCGCCAAATACAAGGATGGAATATATTATAGAGCTAAAATTTTAAGCATTAAAAACATTGCCAACGGTTTAGTAGGAGTGCATTTTATTGACTATGGTAATAAAGATACCATTTCGCTCAGTACCATAAGATATCTAAATAAGTATGATCCAATGTTACTTCAAATACCAGGGCAAGCCTCTGATTATTATCTTTCACGCCTTATCCATGAGTCTGGATGTTGGGATGAGCGTCTGTTATTAAAACTTCAAAGTCTACTTTGTTATGCTGAATATCCAGCTACTATTGATGCTAATACACGAACAATTCCTGTAATATCAATTCAGTTCAAAGGAAATGATTTATCAAATCATCTTGTAACAAACAAATTTGGTATGGCTTTACCTTTAGAGAAACAAGAATTTCTGTTATTGCAGGTACCTGATAATCAACTTATTCCTAATTGGTCTCCAACATTAATGACTGATTCGCCAGCTTATCCTGAACATGTACCATTTTTACTTAATCAGAATTTTCCTAATCCAGCAACAGCTATGAGACAAAATGCTTCTGTCTCCTATTCCACTACTATTCCACCTCCATCTATGGTAGCTCAAAGACTCCTAGTAAATAGAGCTTCTAGGAATACTGTAAATTTAAAAGCACCTATTCGTCAACCACAACAACCTTTTTCTACAGCCCCAGCAGCAGTTTCTTCTACATCTGTAACTATGGGTTTACCCAAAACTCCTTCTCCAAAAAAATCAAATACATACAAGAGTAGACTTCTTGAAATTAACTCAACACATAAGGTCTTTGTATCATATGCTGAAGAAGGACCAGAGTTATTTGCTGTGCAACTTGCAGTGGATGCTATAAAACTACAAGAAATGATGGACGACATAAACAGGCGACCACATAGCAGTCTAACAGAGCCTCCGATGATTGGTACTGTTTGTCTTGGAAGAATGTCTGGAGATAGAATAATTTGTAGAGCCATAGTTATGAACCTTTCAGGATCACAATGTAAACTATTCTTCGTAGACTTTGGTGATACAGAGATGGTGTCATACTATGATATATTTGATATACCAGAAGAGTTTGTTAAACCAAATGTATTTGCTATGAGATTTTGTTTGTCTGGTGTAAAGAATTTGGAGAAAGGACCACACTTAAATGAGGCATTTAAACAGCTTGTGAATGGAAAGCTTTTGTCATTGAGAGTGGTTGCACCTGAAGGACCACCTCTAATTCAGTATGGAGAACTGTACGTGGATAACAGAAATGTCTTAGATTTGTTGATGGCAAACATGAAAGATAAGTTACAATTTAAGTGGCTGGATGCATTACCACAGAACAGTAAACAATCAGTATTAGTGTCTTATGTTGATAGTTGCATTAAATTTTACATTCAATTATCTGACAACATAGACACCTTAAATGCTGTAATGGAAGCAGTCAAAAATCACTGTGAAAATACATCCTCACCTGGACCATTGCCAATTGGATCCGTTTGCTGTGCAAGATTTCCAGAGGATGCCAATTGGTACAGGGCAATTGTTAGGGACACCAAAGGAGAAAGAATAATTGTTGCATATGTTGACTACGGGAATGAACAGGAAGTAGCTGTAGCCGATATTAGGACAATTACACCAGACCTAATTCAGTTGCCAGCCCAAGCTATGAAATGTGCCTTAAAAGTAAGTACACAAATATTGTTTTGGAACTTAAATTGTTACACTTAAGATATTTATTTTTAGTCTATATAGTGTATTTTTTTTTTGTTTGTTTTAAAGATAAATGTATCGCTGATGAAATTTTAGTTTTCTCTAATTGTTCTTGGGCTTGTATTGTAAAGTGAAAGTAAATCTTGTCTTGAGAAATATTAAAATGCATAATGAAAAAATAATTTTAAATTTATTCTTAGCTTAGGATCAAATTCTAACACATTTTTGACGTATGGCAGTCACAGACTAAGTTTTAATATCTTACATCACCCTTAGACTAGAATTTATTGTAAACACAGGGCTATGAAGACAAAGCTGTAGAAAGCAAGACATCAAACCAACTGGAGATGTTGGCGTTAGAAAAAACATTGATGGTTCACGTGGTTGGCATGTACTCTCATGATACAATGCTAGTAACATTGGTTGATGATACAGTATCGCCACCTTTGGATATTGCCAGGCGGATGAACCAGCTTTCTCAACCACGAAGCACTGGAAATGTTGAGGTAAATTAAATATAAAAATTATGTAATAAGGCATTTTTGAAGCTAAAAACTATTGTCAGTAATCTTACTTGTAAATTTGAAAATCTGCACTCTAATTATTAATCTTAGTTTTACATATTGTTTCTCAGTAAGTGAATTATGTATGCAATTCTAAAGAGAGAAATAAAGTTATTCTTAAACCTTAAAATTATATGTTATCATAACACTAGCCTCACAGATTTACCCGTTGAAGATTGAAGCAAGACATTTTATAGCCTTCCTCCTGTAAAAAGAAGATTCTAGAAAGAGTCTAAAAAAAACAGGCCTTTTATTACCAGGGAAGGCTGTTCATGGCATTTTACATTTGGATACTTAATTTTTATGTTTGTTGCCTGTTGGCTATTTATCTATAAATAAATTTATACGATTACTACGCATTACAGACATCAAATGTTTTAAAAGTAATAACGAATTGATTTAGAAACTTAATTATTCAGGCTTGTTTTTGTTTTTTTACTATTATTTTTTATCTATATTATTCAAGTTTCTCAACGTTTGAACGTTCCCGGTATTTATCAAATATTTCAAGATCATAATTAACCAAATCAGTCCTGCCATTCTCGAGTTTTAACGAGGCAAACGGGCAGCAATTTAGTATATATACATATGTGTATATAAATATATATAATGCTACCTATATTAATAAAAAAATTATAAAAAGTTTGTTTCTTGAATTCATTAGAAACAAATTTTACTTTTTGTATTACTATTTGACTGGTAGATTATATGTAGACTTATTAAAACAGAAGGCGTCGCCTCCGATACGTAAAGAAGCTCCAGAGTTCAGTTCGCCTGAAGGCAGCGTGCCTGATGATGGACGTAAGAAGAGTTTCCGAAGGGAAAAGAGTTTCAAAGATGAAAGGAAACGAGATGGCGATGAAGAGTTTGGACAGAGAGGTGGCAGCTTTAGGGGGAGGTATGTTATTTATTTACGATTTATATAGAAATTGATTAATTACATATTTCAGTGTAAACTCTAAATAACGACACTATCTGTCATTATTTTGACGTTACAACGAGTTGCCGTTAAATGGAAAGAAAAATTCAAGTATTACTTAACGAATTTTGGGAGGGGGGGCGTCCTTATGTAAAACGTTACGATACGGGGCGGGGATTAAATGACGCGTTATTGTTAATATTATTTTCGACTTTCCAGTACTTTATACAACATAATGGTAACTTTTAGGTATAAAGAATCATTAGGTGGTCACGAAACGTTTTACTTGGGAACAGTACTGTACTTGGGTACAGAAAAACGTTACGGCGCGTTACATGAGGGGTGTGGGGGGGGGGGAATAATCTCCAAAAATTGCGTGACGTAATACTCAAATAATAATCAATAAAATACTCAGAAATGTGTGTGTCCCTCAAATTTTGAAAAATAAGGGCAAAGTAATCTTCGTAACAATTAATAGCAGTAGGCAAAATTATTGTACTCATTATTTTAGAAGAAACTAAAATGTTTATTTGAAAGTGACCAAGACAATTACGTTATAGACGATATATTGCACGATATCAGCTCGATTTGCAATTAAAAATAGCGCACAGCGAGTCATACTTTACGCGCGTAAGCGAATTCAGTTAACTTTTTCACGAACAGCAAAAAATAATTGATTTGAGTCATCCAAAGCCTCTATAGAGCTATTACTAAATAGAGCCGTCTTTTAGACAGTTATTACGTATATTAATATTACAAACATTTCGAAGTTATTAATAATAAACTAGTTATTATTAAAACGTCATAACGTAAAAACTAGGAGTTATTAATATTACAAACAGTTTGAACTTATTAATAATAAACTAGTTATTATTAAAACGACATTTTCTATTAAAGCATAGAAACAACTAGGAGGAATAAACATTATTATTAAGAATTTAAAACGCGCCTCGTTTACGATTTTTTGTTATACGATTTTACAATACGTACTAATAATGAAGTTAATGATAAATAATTGCAATGTTTTGCGAGGTGAAAGTAGAATCGATTATTAAAAATGTCAGGAATTGAGACTATTATTTATAAACGAGTATTAAGACAAGTGGAATTAAAAAAACCAGGTTTATTATAATCAATTAAATAAATGAATGGGCTATTCTCTGTTAGTTGGTTTTTGCTGCTGTTGATGATCATGTATTTTGGGTTTTTAATAGACCTAAATTATTGCAATCAATGGCCTTTTAAAACAGCAGTTCTTTATTATACATTGGTTTCTTAGGAAAATCTAATATTAGTTCCCATACTCCTCCGAAACGCCTCGACCGATTCTTATGAAATTTTTTATGCATATTCAGTAAGTCTGAGAATCGGCTACTATCTTTTAAACCCTTTAGTGATAAGGGGTGTCCACACCAAAAAAAAAAATATTTTATCGCCAAACATTTTTTATTTTTTCGACATTTTTTTTAATGATAAATCATAAAAAAATATACATACATCCTCTTAATTTTCACCCCTCTTCGATCAACCCCTATTTTTATTATTGATATTTATATTTATTGAACTAAAAAAATGTTTCCTAGAAATAATATACAATGGCAAAACAAAACAGTTGAAAATCATACAAATGAAATTGCTGCACACATTTTGTCTGCGTCTTGTAGCGAATTTTGAGAGCTGCCGGTTGCTCTATTTCGTAATATCTCTACGGGTCATTGAACTGTCTTAAACTCAGTCGAATTGAGATTCGAAGCTCGTAACATGTTTAGACGTCGGTACAGGTAATAATTATAATACAATATATATTTGCTGTATAATTGAGTGTTAAAATAATTTTTAGAGACCAGAAGGATGGCTTCGACAGGTCCGGTTCTGGACGCTTCGGCGATAAACTTTCTAAGCCCGATAGAGGTGATAGGTAAGCAGAAATTATTTGCTAGTTGTTGTGAATTGGAATGTATTTCTATAAGAGCGTGTAGGCTTAGTGCGAATCTTTGAGGACTTTCTGTCTATGCGCACATGCTCGTACGTAAGGAAATCGTTGTGGTTTTCCTCACCATGGCATGGCATTGGCGTGGACCCAAAAAGTTGACGGCGTGTGTCAGGCACAGAAGGCTGTGTAACCTATTAGAAAAAACAAATGATTACGATACACAAATCTGAGGCCTAGACCTAATAGGTTGCAGTGCCACTGGATTAAGATATAATATACAATGCACAACATATTTTGTATTTAATAGCCTCCTCTAGCTCTTTAAATATATTTAATTTGTAACGTATAGCATATGTTATGTTGCTTAACCTGAAGGGGATGTTGAATTTGATTTCTGGCTAAACAATACTAGTTTCAAATAAGAAGCCTCTCCCCTTGCGTGTAAAACATATGACACAGTACTTAATCGGGTCGTTACATTTACTTAATTAGATAATATTAAAATACATTTAAACTAAGTTGGAAAGAAAATATAAACTTAAAACATTCAAAATTACACCCCAATTTCTACAGGATATATAGAATAGGAATCTTACTATAAATAGCGACGTGGCGATTAAAATGCAGCCAGTAAACCAAAAACGCTAAATTGCTTTTAATATAATTTTATATTATTTTAGAGGCAAATTGATGTGAAGTGGCGGAAACTTCATAAGCGTCATGGATGGCTGATTGGTGTTATATACTTGCTATTCTAGACTTTTAAAAAGTTGTAACAATTTTATTTAAATTAAAACTGTATTTATCTCAGACGCGGTGGTAGACGTGAAAACCAATTCTCCCCGCAACCAGCATCAGCAGAAGAGAGTTGGGAAGACTCATCAACTCCGTCAGTTCAGTCGCCGCCGCTCAGACAGAACAGGGAGAACCATAGAGATAAGTACGTAATTTACTATATGTAGAACAAAACGCATCGGGGAATAGAGTCGTGAAGGAATATTACGACTGTTTTAATGTTTTTTCACTTTTGACTTCCTTGGGTGATGTACTATAACTGTAATTTTTTCAGAAATTTTGCAAATTTTTAATATAAAACACGACGATGTCATTATTTTAAGAAATTATTTTGTGCAATATTAGTAATACTTGTTTACCTAATTTTACTTTCCTGAAATAGAGAGAAACAACGATAAAGATGGTTTTTGTTTAGATTTAAATTCTACCAAATAATCATAAAAAAGTTAGCGACAGTTTATAAACGAATAAATACTGGTAATAATATATCCCTGTTTCACCAAGGTCATAATATTTCCGAAAATGAGTGGTAATAGATTAATACGTTCTAGACATTCGTCAAAATTACCGTCGTAATGTGCGGTTACTGTGTCGTCCGTAATATGTTAAAACATAACAATCGTGTAGGCTTTTGCTCTTCAGTGTAATTAAATGAATTAATATAATATACATTTAGCAATTTTTTAACTATTTACACTAAATACATAACAACGATGTTTAAATCGTTAAATAGGAAAAAGTATTGTCATTTTGTATATGTAATATTCCACACCAATACGACTAAGGGTCCTTCAAGAAAAGAGCGTACCCATTCTTAAAAGGCCGGCAACGCATTTGCAAACTTTCGGGCATTGTGAGTGTCCATGGGCTATCACTTAACATCAGATGAGCCGCCTGCCGGTTTGCCTCGTATAACATAAAAAAAGTTTTTAGTATCTTTGCAATAATAGCATTACCTTCTTTTATTTTTCCTGAACAAAATAGATTTTGCTTTTACGACTTTGTTCCCCGGGGCAAGCGAAAACTTATGTATATAATATATTATTTAATATTCAATTATTCTATGTATGATGTAATGAAATTGTAGATATTTATTTATTTATACTGTTTGTTATATAAGAAAGTTTTCTAGGCCTGATATATATTTTATTATTTTTAAATATATGCTTTACGTGCGGTATTAACAGAAGAAAGTCTCGGCCAGACGAGAGACAAAAAGGGCACAAAAAGGAGTCGAGTGTCGGTCGACGGTTGCGGCAAGCGACAGAAGTGGCGCAAGCGCATAAAAATATTCAGGACAGACTAAAACGGTACAGAAGCCTTACAAAAGCCTTGTCCTTTTGTGTTTTTCACCAAATTTCTGTATCAACACCTATCACTTTGGAAAGGAGATTGCCCTACGCTCGGAGTAAAATATATTAAAAGTTTTTGAAGATATACTTCTTTAGGCGCGTTATGAAAAATTGATGAGAGTGAAATTTTACGATGCGCGCGCACCGTGACACAAAATTAACAGAATGAAGTTGCCACATTCGAATAATAATAGAATTTATGTTACACTTAATGTAAGAGAATAATAATAAATATTTATTTATTTAATTTTTCAAATGTAAACTGAAATTTATTGACTATAATGACTCCTTTTCCAGTCTTTGATTATTTAATTGTAATTAATTATTTGCATGCAATCAAAAACTATTTTTAATAATACCAAAGAAGTATAACTTCTTACGCGCGTACATAAGTACACGCACCCTTTATTTATTAATTTTATACAAGTATGGGCAATCTTGTTTTATGCGCTAGAAGGATCTTGTTGTCTAAAAGACCGCTTCGCTTACTTACACGGTTTCATTCGCAAATTAATTTCATGTTGCACTGTTAATGTTCTATCCGAATTTTGTATTTTTGGCTCCATAGTTTTACACTAAGGTTTTGTGTTTCAGCTAAACAGTTTGTACAGTCATTTGTTTCTTTCACTGCGTTTGTTGTACTTTTTAATTATTTCTTGTAAATAACATTATTTAAATCTCGTTAATTAGGAATAGTTTTTACATGTTTGACGTTTCTGATTATGTGAAGTTTTTTGAGAGCCTAGGCTTCGACGTGCGACTCTCATACCTTTGGTCGTAGCTGCGATCCCCGGCTGTTTTATCTAAGTGCGCATTTAACATTCGCTCGAACGATGAAGGAAACATCGTGAGGAAATCGGATTGCCTTAGATCCAAAAAGTCGACGGCGTGTATCAGGTTGATCACCTACTAGCCTATTGGATTGATCATGAAACATATACAGAAATCTGAGGCCCGGGGGGGGGCCTACCATGAACTTTCTTAAAACTTTTTGAGATGCAGTTGAGTTTAGGTACCTACAGCCAATAGCATTTTTCGTACCATGACCGCCTATAAGCTGAAACGTATTTGCATCTCAAGACCGAATGAAAGAACGATAACTTTGTTTGAGGTTTCTATGTAAGTTTTGAAATTTAACTGTCAAACTTTCTTTGACAGATGTTTCTATAAAAATAAATAAAATATAAAATTATTTTAATAATTCGTCAATCACAATAATCTATTATGTCTTAATATATATATATTTATTTAATATAAAACTATTCTTTTGTTATATTTTAAACAAAGTTTTCTGGTTGACACTTATTATTTTTAAACGTTTCCGTCAAATTTTGATAGGAGTTTTCAATATTTTGGCGTTTACAAAATTGCAGCTTTATAAATATAGTTTTATAAATGGTTTAACTAATAAAATAATATGATGGTGAAAGTATTGTTCACAAATTTGTTTATTAAAAATAAATATCTATATCGAAGTTAATTCCTGATATAAAACTCTTTGCAAAAAATATTACAAATCAACTTATTACTCGAAAATCATAGTAAAAATTATTTCCTTCAAATTGTACATCATCAAATATATAATCAGGATTACATTAAGTCCATATCATTATGTTAACATAATGATATGATATGAACAACATTACTCACTTATCCTCGCCACTATTTTCCAATCCTTCCCCACTATCTCTTTTGTTCCAATTTACAGTTTCATTTATATTAAACGACTTTTTTAAATTTTGTGTATAATAGAGTAACGCGTCATTATTTATAGTAATTGTTACCTTTTATGCCTCGATAATAATTACATTTCAATTACAATATCCGAGGTCGTTGATTTGGAATACATTTATAGCTAATGATGTGTGTTGTTACGCTTCAATTGAACATAATTATGAATGCAGTTAACTTTCAGAAAATGTTACGATTCTTATAAAGAATTTGATGATATTGTAGCTTTAAACTGAGCTATTAGGGTTTGCTGTCCCAAATTTGGAAAACAAGACAATTTTATGTAGTGGCTCATGATTGCTTTGAAGTATAATCTAAATATTTTTTTTTTAAATTTCTATTTGATTTTTTTACTGAGAAACTTATGCTTGCATTAATTGTCACACATTTTAGATGTGGGATTTTGTGAAATAGTTGGTGGACTTAGGACTGTGTGTGATGTTGTGGGCTTATAACTAAATAAATAAAAATAAAATAAATAAGTATTTTGGAAATAAATTTTGAATAGTGGACTCGACAAACGTTGCTTTGTACACATGTCGAACAAAAAATTATCGAATTGTAAATCTAAACCTTATGTATGTATGTTTTTCCGAACAAATTTGACTTAGGGGAAGAGAAAAGAGCGTACCACTTTTTAAAAGGCCGGCAAAGTCCTCTGGCGTTGAGTATCCAGTCACTTAACGTCAGATGAGACCCCTGCCCGTTTGCCTTCTGTACTATAGAAAACAAATAATTTCTTCAAAATCTGACCACGTTTAAGAGGAGTTTCATTACACACGCAAATAATATTTTATATCTAAAAATGTAACTCGGTAATTATGTAATGAGTATTCCTGTGAAAAAGTTTGAGAAATTGGACCAGACTTGTGATTATACGCTACACAATAACATACCAAATACAAATATTTGCCTTAAAAAGTGTTTCAATAATAAATCTGTTTATTCTATAATTTCTAATGATTCACCCACGATTTCATTTTATATTAAATCATCGTATCACGTTCATTTTCGTCTGGTTTTTAAATTTACTTAAATAAACTATAGGTATGACAAATTATTTATAAAATTTTGTTATATACACATAATTATGACCAGAACTTTTAACTTTTTGGCTTATCTGAATTGTATAGCTTACGAAAGTTAAAATAAATTCAATAAATTATTGGCCAAAATCGCTCGCTCCCATTTGTTTGCCGACACGCTTGGCTTACGAACATCGAACGCTACATTTTTGTATAATTATTAACGTTTTCATTTATTCCTTTAGCGAATTTCACGGAACTCGGTTTCACTGTATGATATATGTTTCATTTGTTAAATTGGTGCTTTCAGTTTCGTCACCATTAACGTAAAATAATTTATATTGCACCGTTTGAACTATGTCTGTCTCTTTTTATCATACACGTAACGCGTTAACACGATTTTATAAAGAGGTTTTAGTTAACGAATGATGAGATAGATATATCTAACATCAGTCTAGCTATGAAATTTAATAACTAAATATCAGCTGATGCTAACAAAACTGTCACACAGCTTTGTGGACGTTTAGTTCCTAATCAATGACTCTAAGTGTAGCTTTAATTCTCAGAACTTTCCTTAGATCCTGGCTTATCTTAATCACACTAAAGTAAACCATTTCGAGTTGTTTAATATTGACGATTTTTTAATAAAATACTTCATTTAACTCATCCATATAATCCAAAATAATCTAATATTTAATCATAATTATGTAACTAAATTATTGAATGTTGTATTTTACAGTGAAAGATTCTATCAACAAGATGACGATAATAAGCCCGAAGAACGCAATAGGTTTCAAAAGTTTGACAGAAGAGAGAATCGAGGTGAAAGACGCGACAATTGGGGGGACAAGAAGGAAAATTGGCATCAAAACAGGGAGTTTAAAGATAGGGGAGATCGGGATTACAGAGGTGAAAGAGGAGATAGAAGTGAAAGGGGAGATAGAGGAGACAGAGGTGAAAGGGGAGATAGAGGAGACAGAGGTGAAAGGGGAGATAGAGGAGACAGAGGTGAAAGAGGAGATAGAAGTGAAAGGGGAGATAGAGGAGACAGAGGTGAAAGAGGAGACAGAGGGGGTAGAGGGGGCAGAGGTGAAAGGGGAGAAAACAGAGGAGATCGATACGGGGGTAGAAGTAATTTCAGTCCTAGAGATAGGGCGGATCGGTCTGAAAGGTCTTTTGGCTCCGACGATAAGCGATTCGAAAAGAGATCGTACAACGATGACCGCGCCGGCCGCGTTCCTTACAAGAACCGTAGTTTTACCTTCAAGGAATTGACCGACCCAGTATCTCTAGACACCCCATTCACTGAGCCGTCCGTAGAGATCGGTTCACAACAAGAGGTCTCCGTTACTTGGATTATATCGCCCGAGAACTTCTACACTCAAATCCTATCTTTGCAAGCGAAATTCCTCGAGATGATGCACAAAATACCGCAGCTATACAAAGGCGTGAAGTCATACACTGGTGATGTCCCCGTTGGAGCGTCAGTTTTGGCTCGTTATCCCGCCGACGGCGTCCTCTATAGAGCCACCGTGGTCGGTGTCCAGCCGTTCTCGAAGTTTATCGTTCGGTACATCGATTTCGGGAATAAGCAGCTGGTCGACGCTAAAGACATCTGGCAGCTGGAAAGAGAGCTGATGGAGCTGCCCAAAATGGCGGTTCATTGTGCCTTAGTGGGCGTGGCGCCTACGGATGGTGAATGGAAGGCGAATCCTGAGATAGATCTCTGTTTCAACGCTCCCAGATACCAGTGCATCTTCCAAGAGTTTGTGGATGAGCAATACAAAGTGTCTTTGTGGAATAATGGCGTTAATATTGCTGATTCTCTCGTGGAGAAGGGACTCGCGACGTTATCGGAACACCAGTCGTCAGTTACATTAAAAGGTACGTTTAAGTTTATTAATTTGTTTGTATGTATGTGTTTTTATATAGTATGGTTTGTCTCTTCATTAGACGTTAGAACTATACTGAGAGGTTGGGGTGGCCTGAAAGTGGTTAATAGCGATAAGTACGCATAATTATGGTAGAAATCATTCTACTAAATGTTAAGTACAGTAATTATGGTAGATCTTTTTCTAATTTATTAAATCAATAACTTTGCCCCCGCGAAATTAGTTTCGCCTTAATGTTCTTTTTACTTAGCCCAACTTTTTAGTACATACAATTTATAATAAAACAATTTTTACCGGATTGAAGTTATGTATTTACAATTGTTTTCCATAATTTTAAATTTAACCGTCGTTTCGCGTGCTTTACATCGTGCGTGGTCACGTGACCAAGAAAAAATTGTTTTATTATAAATGTGTGAAAGTTATGTCAATAAAAGACAATACTAGCTACATACCAACTACAACATTTTGCTATGTTGAAATACCTAATTAAAACTAAACGTTTCTTCAGAGTTCAAGGAATAATTAAGAAAATACTCAAATTGGTTTGCCTTCTTCGATGCGATTCATTTTATTTATGATAATAATATTAATTAATTTACTATTAAATACTAATAAACTGGCAATTTCCTTAAATGTGTACAGCCTTCGATACATTTTTTAAATAAAATTACCAAAATTAAATAATAGATTTCCACATATATCATATGACACATTTCACACGAGACCCTGGCCGACAAATTAGTTATGTTAAAACGACAGCTTATTCTTAAGTCTTCTTAATCTGATCCAATTATCAGCTAATCTGTTCCACTTATGTCTGAAAATGGCTTAAATTGATAATCTCCTACGAGACTACGTATGAATATAATACAAACAAACAAGACGTTTTATTATTTCATTAAAAAAAAAAAACAATTTACATATGGATGGATGTACATCAATTACATATAAGTCAAAAGTCAAAAATGTAGGTAACACAATGTACACTTATGAACGTCAAAAAAGAAATATACATTAAATGCTTCCAATTTTGCATTTACTGCCAGTTCTCAAATCAAGGGCGTAGAACGGAAGAGAAGAACTGGCAATAAATAAATAATAAATATGGCACATACCGAAAAGAAGAAACTAAGATGATTGACGACATCACTACATAGTATAAAACAAAGTCGCTTTCTCTGTCCCTATATCCCTATGTATGCTTAAATCTTTAAAACTACGCAACGGATTTTGATGCGGTTTCTTTTAAATAGATGATTGAAGAGGAAGGTTTATATGTATAATAACATCCATTAAATAGTGGAGAAATACTGTTATTTTTGAGGTTTCTAACGTGATGTCGTAAATAATTACATTTTTTCCGCTTACATTGCAAACGCAGGCTGAATCCTACGAGATTTATCAAAATAATAAAGTATTGTACACATTGAAAAGGTCTACAGAAAACTCCCCGATGGTATATGTCTATCTCTTATGGATATCCCACAATAACATTTTTTGGCAGGCCCTAGCGGCCATTATTCAATAAAATAAATATTCGGCATATAGCAAGATGCGCAGATAAAAGATGGACAAAGACAACTATTTGGAAGTGAAGGTTAAAAAGGGAGCCCTAGAAAGAGGTGGATAGAAACAGGAAGCGAATGGAGAAAGATAGCCATGGATAGAGAAATTTGGAAGTCCTTTTGAAGGAGTCATCAATGGTACTGAAGGCAGTTAGGATATCGAATAGCAAGAGACAGTAGAGGGAGGGTAAAACTTGCTGAGTCTCTTGCCCGTTCTTCTCAGAACAAGGCCTCCTGGTAGTTGCGAACGGATGGCGTAGTCTTGCTCTTTCGCGAATTTCGTAAACGTTTTTGACATTCATAAGCATGCCCTGAGACGCATCTAAACTGAATAAACGTATATTGAATTATTTATTGATTGATCAAGGAATAAAAATGTAATGATATAGTATTGTCTTTGATTAACATAACTTTTATTCATTTAATAAAACACTATTTTGACCGGATTGAAGTTATGTATTGTTATACGCACGCTGACGGTGCGTGGTCACCGTGACCACGCACGCTGTAAAGCACGCGAAACGTCGGATAAATTTAAAATTATGTTAAATAGTTGTAAATTTATAACAATACATAACTTCAATCCGGTCAAAATAGTGTTTTATTAAATGTATAGATATAACAAATTTAAGCTGTATTTTAACATTCGTAAAGATTGGAAATAAATTTATTATTATATAAATGAATAGTTATTCAATTTCACCAATAGTTATTTGTTTAAAAACTGCCACTGTATATTTATATTATTAACGCCATGTTATTTTTTCAGACGAGGCGATAGATCTCACGATAATCGTAGGTCAACAGATACTGTGTCGTGTGACTCATGTAGAGTCGTACGAGAAATTTTACGTACAACTTGATTTGGATAAGGCTGACTTAGTTGAGAGTGCCATCGCGAACTTTGATGTTAACAAGGTAAATACATATTATTATTACATATATTACTAGTTGAGCAGTGTGCGACTCTCATCCATGAGGTCGTAGGTTCGAGCCCCGGCTGTGCACCAATGGACTTTTTTTCTGTGCGCCTTTACCATTCGCGCGGTGAAGGAAGACATCGTGAGGAAACCGGCTTGCCTTAGACCCAAATAGGCCACGGCGTGTGTCAGGCACATGATGCTGATGATCTACTAGCCTATTAGATTGACAAATGATCATGAAACAGAAATCTGAGGCCTAGACCATAAATTGTTGTAGCGCCACTGATTTTTTTTTAATAGCTGACCCGGCGAACTTCGTACCGGCTTAGTAAAGCTTGATATATTTTCTTTCACACGAATTGATCCTTGTACTCGTTTAACTTACAGAACACTGAACTTTGAACTTGTAAATCGATTTCAGCTCCAAATAATTTTAATGGTTTACTTGTAAAAATATCGGAAAATCCTATTTTCTATGTAATATTGTAAAGTTTCATTAAAATCTGGCAGTCACAGGTATTACCTATTGTAATAAAAATTTGCTATTTAAAAAAATATTTTCAGCTCACACCCATAGCAGATAGAATAATGGACGGTATTCATTGTACTGTTAGACACGAGGGAAAAATATACAGGGCCATATTGGGAGATGTGTCAGATAGTACGTCTGTGGAGGCTGTGTTGCCAGATTATGGTAAAACCATTAGGACTTCAGCGGAAAATGTGAGTTTTTTTTAAATATCGTATCTGAAAACTTGTCGAATCGTATCATGAAGACGTTGTTAACACTAGTTATTTAATATTTAATAAAAGAGGGTGCACTATTTACACTTTCCGGGAGCATATTCGAGTCAGCTACTACTTGGTTTGGGAGAAAGTACTTCAGGGAATTTGTATTATATTTAGTAGTGAGTAAAACTAACCCTCAAATGTGTGTTCCTACTTAAAATAAAGAGCTCCTCAATTCCTGGAACATTATAGTGGCCAGAAAGGATTTTATAGGTTTAAATTAAGTATCAAGTATTATTACTGTGTAATTATAATGACAGTTGTCAATATCAAAGGAATTAGAATTAGCACTGCGATCTCAGATCCAACGATGGTTCTCTTTCCGCACATACTCTTTGCAATAACAACAGATACGAAGTTTAGTGAGATCTATGACTCTCGTATGTCAATAGGATTTGACCTAAAGGTCTAGATACCAGGCCATAAACTCCAAAAAAAAAAAAAGGATTTGACATATTCCTCTATTTCAATTGGATGTTATTTATATTATTACCTCTCTTCACAACGGGCAATGATGGCCCATCAAATGATCGTCCATGATCGGGCAACTCTCCACACAATCGTGAACGTTCATTTACTGACTGTCTACTTTTGTGATATCACGTCTATCTATATGTGATAGCATGTATAATTTGTGTACTTAGGTTTTTAAATAATTGACACAAAAATTATTTAAAAAAAAGTGATGTACCCGACACGACGGCGATTACGTCCAAAAATTACGTAAATAATTGTGTTAAATTTTGATTATAGCAAATGTTATATTGCCTAAGTAGTACTCGATAAACGTGATGCCGAATTTTTTATCAAATTGTATAACATTAGTTTAGATAAAAATGGCTGCCTGAACTCTTCTAATGTCTTCTTCCACTTTTCCAGATAATGATTCTCCCACCCGAACTGAGTGTGTACTACTACCAGTCCCTGCAATGTTCTCTGAATAACTACACAGCGGACTCCAAAATACTCATCCCATCAGAGGAACTCAAGGATCGACTCGTTGGGAATACGTTCATCATTTATATCAATGATGTTGATGGAATATGGTATGTTTTTCCTCTCAGATGCCTAAGATTTCTGTGTCTGTTTCATTATTTGTCAATCTAGTAGACAAGTAGGCGATCAGCCCCCTGTGCCTGACACACGCCGTCGAATTTTTGGGTCTAAGGCAAGCCGCGGTCTCACAATGGTATTTTAATTTTCTATGAGGTATATTGACAGTATTTATAGTGAGAGATAATAATGGTACATAATGATTAACTTTGCATATCGTTTGACGAGTGTGGCAAAAAACGATTTTTAGTATTGTTATGGTCAATATAAGATGTTGTTAGATTAATTACGTAATAAACTATGACAGAAGGTCTCTTAAGTACTGAATGAATTGACCGACTTGGTATTACACGGATCTTGCGACTGTATACGGTAGAACTGTGTTCGCGGAAGAGTTAAAAATAGCGATATTGTCTATTTAATATTATTTTATTCTTAATTTCGACATATTGGCTTTGATAAGTGTATTCTTTTTAAATAAATACGTTGGTATGTCTATTACCAAATTAAACATATCAACTTAATCGGAGAATATTACAAAATACTTTTAACAAACTGCGGAACTGTAGAGATAAAAACAATATGGCTTGCTATTTTCACTGTAATGAAAATAATTTTCTGTACCAGCAACTCTTTATTTACTAATCTATCGACTTTTTCTAAAAAGCATTAATGAATGTTTTGTCTTTATCTCTCTCGTTTACTTAGTTTTACTCGGCTTGCTGATATATTTTCTGAGAATATATTATTTATACATTACAAAGAAATAATTATTATAAGTAACCGGCAACGCACTAGCGACATAGGGCGACTGCAAATTACGACATAATACGGCGAAAAATGTTCTATACCAATTTATATACAGTCAAAATCTGGTATAACGACATCGAAGGGACTACTCATATTTGTTCGTAAAAACCGATAGTCGTAATAGCCGATGATGTCGTTATTAAAGAAATCAAAATCATTTATTCATATAGGTAACACAATGTACACTTATGAACGTCAAAAAAGAAATATACATTAAATGCTAAATGCTTCTAATTTTACATTTACTGCCAGTTCTCAAATCAAGGGCGTAGAACGGAAGAGAAGAACTGGCAATTAACTCTCCGCCACTCTTTTTAATCGCCAAGTTTTTTGGTTTTACACAACGTTTGTAAGGAGCTGCAACCATTACACCATGTTCATTAATAGTTAATTAATAATAATAAAATTAAGTACCTAATACAATGGACTTCAGCCGGGACCTTTGGTTTGGTCAATATAACCTGTATGTTGTTCTAAACGATGTCGTCGTAAACGGTTTTGATTGTATTTAGAAAATTTTTGCAGCCTCATATCAACTCTATACGAGCCGAAGACAGGTGAAAAGGTGGCCATTTTCGAACCAGACGAAGGCGCATATGACGAAGTAGTACCTCTGTGCACTCGGGCCGTATTTAATTATAACTTTGGAATGGCTTTTGTTTCGCATTTGGAGAATCTGAACGAGTTCTACCTGCAGCGGTCGTCGGATTCCGACAAGATCGCCCAGTTATTAGATCAGCTTTACAAGTTCTATGAAGAAGGTATGAATATGTTTTAACTTAAGTCTCTTTTCATTGCGCTATAAATACAATTTGTCAGACAGAGACGAAATAATATTTCGAAACACGAGTGCAATTAGACTGATTTAGTTTTTATGAATATCGTCCTATGCTCACCCACGTAGTCCTGGAATGCGTGGCTGTGGCTTCCCAACGAACAGAAATCCTCGGAGCAGTGAGGTCGCTCCTAGAAGTGCCCTATTTCGAAGATTCTGAAAGGATCTAGGCTGGCTTAATTAGCCAGGACTTAAGGCACGACGGACCAAATGGGCGTATACTACATACATATATACATACATACTATGCTGAGAAATTACCCAAAAGCTAAAACTAGATATATTTATATAAATCAATACTAAATATATTTTTATTTATTCTTGGTCAAATTTCCGCCACCATCAGGATTATTAATTTACTTTATAATAGATTATTTGTTTTATGTGTTCTTATTAAAATTAATTTTTACTTAATATTGTAGAGTTACTAAACCTACTCTATTTATGAATATTGTGATATTTTCTATATGAATATATCTATTTTTTTTTTACTGTGAATAATTACTAACAAACAGATCAATAAATGTAAAAAACCCGTAAAAATTACTCCTAGCTTTGCAATAAAACTATTCTAGAAAATTTATTAGCAAATGAACCTGTTATATGTATTAGGGAATGGTTTGGAATACTCGGCATTTTTTTAATTCAATTTTTTTTCTGTTTTAGGAACTCCCGAATCTCTTACAAGTTTCGAAGCCGACACTTTGTGTGTGGCAAAATCTGCAGATGGCAACTGGTACAGAGCGAACGTACTGAGTGCGACCGATGACGAAGCCAAGGTGCAATACTCCGACTATGGCAACTCCGAAACTGTCCAAAAACAATTCATCAAGAAGATGGATCCTAAGTTCTATGAGCCGTGTTGCCTGGCTTTGGTGGCCAGCCTGGGCCTCGTGGCTTTGCAAGACGACACTCTCGCCAAATTCCAAGACTGGACAAACGATAAAGAAGTACAGGTCACTTTGGCCTTCGGCTCCGACGGCTGGCTCGCCAATTTGAATCTCGACGGCGTCGACTTATCACTTAAGCTCATAGAAGAAAAGCTAGCGGCAACTCAGGTGGAGACGGCCCCGATCGAAGAAGTGCAACCGGTCCCGGAACCGGTTCAGCCGGTCTCCCTCCCCGAAGGCTGCGCCCAAGTTTACATCAGCCACATCGACAGCCCTGGCCACTTCTGGCTTCAAATGGCGGACAAAGTCGACAAAATTGAGGAAATCCAGGCTGAACTGCAGGCCAATATCGAAAGCTACCCCGAAATCGAGAGTAGAGAAATCGGTACCTTGTGTGTGGCGAAATATTCCGCTGATGACCAATGGTATCGGGCCGAAATACTCGATTCGGATTCCGACATCACCACTGTGAGGTTCGTCGACTATGGAAACACGGACGTTCTCGATAACCAACCCGGTCTGATTAAAGTTATCCCGGAACAGTTGAAGGCGATCGAGCGATTCGCCATCAAATCGAGTGTCAACGCCGTCCCGACGGGAACCGGCCAGTGGTCGGAGCCGTCTTCGGACTACTTCACTGGACTCGTCGGCGATTTGTCACTGCCAGTCGACGCGCTGATCGTTCTCAAAGACGTCACCACATACGTCGACATTTTCGTCAACGGCCAGAACATCACCGATAAACTAGTCTCCGACGGCCACGCGACGCGATCGGAGCAGACCGAGTGCGGCGATCTCCCGTCTTGCTTCGCCAGTCACGTCAACTCCCCTTCCGAGTTCTGGATCCAGTTGGAGACCGCCACCCCAGAGTTGCAAGCGATGGAAGCCGCAATGGTGGACGCGGAGAACTTCCCGCCCCTCGAATCAAAAGAGGAAGGCCTCTTGTGCGCCGCTAAGTACCCGGAAGACGGAGCGTGGTACAGAGCACAAGTCATAGTAGACGGTTCCGAGGGCACCGAAGTGCTCTTTATGGATTATGGGAACGCGTCCATGGCGAACGAGCTACGCAGTCTTCCCGACGATCTCAAAACCAGACCGGCGCTATCGAGAAAATGTGCCTTACAGAAGCCGAGAGAAATCAAGTCCTGGTCGCGACGATCGGAGATTAAGTTCAACGAATTGGCGGCAGAAGGTGCTACCATTTTCAACGTACAGTTCATAGCGTCGGGAGACATATCCATTATAGAATTGTTTTTGGAAGGAAAGTCAGTCACCGAAGAGTTGGTCGGCCTCTGTGAAGAGCAACCGGCCTCGGAGAGACCGTCTCCCGTCGGACAGGACTTGCTCAGCAATGGGAAGATTTGCTACGTGAACACGTTAAACGAATTCTATGTGCAGTTGGACGACTCTGGAACTAAACTAGACAAAGTGACGGAGAGCTTAGACGACGGAGCTACTTTCGAAGCCGCTCCCGAGTTGAAAGTTGGATCAGTTTGCGCCGCTTTTTGGGTGGAAGATGCGAAATGGTATCGAGCGAAAATTTTAGAGTTCTGCGACGTCGGCTCCCATGTGCAGTTTATAGATTACGGAAATAAGTCCAAGTGCGTCGATTTCCGGCAGCTACCTGAAGATTTATCGACGATCGAGCCACTCGCTAAAAGCTGTAGGTTGGCCGGTCTAACTGAAGAATCGGCGACTGACGAAACCGCCAAAGCGAAACTGGAAGACTACGTCGTCGATCTAGCGACATTCCAAATAGAGTTTCTAGATAGTACCACCGAACCGTCCTTAGTGAAGTTACTACTTAATGGCGAAGATGTCATATCTTTACTTTTTTCCGAGAACAAAATCAAATTACCCGTTGCACTGAAGGCCGAAGAAACAAACGCGGCCGACGATTTTGGGTCACCTCGAACAGATTTAGATGAAAGTATGGATAGTGCGAAAACTGTAATTGAAAACACTCTTGATATTGACGACAAAGAAAATGATAATCCTAAAACGGAAACTATACTGGAAACAATTTCAAATAAGGACATTGCTTCTGACAAAACGAATGATATTTCTGAAGATAAAGAAACTAACGATTTAAAAGTCAGTGAAAAGTCCGAGGAAATTAATGAAAAAACTTTAGAGCCAGAGCCGAAGGATGAATGCAATGAAAAGCAAGAATCTCCTGAAAAGGCACAAACTGATGGTGCTCCTGCCGAACCTTAAACTAACATTTAAATGCGAAGCATTTGTATATAAGTTTCATTTCATACATAAGTAACAATTACATTTAGAGTATATAAAGAACCATTTGATATCTGACTGATTGTGAAACTGCCACAAGTTTATATCACTGATTGTGATATAAACTTGTGGCAGTTTAACTTTATTTGCGTTGATATTCTTAAATACTAAAAGTGTTTAATTGTGTACCGTTCGCGTAATCTTTTTGTTATCTAATGCGAGGATAGAATTTTTTTATTGTTTTAGATTAAGAACATGTTATACCCGTGACGTATTCGTGTCAATACTCATTGCTTTATTTGAATATTCAAACTGTGTGCATATTGTTTCTGTACATTCCCAGTTTATGTCCTCTGTGCCTCCTTAAACCCTCTTTTAACGTTTACCCTCTTATTTATAAAAAACAAATATACAGTGACCGATTTGTCGTGAGTAGATCACGTTGAAATCTGTCACAGAACAGTGCTTTAGTTTTTATGAATAAGGATAGTGTTTAGACCTTGTCTGTTTAAGTTCCAGCGATATTTTCTTAATTTTGACCTTTTTGTTGCTTTATAAAAATGATTATATATTTGAGTGTTTTACTTATTCACCTCTAAAGGCCTTACAGATGTTTACTAGTACGGTTGTGGCTTCTTATCGAAACCGCTTCAATTATCTCGCCCTCGTGCTCTTGGGGTAAATGTAACCCAGTGGTTCTAGGTTTGAACCTGGCGAAACCCAGCCTTAAATATTATCAATGAAACAAATACATGTGTCTTAAGCTACGGTTTCCTATAAAAGCGGTGCCGTTATCTAACGGCGGTAATGTAACGTTGGGTGACGTCACCCATACGTTGTCTATAAATAACATCGGAGTAGGTTTTTAGAGAACGTTGAGTGTCACCGTAACGTCAAATAGCGATGCTGTCATTTGCATGACGGCCGTCATAGCGGTGATAAACAGTAGCTCAACGTTTTTCGCGTGTAGCGGTGCGCATATTTAATTAATAGAATGACTTGGACGGGCGAAAATGATGAACAATTAATTGATTTTGTTAAAAATCATAAAGCTTTGTACAATATCAAATCCAAAGATTACAGACAAGCTCAGATGAAGCAAAATTTGTGAAACGAAATTGGAATAACACTTCAAAAATACGGTCGCACTACTTTCTAGGAAACCACAGCTCGGCCACCGTAAAGACGGCCGTTATTAACTACCGTAAAATGACGGCCGTTAGTTAACGACACCGCTTGTCTAGGAAACCGTAGCTTAACTCAGTCGTAAGCCATCTATAGATTTAGCAAAAAGAAAACAGACACTTAAAGTAATATACGTTTAGGTCTATTTGAGTTAATGAAATTTAATTGAGGTACGACAACGTTTACGTTAGTACTACATATTGGTTTTTCCATGTTACAAGTTTTTTTCCAGCTGACCCGGCGAATTTCGTTCCACCTTACAGTCTAATAATAGTGTGTTAACTTAAAAGGTTAACATCAACAACTTTTTTTGCAAATACAGAAATGTTTTATTGCTTGCTATTGCGAAAGAATACAGTTTTACGCTTCTCTAGCGCCAATATTGCGATACTGCATGTTAAAGCACTTTCTCATATACAACATTTTTCGATGAGGTAACACGTCTTCGATCAAGATCAGTCTGGTCGAGAACGGAATTTCTTGAACTGACACGAATTCGATGTAAAATTATGCATAGTTTTGTCAACAGATGGCACCACATACTGTTTGCATTCGTGAAATTAATTTTTATTCGATAACTTATGCGATATTTTATTACTTATTCTGCAATTCGGAGCGGAGAAGAATCCACCAAAAACGAGATAACTAACATCGGTCCCGCCGAGCTTGAGTTATAAGTGGTGTAACTAACACGACTTTGTTTTATATATTTAGATTACTAGGTAAAAATAAAACAAAGATTTAATTAGAAATTATAATCCGACAAAAATTGTGTCAAACAATACACCTCTCCATTCACTATATGGCAAAAACATACGAAAAATATTTACAATATTTGTGAACCACTTAAAAATATGAAAAGTACTACACCTGGTATCTTAAAAGTAAAAAGATAATATAGCAATTACAAAGATTCATCAATAAAAACTAAATTCTCACCAAACGGGGAACCAATCTTACAGCTTTATACATTTTGAGAAAAATGACGGTAATACACGGATTGCTTCAAGGTCTACCCGCAACACATATATAATTTGTTTAAAAAAATATTTTGTAAAGAAAAGGATATATGCGTTGTATATTGTTTTAATACTCTTAATCCATACAAATATTTTATTAAATTTAAGTGAGTATAGTACAGTGTTGTGTTCAACGGCGGATCCAGGGGGGGGGTCATGGGGGTCATGACCCCCCCCTGAGCAGGACTTAGGTGGACCACTAATTGAACATAATGATTTTATATATAAATTTGTCACCATACAGATTATATGTAACTACATACCTTCAATATTTAATTAATTTAATATAATATAATAACATCATACATGATGGCAAACGTTTGGGAATGAACGCATCGAAAATTTGAATTTTCCGCGCCACACTTGCGCGCGCTTGTCGCTATGAAACATCTAGCTAGACCTTACCTCAATCGGAATCGGAACGACTAAACTTCAACATATCATAACATAGTCCTATTTTAAATTGTGACATCAATATGTATATAGGAAAATTGGATACACTACCCTGTCACCGAAGCGACAGCAGAAAGGTCTTTCTCTACGTTGCGCAGAATTAAATCTAAGATCTTCAATGGTTGAAGATCGCCTAACCGGACTGGCACTTCTCCACGTTCATGAAAACGTACCCGTTGACGTAAATGACGTAATAACGCGTTTCGGAAAAACAGGCTAAAGAAAAATTGATTTAGTTATTAAAATATATGTATTTTGTCTGTTTCTATTTGTCTGGATGTCTTCAAGAGAAGATGGTAATATGTACGTGTATACAGGTTGGTCCAACTATTGACGTATACTAAAATACCCCATGTATGTTCCGCGATTTTTTGTAGTTTTCGAGTTATACATTTTTTTGTGTTTTCTGCCAGCGAGGTTTCAAAAATTCATATCTTTTTTTGTTGTAGGTATTTCGCAGTTTTTTTCTGTTAAATGATTGCCTTAAATGATGTTCAAGTAAAAAAAATCCCAGCTTCTTAAAATTAGTTAAAGCTACTCAAAAAAGTTTTTAAAGTTAGAAGTTTATTAAGTGGATTTGACCAAACATTCGACTTCAATTTAAAAATACAAAAAGAAGTTTCCATAGCTTCTAGCTAAGTTTAAAAACTCCACAGGGTTCTAAGCTACCAAAATCATAGAAAAAGAATGGTACTACTACTACTAATTGGTCTTTTTTTGTTGTAATCGGTGGATTTTTTTTTGGTGGATAGGCTAAAAATCATTGAAGCATTAAAAATGTTTTTTTTCGACTTATTATTCTTATGGTAAATTAAACTTAATAATGTGGTTTTTTAATTAATTTTAATACCCGTAAAATAAATGTAGCTGTAATCGGCCTTTTCATGTCAATAGGCAAAAAATCATTGAAGCATTAAAACTGTTTTTTTTTTACTTTTATTTTTCTTATGGCAAAACTTTATGATATATTTTTTACTAATTTTAATACCCGTAAAAAAAGTAGCTCGTGTAATTCTTACAATAATTTTGGTCTTACCACTCAAAATTCAAAATGTTATTCGAAATGATTATTGCTAGTTGTGAAATTACCTGTTTTTTAAATAACAAATAAAAAACACAATTTACTGAAAAAATACTATTTCTAATATATAAAATTCTCGTGTCGCGGTGTTTCGACACTCGAACTTCGTTCGAACTTCTCCGAAACGGCTTGACCGATTCTCATGAAATTTTGTGTGCATATTGGGTATGTCTGAGAATCGGACAACATCTATTTTTCATCCCCCTTAATGTTAAGGGTAGTCCACGCCTAAATTATTACTTTTTAATTTTTAGATAAAGTTTTTTTTTTCATGATACAACTTTAAAAAATACATACAACCCCCAATTTTCACCCCTCTACGATCAACCCCTATTTTTTATTATACATGGCAAAACGACGTTTGCCGGATCAGCTAGTATTATAATTTTCTATGATTTTGGTAGCTTAGAACCCTGCGGAGTTTCTAAACTTAGCCAGAAGCTATGGAAACTTCTTTTTGTATTTTTAAATTGAAGTCAAATGTTTGAACAAATCCAGCTAAAAACTAAACTTCTAACTTTAAAACCTTTTTTGAGTAGCTTTAACTAATTTTAGGAAGCTGAGATTTTGAAAAATTATTGATGTCACTAGTTGGACCAACCTGTATGTACACAATATTATGTGTTAAGTTTTTCAAGTGTACAATAAAGAATAAATATTGATAAGTGCAATACTTACGTACATTAATAAAATACCTACTTTTTACTTGTATCTATTGTTATCAAAATTAAATTATAAGTTCTTGACTTGACCACGACTATGTGACCCCCTCCTGGCACCAAAGCTGGATCCGCCCTTGGTTGTGTTTACGTATAGGACATATTCGAATAGCATGAATGAAATTTTCAAATATTTTACAATTGCTTCAACTATAGTTTGTGTTAATTAATATAAATATAGTAAATACATTTAGATAAAACTTCTTAAACTGATATAAACGCGACTTTGAGAACTTCATTCGCGTTTATATACGTTAAACGAAATTTTATTAAAGTGCAGTACTCGCGTAAACCAAAGACAATACCAAATACATATCCTAACATTGCTAGAAAGGAAATTACCAGATTATTTCTGGATATTTAATTTTTTAAAATATAAAAAAATAAAAACACCAAAAATGCTATCCTTATATTATTTTTCCGTTATTAAGCCAAGAATATTAAAGTCTTTATTGTCGGCACTTTTTTCTAACACTAGTCCCTTTTCATTCGCCAAATGTAGTACTGATAATAAAGCAAGCGGTACGCTGAGAGATTCGCGCATGTTGCTTGATAATTTTGCGGGTAGTTTCGAATATAGAGAGAAGAAGCTAGTTTCGGAGACATCTTCCTTTTCGCCTGGTGGCGTTTGATGCGTTAGCATTTTCCACGTACAGTGCTTCAATTGTTTCATGTCGACTTTTTTCGCCCTCATTGCGTAGGGTATGAAGATTTTTGGTATCTGCAATTTAACATTAATCCGTTTTCATTGAATTTGTGGACAAACATACAAAGCACACTTATATTAAAACACGTTTAGTAAGAACACCAATAATATCCCTTTAAAATAGCGTACCTTCGTGGGTGGTTCCAGCATTTCCCCAAGTTCCCCATTGTCCTCGAAGGCAGCCTGCGCGTGAGGACTGCCCGCCGCTAAGCCATCTTCGTTTCCCCATTCATTGTTTTCCTGAAAATTATTTTATGAACCTGAATATTCAAATTCAAATTTTTCTATCTATTTTATGGCGTTTGACTTTTTATTTGTAACTTGCATCATCCATCTTGTATATTTAGTCTCTTAATAACTTTTCAAATATTTAATAATTATTTAAGTAAATTACTCTTTCCTCTCTTTCTGTCAAATTATGTTTACGCTGTGATAAAAAGAGACAGACAAGTAGTTTAGTTAAATAATAGTAACTAAATTACCATTTTTTTTTGTTGTTGTCACCGTTCGAGCCAATGTTAAATGCGCACATAGAAAGTCCATTTGTGCACAACCGAGGATCGAACCTACGACCACTAGGCCAACACTGCTCACACCATAATACCAATCACAGTCTAAATAATTACACCTAATACAAAGATAAATAAATAAATAAATAAAAATAGCCTTTATTCGAGTACACTATAACTACAGTAAGTCCATGTCTTTTAAGTTTTACACTTGTACTCGACCTCCGATGGAGTGAAGGCTTCCTCCAGATTCTTCCACTTATCCCTATTTGATGCGACAATTTTCCAGTTTTTTCCCGCTATCCCTTTTATATATAAAAGGGAATACAAAGAATACGTGAAGTCATTTAATCAATTTACTAAATATATAAAAATTTTACGTAAACAGCGATTCCCATATCTTACCGGCACAGCCTGAGTGCAGTACGAGGCGTCGTTCTCGTTGTCGTAGTCGTAATCGTGCTGCTCCACCGTGAGCGGCTCTTGCGCTTTGCTTTGCTCCACGTGACGCTTGTTTAGCAGCATCACGTTCCTACGGAGGCACAGCTTCAGGAAGTGGGTCTCGTCGAGGCCTCTGAAATATGATTAATCTCAATTTTCTGTGCAATGCATTAGGTTATTTTGACTTTGTGGACCAGAGATAACCAATTTTTTATAATGACAACATTGGTCGCGGCAACATCCGAATGTGTGGGCGAGTGGGACAGAGCCGTTTGGCGGGAAAAGATTTTTGTCTATTTTCATTGATTTTTAATTGTTTTAATTTTTTACACCCTTTTTTATAATCTGTATTTCTTTTCTGCCATATTGTTTAATATAATTGTTATATATAATTTATGTTAGCTGTAGGAGCACAAAATCATTTTTTTTTTCTTGCATATTTAATAACACGGTAATGAAATCAATAATTAAACTTTGTCCTGAGTTTGATAATTGGAAACAGATGATGTCATATATTTCAAGCGATTAGGATATTAAACAAAGTATGAAAGTACCGACTGCAGCGCCATCTGCTCGGCTGATTTGGAAATCTAAACAATCCAGAGCGCCGCCCAAAAGCATACAAAAAAATTCATTCAAATCGGTCCAGCCGTTTAAGAGGAGTTCAGTGACATAGACACGTACAGAAGAATTAAATACAGTGAAAACTCCATGTAACGTCGCTCCATTTAACGACGAACTCCCTAAAGTGCCGAAACCACTCGGCTTTGATTGGTTTAGTTTGTCTTCCATACAATGATACACTCTACATAGCATTACATACACTCTCCATAACGACAATTAAATAATAAAATGTACTTTTTAAGTTGCCGAAACTAGTTAAAACTGCGGAACTGTGTACGTTCTTTTGTCGCTTTATTGTAATAAATTCGACTGTCGGCATCATATGTACCGAACTTTCTAAGAAATCCATTATTTTCATTACAAATTGGGATTACTTGATCGTGATTTATCACGAAGATGCCTCAATATCGCAAGATATGAATAAATCAAGTAAAAAAATACATCATAATTTCTGGTGCAGCAAAGGCGTATGAAATAACAAATAACAGACTGTATGCAATAGCGTTCAAATAAGAATTGTTTTTTATGTAATTACTAACACTAGTCTGAAATAAACTTTTTGAAGTGAAACTTCTTTATCGGGGTTGGAAAAAAAATTTAGTGTAACATTTTTGCGTTACGCGTCACATTTTTCCGTTACGCGCCATGTTGCTTTTTGAAGTCAAACTTCTTTATCGGCGTTAAAATATGACATATAGTATGTTTTTGACTTTGAAGTTTGACAACGGATTACATTTTCGACTTGAAATTTGCTAATCGCAATTTGCAGCAATTAATTTGTAAATTGTATGCTAGGCAGTGTATCAAAATTTACTGTGTTTAAAGAAATAGTTTCTAATAAGGTCATAAAGAAGTTTCACTTCTTACGTGTGTACACCTAGTACACGCACACATTTTTTCTTTTTCTACTTTCTATTTAACGCCAACTCTCTGTAACGTTAAAATATGCACAGTCCCTGGAGTGTCGTTATATAGAGTTTACACTGTATATTAAAGATATGACCGAGATATTCACTCACCGATCAACAGGTGTTTTAAAATTGGCTTCGTTCCACGTATGCCCAGTGGCCAATGTCTTCCTGCTGATGGCTATCTTCGCCGGTTGTGCCGGTTCGTATTCCTCCGACGGTTTCTCCGTGGAATCGAATGCGAGACCCGCTCCCATGAAGTCGAGTTGTCGTTTCGTCCGTGCCTTCTTGTTTTCCACCGTCACTCGAGCCGCTGTCGAGTGGGTGCGGTCCGGTTTCGATGCTGTTGATTAATTATTTATGAATAACCTATTGAAATATACAAATTCGTCTTTTGTAAAGAAGTTTTATTTAAAAAATAATATATTTTTTTCTTTAATTAAAAAGTTAACACAACAAACATGTTTTTCGTATGTAATAAATGTTATGTCTATGTCTAAACAGAAAAAAGGCAAACAGGAGGTCCACGGTTCTTCAATGCCTCGCGAGTGCGTTGCCGGCCTTTTAAGAATTGGTACACTCTTTCCATGAAAGAATAATTTGATTTCCTTTCCTTTAGAGCTTCCAATTAATAAAAGAGTACTTACTGACTGAACTTATTAGATAAATAAATTTAAAAAGAAAACGTTTGGATTTTAACACCTGAGAACATTATTCACCCATATATTTTATATGTGAATAAATATAAATATGTATGAATAAATGATTTATATAACAAATATTTCCTGCAGAAATATACAAAATCATTTATTCATGTAGGTAACACTTATGAAGGTTAAAAAAGAAATATACCTTAAATGCTTCTAATTTTACATTTACTGCCAGTTCTCAAATCTAGGGCGTAGAACGGGAGAGAAGAACTGGCAATAAACTCACCGCAACTCTTTTTAATCGCCAAGTTTTTTTGTGTTACACAACGTTTGTAACGAGCTGCAACCATTACACCATGTTCCACATGACATCTTAAGTAATTAATAATAATAACATAAATTAAAAACAAATGTTTGTCCTCTATCAGCAGGAGGCATGGTGAAATAGGAGCACGCACTTACATTCTCGTGGGAACATCACGGGTACTCATATCTCTAAAACTACTTAACCATTTTTTATGAAACTTGTGCTGTTCCCTATATTAGAATATATGAACATATGAAGATCATCAATTTGACTTTTAGTTTCCGACAAATTTTTTGACGAACTTACAAAAATTTTCGTCTTTTTTCAGCCAATAGTACTAAAAACTCAATCCGATAACCTGTTTTTTAAAGTCGGTTAAAAACCAGTATACCTCTATTGGTTTTCAGCCTCCAATGCGAAGGCCCAGCCCAGGCCGTCCGTATGGCACAGTAGGAGTACTCCAACCTGGAGTGGTGAGGCAACGTCGGCCTCATATCCGTGAGTCGCGCGACACTCGTCGGCGGGAGTCGCGCGACACACGCTGCGACAGCTACATCCGCTTCTTCTTCGCTCTCGAGGCCGCCGAGGGGCTCGTCGTCTGTTGATAACATATTAAAGCTTAGGTTTCCTAGAAAAGCGGTGCCGTTAACTAATGGCCGTCATTACTTTTTAGCATAATGCAAAAAAAAACATCATTTTCTCTCGTCCAAGTCGCGTTCCAACTCATGTATTAATTAAATATGGGCACCGCTACATGCGAAAAACGTTGAACTAATGTTTATCACCTCTATGACGGCCGCCGCTGTGGTTTGTATTAATGTAAATGTAATATGTATAGGCCGCTCACCTAACAGATCGTTATTCGGTTCATCCATCGGTATGGGCTCCACTTCTGCATTAACATCAATGGCCAACGCTTGTTGGGATAGATTCAGCCTGTTGTCCTCCACCCAGTTATTAACCTGAGGTTCTCTATAAAATAGATATTTTTTAATCAAATACTACACTTTACAAAATCTTAATATATAAATTACGTGTCACGTTGTTTGTCCGCTATGGACTCCTAAACTACCGAACCGATATCAATCAAATTAGCACACCGTGTGTAGTTTGATCCAACCTAAAAGATAGGATAGCTTACATCTCAATTTATACCCGCAATATTATATTATTGCAAAATATTTGTTAATTATTTGATAGTCACAGTTCTAACAGATGGCGCTGTGTTGAAAGTACCAACGTTTCACATAAGCCACAATTTAATGGCATAACCACCAAAAAAGCATGGTGGTCCCCATGACTGGTGTTCACCTACCGTTTCCTTTGAATAGTTTACTACTATGTAATATAACAAAAACCTTAGCCACAACAAAGCTTGGCCGGTCTGCCAGTCTTAAATAAATAAAACAAAGTCGTGTTAGTTACACCACTTATAACTCAAGATCGGCAGGACCGATGTCAGTTATTTCTTTTATGATTGATTCTTCTCCGCTCCGAATAGCAGAATAAGTAATAAAATATCGGATAAGTTATCGAATAAAAATTAATTAATTAATTACGAATGCAAACGGCATGTGGTGCCATCTGTTGACAAAATTACGCATTAAAAGAAACCTACCACTTTGTTTTTGCGTCTAATAACAAAACAAAAAATTTTGTATATCAGAAAGTGCTTTAACATGCATTATCGCAATATTGGCGCTAGAGAGCTGAGGCCTAATGTGTAAAACCGCCATTCTTCTTTCGCAATGGCAAGCAATAATACATTTCTGTATTTGCAAAAAAAGTTGTATTAATGTTATTACCTTAATAAAATCTTAAGTTTAACTAAAGTTAACACGATATTATAAGACTGTTAGGCGGAACGAAGTTCGCCGGGTCAGCTAGTAATCTTATAAACATGTTTTGGCCAATTTTAATTATTAAAAAAAAGGATAGGTAATACAAGTTGACTGTTCAATAGTATTTCTTATAAATATGTATAAGGAATCCAGGAATTCCAGAAATTTTCTGGAAACTACAAGCCTACTTCTTATATAGGACTTTTAGTTTTATTTTTTTAATTTAAAACAAAATTACAATAAATTTAGTTATATTAAAGTCGGATTAAGTTCCGACCAATATACATAGACATATAGGTAGAGGAATATAACCTTCTAGAAGTGAAAATAAAACTTACGTATCTTCCGTATCTGGATCCCAATTATTCATAGAAAATCCGGCGAACGGTTCACAAATATGATCCTCCTTTCTCCAGGGAGGTAACTTCTTGGGTATTCTATATTTCTCGTTCCAGTTCACATTACTGGGAATATTCTCTTTATTGGATTTTAAAAATGGTAAATCCGTTCTGAAATCAGTAAAAAAATATAAACATACTCCCCGTTGATAGGGCATTGTATTTATTGGGACTTAAGTATCACAGAAAAATATATAAGAATAGCAGGGTAACTTTTTTACAGAACAGGTAAGCGATACCACCGCCCATGGACATTCAATGCCAGAGGGCTCGCGAGTGCGTTGCCAGCCTTTTAAGAATTGGTACGCTCTTTTCTTGAAGACCCCTAAGTCGAATTGGTTCAGAAATACTTCAGTGGGCAGCTGGTTGCACATAGTGGTGGTAAAAACTGCCTTAGGTCGTCGAGGTGATACGGATGGTATTTTGTATTCTACCTCGACGTAGAAACTCAGCTGCGGGTAGTAGTCTGAACACTCTCCGTGTGAAATGCGGTAGAAGATACAGAGAGACCCCACATCTCTACGATACGCCAAGGGATCAAGCCGCACGGAAAGTGATTGGTCGTCGACGATTCGACTCACTCTTCGTTGAATACGGTCAAGCGGAAGGAGCTGGTACTGGGGAGCTCCCGCCCATAGGTGAGAACAGTACCTTCTACTCCTTGTGGGGCCGAATTTGCGCTTATATATGTGTGAAATATATATAGTCAGAGAGACTAAATTACCTTTGTAATTACTATAACTTACACTTAAAGCAAACATAAAATATACTATGGAACAAACGCAGGCTGCAATTTCCCCGTACTAGACTATCTAAAGTTAGTAATTCTTTTTTGGGTAAAGGGATACTCTTCATTAATAAAATCCCAGATGCTTCTTTATCTCTGCCTTTTAATAAATTTAAGAAATGTATTAAAGAAAAGCTGTGTAAAAAGGCTTACTATAAAGTTAACGATTATCTAGTTGATAAAAGGGCCTGGGACTACTAGTGCTAGACAGGCTACTTCTAATTAATTTGCGATATTTGTTTTAAAATAAGTGTTGTTTGATGATTTGCTATTTTAAAAGAGTACCGAGAGTTTTTTACGCCGGCTTTTTCTCTAGGCCTACACCCTCTGTCTTCTTTGCCGATGAGTAGGGATACCTACAGATTCAAATTTAATGACGTGGATTAAGAGATACCTGTATCTTATGTTCCATAATAAACATATTTCATTTATTTTATTTTTATATATATATGGCAGAGATACACGCGATATATAATATTTATACCTGTCATTATACCATAAGCACCTCAAATAAGTCATAGCTGTTAAAGAAAACATACCAACCTCAACATCAACGCCAGCGTCCGATCGTGGACAGGTAAAGTTGCATTGAATGCTCGATTAGAGGATGTCACATCACCGCTAGTTGCCGCCAATCGTTCGAAGAATGGATCTAAATATCACATTAATAAATATACAGTAGAATTCATATACAACGACTTCGCTTGTAACGACTAACCGATTCTAATAATAATTTTAATTAGGACTGAGAAAATATAACCGTTTAGTTCGAACTCCAGTTTAAGCGACCAACTGCTTATAGCGACCATTAATTATGATAATACGTCCGGTTAAAACGACGCGCTATGTTTTGTATATGTCACCGTAATATTCACTTCACTTTATTTATAATGGCGACATCTGTGTAAATCACAATTCCGCCAAACCGTAATATTGTAAACACCGTTAGATTGTAACCTATCTCGCGAGATTGTAAACTGTCGAAAGATTGTGAACCTCTACGAACTGCTTACAATTTAACGTATTATTATTCGGTAGATTGTAATCTATCGAAGTGAAACCGTCAAATTGAGAAACGGATCGCACCTCGCGCGCTGAAATGCCCCGCGCCACCATATTTGTTTGTCAATTCGTTTGTTGTCGAATGTAACTTGATTGTTTTGATGAATGTAAATTGATGTCGTGTTGAAAGTAACTCACAGCTTTAGAATTAGTTATATGAAATTGTTGGGAAGTAAAATTAATCTGTGATTGACCAAAGAAGTTTGAATGATAACTAAGTTAGTGTTGGAAATGAAATGAAAGAAAATTTCATTACTTTTTCAAGATAATTTTAAGATTTTCGGAATTCTACACTAATTGAAACGTGAAATTTGACATCAATTATGTTATTTAAAAAAATATCAAAATGAAGTATTTTTTATTATATAGCCTACAAAATGATTTATTTACCTAAATAGGAAAATCAAACTTTCGCAATTATAATACCTACCTAAATACATATTTATTCGAAATGAATTCGTATATGTACTTAAGAAATAATGTTGGCCATATTTGTTTCAGTTATCATTTAGTCTACTTTAGCTAATTAATTAGAAAAAATTTTGGACGACAGTAACTGAACGGAAACTGTTTGATTCTTTTATTTATAATAGTATAATTAAGTTTCATTTATTATTTACATATTATTTTTGAAATATGTAATAAACAGAGCATTATACTCACCAACACAATCATTTGCCTCAAAATCTCCGTTTAACATTTCAAGGTTGGCCACAATAACTCCTTTAGATTTTTTCTTCTTTTTCTTAGGTGCAGCTGCATTTCCTTCTTCCATGCCCTCCTCTTGAGTTTCCATGTCATCTTTCTTACCTCGCTTACTCTAAAAAATAATTAATTCATAGCAGGTACTATCTGATAATGTTATATTAGTAATGGGCCAATGGGAAAAAATCATTTAAAGGGCAAACATGTATACTGTTTGAATTTTTAAGTAATAATATGTCAAACTAATTGTTCAAAAACTAACAGGGACAAGGGTAAATTAATAATTCACTTTTCAATCAAATAAAATATAGTATTGTCTGTGATTAACATAACTTTTATTCATTTAATAAAACACTATTTTGACCGGATTGAAGTTATGTATTATTATAAATTTACAACTATTTAACGTGCTTTACAGCGTGCGTGGTCACGGTGACCACGCACGCTGTAAAGCACGCGAAACGTCGGATAAATTTAAAATTATGTTAAATAGTTGTAAATTTATAACAATACATAACTTCAATCCGGTCAAAATAGTGTTTTATTAAACAAATAAAATATTAGAAAAGATAATGAAATTAATAAAAGAAAAGGATAAAGGAAACCTTATCTCAGGTTTACCAAATACAGTCAAGTTCTATTATAACGACATCGAAGGGACTACTCATATTTGGTCGTAAAAACCGATAGTCGTAACAGTCGATGACGTTGTTATTAAGGGTCTAATACATATTATTGAATGTGTTATTAATATAAATAAAATAAAATAGCCTTTATTACTGTAAGTTTTAAAGTTAGTATATATAAATTAAAATTATAAAATATCCCTAATTACAGTGTGCCTTTCGGCAAAGGCCTCCTCCAATCCTCGTTATTAATATACTCATGTATAAAATAAAACTCCATTTTATTTATTTCACATGAAAATTATGATAAAAAGACATTACATACATGTAATTATCATTTTTCTTCATTAACAAAATCTGTTATTTTAGTTTGTTTGAAACACTTCTGAAGAACGTACGCACTTCGTAGTGCACGCTGAATTTTAATGAAAGTATTGTTATAATTTTTCTTCATGTGAAACTTTTCATTAAAAAGAACAATTTTTCGTAATACATTGACAGCGTTGAGACCATCATTCAAAGTTGGCACTGTAATTGTTCTTCAGTCTCTTCCTGTCATAATCCTCTTGAACATTGTACAATCTTCTTCTGTAGCTGGTGCACAGTGTGAAATTGTCGAGTGTGATACACCATACTTCGAGGCCAAGTCTTTGAATTCCAATCTCAAGCTTTGATATAATACGCGATTTCTTCTATAGTAATTTGTTTTCTTTTTCTTTGCAACATGTTAAAAGTTTCACGAATAACTCAACAATTTACAATACGGCTGGTCGTTCTAACAGATATAATTCTCCGAAAATACCAGTTAAATGTAGTTGCTTAAAAGAGTTATGTTGTAATATGCAATGTCCTTAAAAGTGGTGCTTTTTATAATGCAGTCTAATAGAATTGATCCAGGATCTTTGATTTTGGCCAATAGAACCAGTATGTTGTTCTAAACAGCTTTGACTGTATATAATATTTTGTTGTATAAATTTTGTATAAACAAAATATTCTATTCATTATTAATAAACTTATTTGGAATTTAACATAAAGGCGTCCACAGCACCACAGTCATGTACTGAGTTTTTGTGTCAAATGCTAGAGCAATTAACTCTGAATTCCTAAGTAAGGCTTGTTTAAAGGCTGATCTCCTTGCTTCTAAAAAGTTATCATTATAGCATGAACAATGTGCTTCAATCATATCCCAAATGAATACAGTTAAACTTACAAACCCATTTTAATGTTCAGAGCCTACCTGTGCAGCTTTGCTTAAGCCTCCAGCTACTTTCAAAGCATCATAGTGGACAGCATCCACTCGGAATGAGTAAATTCTTGAAGAAGCATCAACCAATGTGGAAGCTGTTTGAAAGTTATCCATCCTTGCATCATGCCGGTGCATCATAGTTGTCATAAAATCAATCAATTGAAGATTCCACGCATTGTCTTTATTGATTTTCTGAAATTAAAACTGTGTAAATGAAATCAAAGAACAGGAGTAAATTCTTGCAGCTGTGCAATGTGATCAATAAATATGCTGAATATTACATTTAACAATTATGATTAGAATATTAAATGGTGACTCTACAAGTGAGATTTCAAAATACTTATTCAACACTTCATACATTCTCTGCATATAATTTTAGACATCCTTGAAAATGTTCTTTCATGGGGGATGATGTCATAGTTTCTCTAGTCCTTCTAGGTGATCCTTGAGGAGTAGATGGGGCCACTGCTTTCTCTGAAGCCACCAAAGAGGACCTTTCCGCGTCATCATCATTGCTTTCCTGAAAGGAGACTGACTAAGAATTTGGCCTTACGATATAAACGTTACTCGTTTTGAGTAACGATACGTAAACGCCAAAGTTCTTTATAAAAATCGGCTAACCTGATAACGGACAGCACTTATTCTACTTTGAGGATTAAGACTCCGTCGCCTAAGTAAACTCCCGCCAAGGCTTTTTCTGGTGTTTAGTGGGGTCGACGTTATAATGTTTTGGAGCACCATTTTACAGAAACTTTACATTTGTTATGAAAAACCCGACACACCTTAGGAGAATGTACTCCAATAATATTAAATATTTAAGTAAATTTTACCGTAAAGCCTTAATGTTTACAAAATTAAACTCAACGGTATTAGGCATTTCAAAAATCTATTTTGGCACAGATCACATAAACTACTCACACTACTCAATACACAGATCATAAGCAACTGCAAAAGTCATATCATGCATGTCTTCATTTTTATTTTGAAAACCATCTCAAAAAATTCGGAAATTTTTCAATAAAACCATCTGTGTATGTTTTTAAGCTTATTTGTGTAATTAGTAATTTATAAATTCTCCAAACAAAAATATGTAAATCTCTGTAACATTATCAAGCCTTGGGCTTGAGACAGAGTCACTTTACGACATGCGTTACCTAACACTAAACGAATTTGTGTAAAATTACAGTAGCTCACGCGTTGTCACGTGACCATTTTCATACAAATTCTTTAAATTTTCAAAAAAATTAGCCTTAGTGCGTCACGCCTGTAAAAAAGTGATTTTGTCTCAAGTCCCTAGAGAAACTCTAACTACTCCTTCATATACGGTGGATATATTATAGAAAATAGATATATCGACTTCAAAACACACTAAAAAACTTCATCAAAAAGTGCTTTCTGAAAGCAAATGCACCGGACAAAAATAAAAAGAAGAATTTACATTTTTCGTTCGCTGTTCAGTGAACATGCGTTTTGTTGTTCTTTTTAATTTTAATCACTCGAAAATATTATAAAAATGTCTAAATGTCTAACATCAAGTATGTTACGGTGAAGATCGCATAATATAATATATCCAATTCAAATATCTCCAGGTGTTAGAACGATACACTTAAAGAGAGGGGCTAGGCCAAGAGCAGAAGACGATACATCTTGCAAAATACAACTTTATCCTACTTTCGGAATTCCATGATTTTGGATCTGAAATTCTAGCTTTTGGATATTACACACTATACACAAACACTTAAGCATTAGCAAAAGGTATGTCTTTCAATGCAAGAATAAATTGTGATAGACAGATGGACGAGTTGTTTGGGAAGTACTGAAGGAGTGTGCAGACCTGGGGCCTTAGTCAAGATGCCTTAACAGTAGTGTATGTAGAAAGTCGAAAACTTAATTTGTATGGAAATGACAGTTCGTGTCGAAAAGTTTTCATACAAATTTAGTTTTTGACGTTCTACATACACTACTGTTAAAGCATCTTGACTAAGGCCCTGGGGGCGTACAAGGTGGAGCAAACCGAAAAAAACAAAGTCAAGTGAAGTGGAATTTCATGAAGCTAAATTTTATAGACTATATTATTCATTAGAACTCGCTGACTGGGACGCTGTTTTGAACATGCATTTGCTTGGAACATTAAAAGCATTTTATAATATTTACGTTCTAGTAAAACACCTAATTAAGTTACATAACTATCCAATGGTAGTTGTGTAGATATTAACTAATAAATAAATACAATGAAGGTGAAGTTTATTTAAAAATTTGAGTAACAAGACTTAGGGTATTTTAATCTGTCCACACAGCTGTTTCTAAACGTCATGAACACAATCTATTGTCTTTGTTTGTCGCTTGTTGCCAACTTCCCGTCAGTCATTTTGTGATCATTTTCTTTGGTGGCTGTTGGGTTTACGGTCGACGAAATCGATAAAAATCTTAATCATCCAGAGTCTTTTTAAAAAGTGTCACTATGAGTTCGGGAATGCCTGAATTAGGCTCCAAGATAAGCCTAATATCTAAAGCCGATATCCGCTATGAAGGTCGACTATTCACCGTTGATCCTCAAGAATGCACCATTGCTTTGGCTAGCGGTAAGTTGACAAATGGATGCTAATACTTTGATATATAATGTTTTCTGTCAACGTATACGGTAATTACTACGGTGTCTAAACTTATATATTGTATTAACGTGATCTACTTGGCCTAAACATAATCTTTCGAGAAAAATTCTGTCGTTTTCTTTTTATTTCATGTTCCCAAAGTTGTTATGTACTTTAAATCACAATAAACTAACAGATTTATTTGTACTTATATAAGAATTGATTTTGTTTCATTAAGTTTTGCCCGAAAACCACGTTGTTTTTCTACTACCTTCCTAACAAACTTTTGTTTGTATAGTCGTTATAATCGTATTGCATTTTGATGACGTTGATAACGATTATTAGCTATAAACAAGTCTTGTGCTCTAAATGAATATACGGTACGAGATATCACCAGATTATATACGTCAATAATTATTTATATCTTGTGATATGCGATAGTCTTGTAAGAAAATGTTTATTTTGCGTTATTCAGTAGAAATCGAAGTGGAAACTTTCTATTTGTTGTATAATTATTAGTCGTAATTGATAGTTTATTGTATTGAATAAAAGGAATCGTAGAGTAAAGTACAAGTAGTAAAGTAAAAACAAGATTCAGCAATAGTTCAATGACCTTCATACCTTCTTTTGAATAATTCCCAGTTCAGTGAATAAACTGTCACAGAATATCTTTGACCTTTGTAGAATACTTTTTTTTTCTCAACTGTGTTTAGCTTAACAATAATTTATGTAATATTTGACAACATTTTTAATAAAAAGCTAGTAGAGAAAAATAAAAATTACTTTTCATTGTTATGACAACATCTTGACACAATTTTTATTATTTTTGCAGTGCGATCATTTGGTACTGAGGATAGGGAGACTCAATTTCCGGTAGCTCCTCAAAGCCAAGTCTATGACTACATCTTATTCAGAGGTTCTGACATCAAGGATATCCGTGTTCTTAACAATGTGTCCTCCTTGCCAAACGACCCTGCCATTGTGCAGATGTCTGTACCACCATCCATCGGGAGTGGAAACCAAGCACAGTTTGTGGGACAATACAGCCATCCAGTTGTGGGTCAGGGCCAATACCCACAATATCACCCTATGGGGGGTTTTCCGGGCAGTATGCACACACAACTCAACAAGACGAGTGAGTTGTCCCCTCAGACTTCAGTGGATTTAGCCCCCCAGCAGCCTGTCAAAGCCCCAATAGGATCTGGAGTTGTCCAGCACCAAGTGAAAGACCAAGGTTTTTAAAACATAAGTAGGACTGCTTTCTCATTTGCTATCTTGCGATTTTTCTTATTGGCAAGTATTTTGTGCAATGAAGAAAAGAGTATTTTATGTATATAAATGTACAATATTATTTTCTGTATTTCAGACAATAATATTGTGTATTTTTAGTAAATTTTAAAATAAAATGCCTGCCAGTAACTTGTTTACTAAACATTATTATATACATACCATAAATATATTCTATTATGTAGTAACTGTATGTATTGCTTTTGTTATTTAGTATGAAGTAACAAAAGCCTTAGCTTTTAATGTATTTTGATCTTCATTTTCTTAATCCATAACCCAAAGACCTCAAAGATGACATTACTACAGTCCTATACCCTCCCTATTATTATTTTTATTTCCAACATTAGCCTTTTTAATCTTTACTACCAAAGCATGTAACTCCCTTTGTAATTGTGCAAAAAATATTATTTTTGCTTTATAAATATTAGTGCTAATTGAATGCTTATATTTACTAACCCAAAAATCGCAATATACTGAACATTCCTTGGTCTACTGCTTGAGGCACATTTTTATATTACCTCTTGTATTTTTGTACTTGAGTCTATCATTACATTGTTCCATGCTTTTATTCATTAAATATGGCTTCATTTTTAATTCAGTGTTAGTGTATCTTCTTTTGTCTTATTAATCTACATGTAACTTTCCTGATATTTTGTAGTATAAACTTTACTTGGAGAAGTCAAACTTGTAACAGTTAATATTTTGGCAAGCTTTAAAGATGTATAAATATATTAGTATCGAAATGAAATTATTTTTAACTCTTTGTGAATATAATTAATTTTATTCTAATCTGTTTAGGTTCCATGCTAGATTTGATTGGTGGAGGTTCCCAACAAAATGCTTCACGTTCAGGAACACCTGCGGCTGTCGGTCACAGGAAGAGCCCGACTGCAGATCAGGGTACACAGGTAAAGTAGAAAACAGTGTTGTAACTAATCTTATTAATAGCTAACGACTTTTTCGAAAAGCTTTTCAAATCGATAAGTTCAGGCTTAGCTAGAAACTAAACCAGATGATAATCAGCAGGCTGGAGCAAGTGGGTCCGGGCAGCGTGATTCTCGTCGTGGCGCCAACGCATCCAAGCCAGTGCGTCGTCAGAGCTCCCGCAGTCGCCAGCGACAATCCAGCGGATCGCAATCGCAGCCGCCATCCCAGCAGCAGATGCAGAATCAGCCACAATCTCAGCCGCACCATAATCACCACCAACCTGGTGAGCTTGTTGAAAGTAAGGCACATACATTTGATCGAGGGACTTGATGATGTGAGCTTAAATATTATCGCTAACAAACTTTTTGTCACTAAACTATTGTCAACTAAAAGGTAATTTTTAATTGCATTAAAAATATGTATGTGCTTCAAATGAGAGAAAATATTTAGAAGTTAATGTATTTAATAAATAGAACTAACTTACTCCTATACAAAGTATGTAGTTGTAATCTTGTATAGTAAAGAGCTGCTATTGAACAACAATAACATTTAATAATTTAGTTGTTTTAAATAACTAATAATTATTTTATAGAAATTATATTTTCTTGTTGACATGGAAGCTAAATTTTTACTATATTTTTTTGTTATTTTAAAATAACTAAATATAATTTCCTACTAATATTATATTATTTAATATTGTAAATTTTGTAATTGTAACGTGCTAAGGGAGCGTTCAAGTATTACGTCACGCAATTTTTGGAGATTATTGACCCCCCCCATGTAACGCGCCGTAACGTTTTTCTGTACCCAATAGTAAAACGTTTCGTGACCACCTAGTGACTCTTTATACGTAAAAGTACCATTATGTGGTGTAAAGCACTGGAATGTCGAAAATAATATTAAAAATAACGCGTAATTCAATCCCCGCCCCGCATCGTAACGTTTTACAAAAGGACCCCTCCCCCCAAAATTCGTTACGTAACACTTGAACGCTCCCTAAATATTTGTAATGGATCCAGGTATGGGCTACAACAGAGGTGGTTGGAGAGGCAGATCCCGCGGCCGCGGTCGCGGGGGCTTCGTGCCTCGCAACAAGAACACTCTGAAGTTCGACAACGACTATGACTTTGAGCAAGCCAACACAGAGTTTGAGGAACTGAGGACCCAACTGGCCAAGGCCAAGATTGCCGACGGTGAAACTAAAGTAGAGGTAAATATTATTTAGTAGCTTTGATTGTAAAGTAGTGTTGCATATTTAGAGCTAGATTTTATTAAGGGTTCATCTCAAGACTTATCTAGTTTTTTTTTTTAATTTCTTTATTTTACAAAATAATATAATACAATCATAATAAGTTACATTAGAAAACCGCGGTGGTTTGTATTTGCAGTCTTATTTAGGAGCGCGACAAATGCATGTAAAAGTAGTTTTAATTTACTGTTTATGTTGGTTGGCGTTAGGCAATAGTTTGAATTGCTGTCCCTATAGGCTCTTCTATTGATTCTTCCAAGTCTTACGATCAATAAATTAATAACACGTAAAGATTGACAGAAATACAGCGAAATTTAAATATAAGGAAAAGACAATTCGTTGTCAGAGACGGTTTAGTTATCTTACTTATATTGATTATAAAATGTTTATTATTTTTGTTTGGATAACTAATTAATCAATCTATTGGAAGCCTGATGTTGAACAGGGTGAGCCTGACAAAAAGGACGACTCGGGCAACGAGACGGGAGCTGGAGAGCCAGATGTTGAGGATGACTTCACCGGCTACGACAAGAAGAAAAGCTTCTTTGATAACATCTCTTGTGAGGCCGTTGAGAGGTCAGTGTTTGTCTTGTTCTTGCACTCACTGTATTATAACTTTAAATTCATGCAATGAAGTAAGTTGATGAGTTTTGTTTTGCATTATTTATTTCTTAGTATTAATGTTTGTTTGTTTTAAACCCTGTGCAGGCAAAAGGGCCGCAGCCAGCGGACGGACTGGCGGACGGAGCGTAAGCTGAACTCGGAGACGTTCGGCGTAGCGTCCGCTCGACGCGGGGCTTGGCGCGGTCGATCTGCCTGGAGGCACAACCCACACAACCCTCACAACCCACACAACATGCACAATATGCACAACCAGCATCCGTGAGTCTTTAATCTCTATTCATAATAATTGTTTCCATAGAATAGTAAATACCTTACTGGTTAATCTATGGGAGATTTCATTTTGTATAATTTAATTTAAACTTTTTATTTATGTGAAGGAGAACTGTTAAAATATTGATTGTTTGTGTTTCTTTCATCATTAAATATACAAAAACTATGCGTTTTCATATAATAGCAATGCGTACAAATCGTATTTTAACATATATTAATTGTTGTGTGTTATTTCAGGATGTACTTCCCGAGCTGGCGGCCGATGCGTGGCGGACGCGGCCGACCCAACAACATGCACCCTCACAACAACCACAACGCTCACAACAATCACAACAACCGCCAACAACGCCCGAACAACACGCCTGCGCCACCCGCCCCGCAACCCGCTGCTACCGGTAAAACTCACAATCTTAAAACCTTATTTATGAAATGACATAAAAACATGTTGCATTTAATATTCATACCAAAGTGAGGTTTCTTTCCTCGAGAAAATTTTCATTTCACTATATTCTGGAGAGATCTAACCAAATGGTGTCACAATTAAAGAAATACCTAGTTGAAGGTGTCTAGTTCTAAGTTTGTTATATTCTAGGAAATAATGTACACGTGATATGTAGTACTATAAATTTTTGTGAAACAAAATAAAGAATTTTTGAAATTGAAAGAAATTCAGTTGAATGTAATTTTAAAATTGAAGGAAGAAAGTGGCAGCACTAATATTTGAAATGTACACTTTTCAAACATTTACTTTGAATAAATGAAAAATGATTCTTACAAATTTAACGAACCAACTCCGTTTTATTTATATTTTTTAATAATTTATTAAATTTGTATTATAAAATAATTTATACCATTTTGTTTCAGCCAAGTAGGAGAGGTGGAAGTGTCACCGGAAGCCGAATCTTAATTTATTATCGCGAGGACTTATAACTAGTGGAAAAGTGTATTATGTTTATAGAAACGTGTCTAAATGGACTCACTCACGGGAATGTATTGGTTCGATTAGAGATTTGTGACGGACATTGCTCTGGAGTGACAAGTGTTGTATCCTATATTTGGAAGGTGTTGCGAAACTCCCGTGAACGAAATTGATTCGTCCAAGATGTGCGTGCGTCCGGCCCATGGCCAGCACCGAGGTGCCCCTGGCAAGAAAACTTGATCATAGAGATGAGCACTCAACGTATTAAGTCGGAACTCAATCTTTCGAACGGTGGCCGGTAATCTTCTCGACGTACAGAAATGACTTTGGACTGACTCGGCGATTAGATTGTTAATATTTTGAGTGCAGTCTCAAATGCTTGTGATATTTTCCAAGATTTCTTGTCGTAGGCCTTAAATGTCACTATAGGCTTAAAATGTATAAATGTGATCATTGAGGCTGACAAATCACTCATAGATTATAGTTTATTTATGTAGCCGTTCCACAAATGCGCGCGAGTGGGCGAGCGCGGTCGAAGGTTGTCGGATATTAAGGGGGAGATCCCATTCCTTATAATTTCCATTAGATTAAATATGTTTTGGAATTGAGAATTTGTAAGTGGAAATACGGAACTGAATTCTATATTTGTAATAATTCATGCGCCTTTGTGGAATAGTGAGCCCAATCGAATCGTATATTTTCACAGCTTGTCAGAAAAAATTGTGCCTATTGATAGATATTTTTCTGTTGTTGCACATTTTCCTTTTCAAAGGCAGTCGCAGCCCCGATTCTGCTGGACAGATTTGGATAATTTTTGACAGTGAAAAACGTTGGGCTGCGCCCTGTGACCGAACAATGGAATTCTCTTAAGTATTGTTAATATTGTAGTTAAATGTGTCACAGGAGTCGGAACTTTTATCCAGTGTATCGCAGTTAGTATGATTCTTAAAGGACTGCTTCCTCATTTCTTTTTTTTTTCATTTGTTATGAGGGACTTGTTAACCTTTTTTAAAAATTAAAAGCTGGTGTACCTGGATTGTATTAAAAAATATACATTTCTAAATCTTAACTGGTTATTTTTATTAAAACATCTTCGTATTTAAACAATTCTTTTATTGCAAACCAAAACTTAAAGCTCTTACTATCAGCATGTGTGATTTCAATAAATCATTATAAACTATGTAAAGAGTTTACACATTATTTTGACCAGATTCTATTATCAAAAATAATGTTTTGGGTATTGTATGTTTCCTTTGGAAAGTGCCTATTCCTGTGAAAAGCATTAAACAAAACATGTTTGTCATGCGATACTAATAAATTGATTTCAAGATATTTTTTGTTAAAATGCTTGATTTTGCTGATAGTAATATTGGTGTACATCATATGTTTAGTAAATATAAAATAGTTTTTATATAAAACTCATGGGAATAATTTATCTCTAAAACCGCAGCCAAAATTGAGAAGATGCTCAATATTCTTGATAATCTCAATTGGTGAATCGTTGGTCTGTCACTATTAACGAACCATAAACGGTGAACTTTGGTACAATATGACCTAAACCTTTATTATTTTAAGAAGCATTAGCAACAATACAAAGCTAATAATACTTAAAAATTAAGCAGTTTATACCTATTTAAAAATATATACTAAACGGAAACAAAATTACACAACCATGTAACCATACATACTTGAGAAAAGGTAGAAGCGTTACAATTTGAGCCTTACCAATAATGTATCAAAATAAATAAAAAACGCTCATCTCTCACGTAACTAAATTACAATTGTATGAGAGGAATAGATTTTTTTGGATGCATGTTTAAAAACCTAATATTAGATTTGTTAATGGTAATTTCGCGACAAATATACGGATGATTCACAAAAATATTCTCTTGAACTACATAAAAACTTAGTTCAAAATTATTTATCTAAGGACGTTCAGTAAATATTCATAAACGTATCAAAAGTGTATACGAAAAGAAGTAGAAAAGAGTTTAAGCACGCCACTCGCGCACCGGCTGACCGTTCTCCACGACCCATACTGACCCACTTTGAGCTTTCAATAGGATTTCAATCAAAGATCTTGCGACGTGTTCAGAGCTGAAACAAATAATACAGTTAAGGTATAATCAGTGCTGGCTTTGGGCTTGACCACGCGACTCGTCAGAGGTCGCGGGTTCGAACCCCGGTTGTGCACAAAAAGAGTTTTCTTTCTACATTTCTTTAATACTCGCTTATACGGTGAAGAAAAACATCGTGAGGTAGGGTAGATAAATATTACCTTATCCAAACAGTCCAAACATTTTGGTTTTTAGATTTGTAAGCTATTCTTAATATATAATGTAAAATTGAACGAGTCGTAATTCCGTAAACTATAGATTCTGCATTGTTAAATAATTTTTGCACATTAAATTATTTGCAATGTCACCTCTGAGTTTTTGAGTTAGCATTATCTCTCTGCCACGCAGCCTCATATTCAGAAGACATCAACTGCTTACGGATGTCCTTAATTAGTCCAGTGTCCGTTAATCCCGGACACAAAACTATACTCCTTACTCCTGTGAGGTTGACGTGGTATTGATCCTGAAGTGAAGAGACATATTAGGTACTAACGTAAAAAAGCGATGTGAAAATGACCTGCTTTTTATTCAGATTGACTTAGGTACACACATAAACATTCATATTAAACTAGTCATTAGAAGGTTGAAATAAATATTCTAATATTTGGATCTTGCTTGTTTTCTGGAGATCTGTTTGCCAGTCGGCAAAGGCCTCCTCCAACAAAACGAATGTGAAGAATGTGTCAGATTAAAATAAACCAACCCAAAAAACAAATAAACCGGAATATATAAGTATTTTATTTTTCAGTTTTAGAACAAAACACTCAATATAAAAACTTCTAAGATGAATAAAAAATATGACAACTTTTACGACTCCATTTGCGTGTTTGCGATTGTTTCATAATCAACAGTTTTTCGTTCAAACATTTTCATCAGATATGAATCTGCACTTAATACATACCCCATAGGCCCTAGTCAGCCCGACAACTGCGTAATTCGTAGCCGTATAGATGGGGGTAGACACTTGTGGTTTGGCGAAGGCAGTGGAGGCTGTATTCACTATGGTTCCACCCTGCCCGCCACGGTCTTTGCCCATATAACGGTATGCTAGGAGCGTACCTCGGATAACGCCGTTCTGAAAAGTGTTACAGTTAAAACTTAAAACCATTGATACGATTTATTTCTAGGCTTCCCGGTTAAGACGTATTTTATCGCAGTCCCTATACAATTACTTATGTGAACTTACATATTTACTGTACATGCTTTTAGCTTGTTGCATAAGAGGTTATTAAAACGTATTGAGTAGTTAACGCTTTCAAAGAATAGTTCAATTTAATTCCGTATATAATATGCAATGCGGTTTATTAATCTCGCTTAATGTCTTTTACAATAATATCGAAAAGTATACTTTAACCTTAGGGGTCTATTTTTTTATGAATTTGTGTTCTATGATATATTTTTTTTAAAGAACATGTAGCAAATGGGCAGGAGGCTCACCTGATGATAAGTGATACCGCCTTCCATGGACACTCAATGCCAGAGGGCTCGTGAGTGCGTTGCCGGCCTTTTAAGAATTGGTACGCTCTTTTCTTAAAGGACCCTATGTCGAATTGGTTCGGACAAGCCTTAAAGTATTTTCGTGTGGACGCCCTGGGGTGGATCTCCACAGTGGAAGCGTGGTACCCTTGGGGTAAACTCTGTTCAAACTGCACCTTTATACTAATTGCTACGAGACGTAGATTTTTCTAAAGAAAATAAGGCTTTGTTCTAAATACAAAGTGCCTCTATTATAATAGGTATATATGTTTAAATTATACATAAATTTTACTTGCAATACGCTTGCAGATCGATCTTTCAATACTTTCCTTTGTAATTTCCGATTTAGCAATTACGACCAATTTTGGATAATTCAATCCCTTATTACATACCAGGTTGACATCAACTTCTAGCTCCCAAAATCTATCGTTCATCACCCCGGCATTATTTATTACTATATCCAATCGATTGAATACTTTTATTGTCATCTCGAAGGCTTCTGTTAAAACAGAAAATGTCTGGTTAAACTGGAATTAAAACTTCATCCAACTCCAAGCAATTATTTTAGTCAAACTCGAACCTCGTGGGTTAAGAACAAACCACAGAGGTCATGAAAACTTAATTTATTTCTACGACATCACACACAGTACTAAATCTACTAATTATTTTACAAAATCTTACATCTAAAATGTGTGCAAGAAATTTGTTAGCACTTAGAGCAGAAAAAAAAGAAAAATCATCAGCAAAACAGCGAAATTAGGTTCGAGAAAGGCACCCCACAATGCTTTCTCTAAAACCGATCAGCCCACTACCGAATATATCCAGCTCCGGATAAGCTCGTCGTTTAAATCGTCATTATTTTTATTTACAATAAATAACTGATAAAATATTTCATGAATCAAAAGTTGGACGGAGAATGGTTGACTCATTACGTGTATTCGATATTCCTAACCTTACCTTCATACTGTGGATAATCAGTAACATCACATTGGCAAAATAATACATTTTTTCGTCCATATTTTACACCGAGCTCATCAGCAATTTGCTCCCCTATTTCAGAATCAATATCGCACAGGGAAACCTGTAATGTGTCGATGACCAGATTTAAATGTATTTGTGTCAATCTGGTACCAAAGGGTATCGCACCAACGCGTAGAATATTTTCATGTTTAATTCGAATCTCTTCATTACTAGTACAATGGGTGATCCTTTAAAATTAATTTCTAATATTCCGTATTATAAATAAGTAACAAATTGTTTTTGTACATAATTGGAAATGCTTAAACAAATAATTTTTCTTATTGTATAATTTCACGTTATTGATTAAGATTTAGATGTTATTAAATAACATTTCATCGAATAGGTTATCTTTTATAGTAAGTACCTATTTGTTCGGACGGTCTAGGTATAACAAATTTAAATTTGAGTTTAAACGTATTTATATAAAATATCAGTATGGATGAGGATTGGACCAATCTTTTTTTTATCTAGGCGATGTTGGATGTTAGTATTTCTCAAATTAATCGAAATTAATGCGTTTTTGGGCTGCCTTCAATAAAAACAGTTTCTACGTATAATAAAGTTTATATACCATTTATGTATAGTAAATATTATAAGTGAATCATTCTCAATGAATGTTGGGGCAGCCAAGCGTCGGTACAAATCAATAACAATTTTAGATGCCGCCGTGAAAGGCTTTATATTCTAATTTTAAATAATTAACTCTATTTCCGCTTTCGAAAAATTAACAGTTAACAATGTAAAGTATTTGTAAAAGCTCCAATATTCACGTAAAATTTGGGCAATCAAATTCAATTAAAGTTCACTGACCTTAGCACCATTCTTGAGGAGTTCTTCCGAATAGGAGAGTCCAATACCGGCGGCTGCACCGGTGATTAAAGCTACTTGTCCTTTTAACTCCATTATAAAGAAAAGACTGCGCCCAAATGCGGCGGCCACTAGAACCGTTGTGTTTCGATCGCGCCGGGTGAAAAGGGGCACGGGTGAGGGGGGGAGGTTCCCCTTTTCTCCCCTATTTCCCTTGTAGTAAATATACGCACGAACGCTACTCTACGTACGTCGATTCAGTGTTTCAGCCGTGTTACTTATAGTATACTTCAAGGTTATATAAATCAAAAGGCAATTTCCGTTGATTTTGCTTTATTTGTCAATTTCTCTATTTCGATTACAATAAATTTTTGTCACGTAAATTTTTCGCTTTTTTCGACTCCTCTCATCTGACTGGATGTTACAAGCAATATATTCATGTCAAAATTCACAAAAAAATGTTCTCACAGTCGATTAAAACATATCAATGTAAATAAAAACTTAATAATTTCAAAATTTTCATAAAATACATCTAAAATATTTTGATTTAGTATCGTACAAAAACGCATATAAAGCGATATAATTTCAAATAAATGTATATGTTTCGCATGATTTCAGTTATAAAAAACTCTTACAAATTCAAAATATCACAGATGAGTTGATAAAATTCAAAACAATTTTATATACAACTACATTTTTAAAATCTAAGTACACCAGTTAAAAAATCAATTAGGGAAAACATGCTTTACCCGGGTTGCTTATAGTAATTTCGATTTGTATAAAAGGTGTGTAAAAAACCACTCAATTTTATGATTTTTCGAGATCGATCCAGGACAACGACAGGAGATTTTAATTATTTAAACCCAAAGTTAGGAATTGTGCGCCTGGTCGGCTCCCGCAGCTGGAACAGCTTTCGCGAGGTATGAGAATGACCTTGCATTGGGCAATCCAGCCAGGACGCAAGCGCTAAGGGCGGATCTGGTTAGATTCATTGGAGCCGCGTCGTACCACTCCATTGTATCGGCGTCATAGCACTCCACGTGCGGAATTGTGGTGGAACCTTGGAGAAACAAAAACTATTGACAACCCTGCATACTCTGCGACTCTCAATAGCGATTGGGTTTTTTTTTTAGAACAGGGGGCAAACGGACAGGAGGCTCACCTGTTGTTTCGTGATATTGCCGCCTGGACACTGGTCATATTAATACCAGAGGGTGCGTTTTTGGCCTCGTAAGAATTGGTACGCTCCTTTATTAAAAGACCTACTACGTCGTATTGGTTCGGAAATATTTCAGTGGGCAGCTGGTTCCACATAGTGGTGGTGCGCGGCAAAAACAGCTTTAAAAAACGTGTAGTTGCGGAACGACGGACGTCGAGGTGATACGGGTGGAATTTCGTATTCTGCCTCGACACCCGATGATGAAACTCAGCTGCAGGTATTTATCCGAATAATAAGCGATTTCCACTTGAATATTAAGTTTTGTTGCCCGCGATTCCAAACTTACGACATCTATGCATTTTGACAGAACTACATCGAAATTGCATACAAAAACGTCGTGATCATACCGATTGAAAGTTACAGAGTACAAGCACTGCAGGCGTGATGTAAAGTTAAGAGAAAAATATAAATAATAATAATGACAAAGTCATTATTGGTTTAAGAGGTACACAGAGTAATTAATTAATGGTTACTTAAGCCATTTAATAAAGTTTCCAATGAATTCAAAAAAGGCTTCACTGTGCATTAAATACCCGAGATGGTTCAATCTATATAATTTATCTAATATTATTAATTATATGGACGAATCTGAGATTAATGCGATGAATATACGTATATTCATAAATAAATCTTAACCCAAAAATTAAACACAGATTTATTTATTTTATTAAGATGGCCACCAGTTTATATATAAATTACAAAACTAAATATATATAATAAAACATTGCCATGATCGGCCTATCCCTAGTGAAATATAATACTTATAAAATATATTGGTGTGTCTGTGAGTAGGTTTGTGTGTGCACGTGTTTAAGTGTTGATAGAGTACCTATGTGTTAATATTGGCTTAATATATTGTGTTATAGGAGGCCTTTATTTTCTTTAAATTGTTAAATTAAAACTCTTAAATATTGGTTAGTCTGTGTTTGTGTGTTGAGTATTATGTTTACTATGTTTGAGTATTACGTAATATATTATTTTATAGTTTACTTTTCTTAATATTGTTAAAAATATAGTTGCGATTTATTAATGATTTGACTTTTGGAAAAATGGTTTAATTAGATATCATACCATTAAATCCTCCGATAACAAATATCATATCATCGAGCAGAACTGTCGCAAAATTGCTTCTGGCGCTGAACATTTCCGTTACTTCCTGCCATTCACCACCACGTTGGGGGCAAAACCTTTCACCTGACAAATATTAATATTTTATGAAGTGAACTGGACGATTCTTAATTCTGTGGTCGTATTTTCGAGCCCCGTTTGCATATCGACTTTTCTATGTAGGTACATATGTACATAATACAGAAGATTCCGAACAGAAATCCAAGGCTATAAAACTAAGGATTTTACCTCCGTAAGTGATTTTAAAGATTAATACATTCATAGATTTTCAGACAGTGTTTTGTTCTATTTAAATATACAAGGACATTTTAAGACATTTTTGAAAATAATTTTTGACAAAAATATATAATATAACAAAGATTCAAAGAAAAGCCACGAATATGGTCAAAGCACTTAGGAATAACCCTTATAATTAGCATCTCAACGCACTTGATCTTAAGCCGAAATTACATTATGAAATTTATTGAAACTAATTTCCCCATAATATCGCGCAGAGCACGAAACTCAGTTGCATTTATGAAATTAATGCATGCATTACAAAAATATTAAATCACACGTTAAAACTATTGGTAAAACTAATGTCACGAAATTAATTTCATGCCACTAATTTCGTAATGTAATTCCGGCTTTACTGATTTAGGAAGTAGGCGAGAGAGAAAATCTCATTGAAACCTATAAAATCCTTACTGGCCACTATGTTTCAGGAATTGAGAAACTCTTTATTTTAAGTGACAACACACATTTGGTTGGTAGTTCTTTTAAACTGAAGACCACTTAATACAATACAAATTCCCTAAAAAGAACTTTCTCGCAAACCGAGTAGTTGCAGATTGGAATAGGCTTCCGGAAAGTGTTATCAGTGCACCCTCTTTGAACTCCTAAAAATATTGGTCGGATAATTTCTCCAAATCCGCAAATACGCGCGCATCAGCTTTCTGAATCTGTTTCATGATCAATTTTAAATCTAATAGGCAAGCAGGTGATCGGCCTCCAGTGCCTGACACACGCCTTTCCTCACGATGTTTTCCTTCACCGTTCGAGCAAATGTTAAATGCGCACATAAAAAGAAAATCCATTGGTGCACAGCCGGGGATCGAACCTACGACCTCAGGTATGAGAGTCGCACGCTGAATTCATTGGGCCAACACTGCTCTATGCTAATGCATATTTATCTAAATAATAACAAATATATTTCCTATTGAAGAAAATAAGTGCAGTAGACTTTCTGTCTCGTTCAGACTTCTACTTTGAGAACTTTCAATTTTAAATTGTTTTTCTAAAATTCCTACAAGAATAAATGATACTTGATAAATCAATCTTACCAGTATTGAGCCGGCTGTATCCATTAAACCCACCAAGAGCATACAACGAGTCCCTATACGCAATAAGACTGACACCGGACCGAGGACTTTGCATCGATCGGATAAAACTCCATTGTTTCGTTTCAGGATCGAAGACTTCCGCCGAACTCAGCACTTCTTGTCCATTAAAACCCCCAACGATATAAATCTTAAAAAAATGTTGTATTATTTAAAAGAGAGCTTGCTCTTCCCTCTATGATCGGCAACGCATCTACTAGAAGGGGTGTTTTTTATGTCTGTCCCGTAAATTCGTTTGCCCCCTACCTTATACAAAAGGGCATTTTTATTAATGATTTTTATATAACAGGCGGCAAACGGGCAGGAGCGTCATCTGATGTTAAGTGGTACCGCCGCCCATGGACACTCACATTGCCAGGAAGCTCGCAAGTACATTGCCGGCCTTTAAAAGAAGAAATAAATTTATATATTGTAGTTTTTTGTAAAAACATCCCCCTATATTGTTTTTTCAAATCGTTGATTGAGGTAATACCTACATAAATGATTATAGAAATTAATAATTTGTTACAAACATGAATTTCTTTTAGTTTAATTATTGTATTAGTAATTAGTTTTCCATTGCATTGGTATTCATTTACTATAAAAAATATTACACCAAATTTTTTACTTATTCAAAACGAAATAAAATATCATGTTGCATTCTTCACGATAATTCGCTAAAGTTTTTATTAATATATGTACCTACTTTCGTAAAAGAAATACAAGCTTTATTAAGGTAAGAAGTATTAGATTCAAAGAAGTTAATTCTCATTAAAATATACATATCTATTGCATGAGAAAAAATAGTAAAAAATATATAAAGACGTCGTACGAGTAACCAGAGAAAAAATATAAAACCTCCTTTAAAATTTCACCTGTTTTGACTTAATAGAAATTGCAAGTTCTGCGGTCGTAATTTTTTAGACATGGATTCGTGTAAACAAGTACCTTTCCGCCTAGAGATGCAGCGCTAGCATCCGACCGCTGTTTATTCATAGACGTGGTCATTTCCCATTGATTTTTATCGGGATAATAACGCTCTACCGACGACATCCGACTTCTTCCATTATAGCCCCCTAGAGCGTAGATAAGAGCATCTAGAAAGGTAAAATGATATTCTATAACAGCACGAACCGACTAAAGACGACGAAGACTATAGGTAGATACGTGTGTTTTGTTTCAAGCGACTATACTCAACAAAGCTTTCTATACATTTGACGATTATTTAAATGATCCTAATCTTAGGGATTGATGTGCTCCAGTTCAAATATTTATGGCTGCTCTGCCTTACAAATAATTTGTAGGACTCAAAACTTGGCGATTAAACTCTTTTTAAGGAGAGGGAGAGTGGAGAGTTTCTTGCCAGTTCTTCTTGCCCGCACTACGCCTTCGACATAGTAAATGTAAATTTAGAATCAATTTAACATCTTTTCTGTTGACGTTTCTAAGTGTATTTGGTTACCTATATGAATAAAGTTACTTTGAGTTTACTTATTATTAAGAAAAAAGTTTAACACTGCGAACAAGTGTTAGGTAAAAAAAGTTTTAACGGGTATAAACAGGACCTTTATAGCAATCGTGTCGGGTACACTGGAATCTCGCTCACTAATAATGTTATAAATACGCGTTGATTTTCGTTAAAGAAGTTTTACTTAATTTAATTATAAATGTGTGCTCTCGTGTTAAGGTTAGGTTATTAGATATTTTTTTAACCTACTGAGTAAACTATAAATGAAGGAAATTACAATAGAATATTAAGTATATTAGAGTAAAACTATTTAATAGCTTAAGTCGTGGAAATATTAGAAGGCAAATTGGAAAAACCAGCGAAACTAATCTCTAATATAGTTGATTAAACGTTTGAATTATAATTAAGCGAAAATAAAGGGTAAAATTAATTCATATTTGTCTTTTAAATTCCAGTAAAGTTGCCAGATATAAAAGTTTAAGCTAACCATGAACAACAACGCTGACGTAACATCTCGCTTGGTACATGCAGGCCCGTTCGTGCCAAGTATTGGTAACTGGATCATAACAACGCACAGTATTGAAATGGTCACTGCCATCAAATCCACCAATCATGTATATTAAATTGTTAAGGGCACACAGACCGTGGTAGGCGCGAGGTGACAAATCCATGTGTATCGAAAGGAACCATCTGTCGGCCCTGTGAAGAGTATTAATTGCAGCGTAAACATCCATTCATAACTCTACTATTGTCCTTACTCCTTCGAAAGTATGTTAAAAATTTTCGTGTGAACCTCACTCGATAAATCTTCATAAGTACATAGAACATACGGTATTTATATTCTAATGCTAATGCAAATGTTGATTATGGCTTAAGTTTACATTTATGGTAAATATTTAAAAAAAATGAACCTTGTATCATAAGTTTCTACAAAACTGGTGGGACTTCCAGCGCTCCAACCTCCAACGGCAAAAAGTATTTCGTATGGTATACGCGGTCTTGCCAAAGGATCATTAAGATCAGCTTCCGTTTCAGGCCTTGAATCTAACACTGTTAGAAATACAACTGCTGGATATAACGCTTCTTGGCATTTCTGAAGATAAAAAAATAATTGAACATCAAACCTCTAAGTCTCTAGCAGACATTAGAAACAATACACATACCTCATCATCAACGACCGGTTGCCACTGTAAAATTTTCGTTTTAAAATATTTATAACTGATATGTCCATATCGCACACACGTTAACAACGAAGGCAAATACTTTCTTCTATTATCTAAATCGTGCTCAACCCATGTTTTGATTGCTTGAAATACAACTTCCTCGTTTCGAACGTTTAGTTCATCATCACGTAAAACATCTTCCAATTCTTCGTTTGATAATGATTTAAACTCACTACATTCTTTCAAAACTTTAGAAAATTGCTGTCTTATGTAAAGCTTTCCCTTTTTTTCTAAATCATTACAAAAATAACATCTAGCAAACTTAAATATTCCGAGGCAGTTGTGAGGCTGTAACTCTTTTAAAAGGTATTGACAGCATAACTGTACAATACCAACTACATCAAATTGATCAGCATATGGTAAAAGGTATTGGACGTTATCACCCGACACTGTACATGTACCCGTATATGCGTAATCTAATATGAGACTCATATAGTAACTCGGTACATCTACAAATATTTCCTTTTCTTCTGGTTCTCCCTTCTTCAGAGAATTTATAAAGAGGACTTTAAAATAAGGACTCACAGCAGAAAGAATAGCTCGATGTACTCGAATTGATTTCATGTCTCGGCACACTATTGTGCCATCGCAAAGTTGGCCGTTCAACCTTAGCTCGTTCCAAATTGAAGGAAACTCTACAACTGAATAATTTTCTGGCAGACATACACATTTTCGTTTACGGATAACTGTTCGTTTTTTTGTAAGTCTGGGCTTTGTAGATAAAGTACGAACGAAATTTTTATTTTTTGATAATTTTCGATGTTTCGAATTAAATTCCATCCCTTTCGAAAAAACGGCGGTCGAAACTGTTTATTTGTCGCGATGACAAATTAGCGACATTTACAATTCTTTTGTTTTTAATTTAAATAAAAGTTATTCCAATTTAAAGAAAATGCCAGTTATTTTTCTTCTATAGTCATTGGGTATAAGGCAAAATGGCAACATCGTTATTTGAATGCGAATGAAACGACAGCTGTCATAACAAGGACTGACAGAAGTCAAAGTTTGTTATTATCTGTAGTCCCTCTTTTCTTTCCGGTTGTCAACATGGTGGGTTTCGTCTGACGAAAAATATTTTTATCAATAAAAATCCCTGTAATTCTTTAATGAAGTGAATTGTTTAAGTGATATTATGGTTAGAGAGTGATATAAAGATGTGTTATCTTATATATTTCAGGGTGTCGACATCAACCATAAACACGATAGGAAAGTACGGCGCACGGAAGTTAAATCTAAGGATGTATACCTTAGATTGCTTGTTAAGGTATGAGTTAAACACGATTAACCAAATTTTCTTTGACTTATTGTTTCCTAACTCTTCATTTATATGGTAAACACATTCCTAACCTATACATTGTTTTCAGCTGTACAGATACTTGGCAAGACGTACTGATGCTAAGTTCAACCAGATTATATTGCGGCGGTTATTCATGAGCCGTATTAACCGTGCTCCTATCTCTTTGTCACGTCTTGTTCGCCACATGAAGAAGCCTACACGCGAAGGTCTGATCGCTGTGGTTGTTGGCACTGTTACCAACGATGTGAGGCTTTACACTGTTCCCAAACTGACTGTTGCTGCTCTCCATGTGACAGAGAAGGCCCGTGCCCGTATTTTGGCCGCTGGAGGTATGTTCTTTTATTATTAGAAGTTACCTACTTACTAAATACTTTATATTATTTTTCTTTGTTTACTTCAATATTAACATTAAATTCTGATAAATTCCATAATTGATTATCTCAACACTATCAAAATTATGAAATTATATATATTTTGGTTATTTATATGTATAAAGATCATTTGCAAGGAGTTGTTTGATAATCCTTATTTAACCCCTATACTATTCATTTCATTTTAGTAGTTTATGTATGATATCTTGACAGTTTTAAAACCACCTGGTTGGTCTAGACTATAAGATGACCAACATAATTTATTAAAAATCATGTATATTTCTTATGATAATAATTAAAAATAGATTAGTACAATATTAAATTAAAAAATTCTATGTGATCAATTATATTATTCAGAAATATAAATAACATTTTTATTATAAATCACAAAAATGTTTTATATCACAATTCTTAGTTACATTTAAAGTGTATTTGCAAATGTATCACTATGTATATTATTCTATTACATCTTTATTTAAAAAGCAAAATGAAAGTGTTTATTTGCCATTGAATTAGGTACTGTGGCAAATTTTATAACCAAACTAATCTTTCAGGAGAAATTCTAACCTTCGACCAACTAGCGCTCCGTGCACCCACTGGCCGCAAGACAGTGCTAGTCCAAGGCCGCAGGAATGCTCGTGAAGCTGTTCGTCACTTTGGCCCAGCACCTGGTGCTCCACGCTCACACACCAAGCCCTATGTTAGATCAAAGGGTCTTGAACGCGCTAGACCTCATCGTCGTTCTAACAAGTAATCTTAATATAAGGACTACTATCTATATCTTTGTTTTATTTTATTCACCTTTATTTAGTTTTTAATGTAATATAATAGTAAATTAGCTTTTGGACTAACGTCCTCTTTATTCTGACTATAATTATTTGATTATAAACATGTGATTGAATATTGCTTATAAATTTATAATATCACAGAAGTAGTTTGTCTATTCACAAAATGCTACCATCCAATAGTTAACTAAGATTTCATCATGTTGAGATACCCCTAATATCTTCTTTAAATTTTTAACAGCATCTGCATTTTGACCAGATGCTAGAATTGATAATTTTATAGTTTTTGCAATCCTGAAACAAATCTTGGTTGTAAAAAGGAGTCATTATGTTTTTAAATTCAAATCAATATTGGAAAGTAAAATGATAAATTACCCTAGCCATTCCAGTTGTAATGATTTTAAATGCTGGACCAAAACAGCATCACAGAATTTATCATTATTCATAGCATTCAATATTTTGTTCATAAGTGTTGGATCTGCAAATGTATAAACCTTAAAAATTATGCCAAATCAAATTTATAGTTTCAAGAAGCATTTAAGTTTTGTGAACATAATATGTACTTACTTTTGAAAGGAAGGTTATTCCAATTGCAATGAAATATATTTTGACATTCTTCTAAAACACACACATTCAATTGACTGTTGCTTTTACTTATTTCAATAGGTATGTTTCCTTTTGGCAGTAGGGATTTTAAAGCTTCTAATATAGCTGTTGAATTATTTTGTTCTAGAGAGATAACAATCTGTAAGGAGATTCAAAAATTTAGTCTGTCTCGATTTATTTTCCAAAGTGGTCTCCAGACCACAGTTGGAGTACTCCAGTACTCTATGAATTTTCTAAGGCAACCTAGAATTTCAAATTTGATCCTGGGATGGGCAAGCACCCTAATATATCAAACCTAACCTTGCAGATCAAGATAAAAGGGTAGGCCTGGCCTGTCATAATTATTTTATAATTTTATATACATACTTACTTTTACACCAGTTAATAAACAATATAAGACTTTTATAAACACATCTTTGGCCAATACATTTGCTAGATTCCTTATAGACAATTTCTCATTGCTATCTACAAGGCATGTATCTTCAAAAATACTTCTCCTAGTTGTTTCTGGTTGTAGCTTATTTAGTAATTCCCGACTTGTGTAAAGGGTCTCTGAATAAATTAAGGCTCCAGTTTTCAACATCCATGTAAAATGTGTATGGAGTCTTTTAAATATGTCAGTCTCATCTGAAAGCATTGACCATACCATACCGTTATTACATTACTTAAAGTTTTTGTAGTTAATCATTAATTTTAGTAAAAAATTCTATTATTTTATATATCATATAGTTACATTTTTCTTCTGCATTATAGCAATCATATAGTAATCGCAATTTCGAATTGATGTCATCAGGTAAAGGAAAGTATTTTTATTAACTTAATGTTAAAGTGGATAGATTTATCTCCCTAAGTAACTTAGGACTTCAGTTTTGATTTCTTTATAGTGAATATTTAAGTAATATCCACTCACTAGTCAGTTGCATTAAAGGTCGAGACTGCCCAAATTCATGTCTTCCAGTTTTTAATCTCAAGGCTCTTTGTGAACATATGCTTTGTTCATTATTGTAAACAGTTTCAGCTAGCTGTTGCAATTCGTTTGATATTTTCTGGAAGGAGATAAAAATAACACTTGCTTTTGTAGATTAGGTTTACATATATAGGTAAAAGTTAAAAGGAACCTAAAAAAAATTTTTAAGTGCTCAAATTTTACAATTTTATTCTTTCAAACTGTCACTTTTACAAAATACTTATGTGCAGATTAAAGACTTACAGATTAAATAAAAATTTACCTTCATGTGCTCTGATAAGACTGGTGTTAAATTCAGTAAAAACATTTTATCTTTCATAAGGACAACGATTGAAAATAACCTTTTCAAACCTCTCGCCCGAGTGTCTTTCATGTGAAACATGTGGCTCAACACATGCCCTTGGGTTTCACTGAAATATACAATTCCACTGTATTTATCCCAGCTTACCTAAAAATAATTTTAAAAGACAAAGATATATATTACTCCTAAATTTGATTAAGACTGGTTGATGTCATAAGGAACTTAAAGCTTTACCCATAGTTTCCATTATGCATTACAAAATTTTATTCAGGTTTACTTTATAATAGCTTTGTAAAATATATATAAATAATATTGATATTTCCTTACTTCGCAAGTGATACTTCTTAAAGCCGCTTGTCGAAGAAACGCAGTTACATCATCATTTGGCACTGATTCCCTGCTGCAGTACATAATTCCATTATCATCTTTAGTAACTAATACTGTGTCGGGACCAAGAGAAGTACAACCACTGCATTCTACTGGACCCTTTGATGATTCTGTGGTGTGTTGTTCTTCGTCAGTGGTAAAAGTACAAAACAGCGGCCTGGGTCCATGGGCTTCACAGAAGTGACACAAACCAATAATAGCATTCATTATCTTTCAATAAAAGTTATTAATAGTATGCACAAAACCATGTCAACGACCTATTATTTATAAATATTGATTAATTCAGGTCTAAGTAGATGTTTTGTTATATTTTTTATTTGATATATCAGCTGATTTTATAGTGCAGTAACTGCTGACATTGACATATGTCATTATTTTTTTTTTGGAGTTTATGGCCTGGTATCTAGACCTAGTCATTATTATTAATGAAATGAATCCACAGATATTTAATATATTATGAACACTACTATGTGCTGATGCGCCTAACTGTTAGTTCTAAAGGAATCTCATATCGTTAATTTTTTATGTCTTTAGTATTAATGAACATGAAGTATATTAGTTATTTGTATTTGTTTGTTATACATCAAGTTCTTAAGATAGGAAAATAGGTAACTTTGACGCAACTCCGGCAGCAAAAATCACTTGGATTCTAATCAAACCCCCGAGACACCTACATAAACAGTATGATCAAATTCGAGCGACGTAATTCTAAATCCAACCCGGAAAATATGTCATGAAAGAATAAATCAATCGTAATTTATTTTAAGTACTAATTTAGTATATATCATACAAATAAATTAAAACCTCATTCAGAACTAAAAAATGATTTTTAGTTATGAATGTCTTTATATTTTCACAACATTTTCGCCAATCCCTTGCACCAATTTGTGAGATCTTTTATTTTGAGTCACTTGCAGGTCTATTTACATTTTTATCAGCAACATTATACCCCAAACTATTTCTATGAGATTCAATGTGCAATGATAAGGTGGAGTCTTGAAACTTCGTGACCGAACGATTTTACTTTTACTTCATCTATCTCATATAAGGGCGCAGACATGTTTTGTTTCACAACTTCAACATGAACAGGGAATGTTAGTCTCGTATAAATAAATCACATCCAACTTATGCTCTTCAGCTTCGCGGTTTTCCTATATACGCTTCAAAAACGTGTATCTTTGTAGTTTTATGTCATCTCTCTCCATCAAAATTTTCCTTTTTAATTGGCATTTAACATATTCAAAACCAATCTCCTTAAGTATAAGTCTGCAAAAAATAAAAACATCATCATCATCTTCAGTCTATATACATCCCACTGCACTCCCCTCTCCTCTTTTTGCCAGGTGTGGAAAACACATCATCTTGAACAAATATCCTTGCCTGCGCAGAAGCCATTTTTAGGTATCACTGGGAGGGGAGGCGGTGGTGCGCGGCAGCGGGAGAGTGACGTGTCGATCGCGTGATTGGTAAATCAGTTGACGTTTGTGTCCCGCATTGCGCAAACTTTCCCCAACTCTCTTGTTTAATGTTCAAGATGTTTGCCGGTATCTGTACTTCGATTCGACGGATGAAAATATTTTTTTATATTTTTGTTTCATGCCATGAGATTCCAGTAGACTAGATTCACTCTATACTACTTCATTTCCGTAAAATACTAATACTCTCATGTATTCATACTCAAACATAATAAATAAAGAAATAAAATTTACGAAAGGTCGTAAAATACAGGGTACAAACCCTGAAATTTCTTATGGTATCAAATGGACGAAAGCAAAGATAAAAATTGTCCCGTTTACCTTGCAATATTATTAATACTAATACTTTCTCATTTTAGCTGTGAAAGGCTTTCGACAGTGAATACTTCGTGATCTTATCGTTTACAGACGCACTCAACATAATCTCGCTATTCTATTTCGATTGTAAGCTTAATGCTTTTAAAATAAACATCTACTTGTTTACTATTAAATTATTTTTTTAACTTAACTGAGTAGTAGTTTTTATTAATCCAATACAATATTAAGTAGGTTGTGATCAGGCTTCATGAACCCGAATTGTTTTTCCGAAAATCCAAACCCTGGACCTCCGCTCCTACCCCACATAGTTATTTATACATGTTTCTAATATTGCAAAATTATTTTTTCATTTTGATTACATCATGTCAAGTGAACTAAAAATACGCGCACTATATCTAGAGACTGTTATAAAACTATACACCTTATATATCATACTGTAATCAAAACAAAAATTTTTCAATAACTCATTTATTGACTGTACATTGGTTTACAGCTGATACTGGAATATCACTTAGCACAGTTACGATACCACTACAATATTATGCCTGTGCTTCATTCAACAATAAATTACATATCACGCACCAACAGTTCGGTAACCAAGGAAATAAACGCCAGATTATAAAATAAATTATTTAATATTATAAACATAATGTAATGGTACTATTGAAAAAAATTGTCTAAAAGGATAGATACATATAGCTCTACATTTTATTTCTTAGATACTGGTTTATAGGCTAGTTTGCGTGATTTGAGTACGGACCACTTGTGTCTCTTGTAGTAGTAGACTACGGCCGTGAGCATGGAGAACATGCCGATGGCTTTGATGGTCATCAGGCGACGGTCATCTAACTCTGGCTCGGCACACCACCTGAGGAAGGTGGAAATGTCCTTGGCCAGCTGGGAGGCTGTGGCCGGGGTTCCATCTGTGTATTCAGCGGCCTAACAAAAAATATTCTATTAACTAATTAATTCTTAAAAAGAATAAGATACAGTTTTGTTACCACATTTTATTTTTCACAAATTCGTTAGTTGTTCAGTACGAAATACACAACTGTCTCCAAGTTATGTATGTTTAATTTTATAATTCAAACTTTATATAAAGTTATAATATATATATTAATTAACTAAAAATACTTTCGACGGCTCATTGGTCTAGTGGGTAGTACCCCTGACTGCGAATCCATGGGTCCCGGGTTCGATCCCCGGCTGAGACAAACATCGATGTGATGAGCATTTGGTGTTTAAATATGTATTTATATATCTATTTATCTATAATATCTATGTATAATGTATATACGTTGCCTAGTACCCATAACACAAGCTTCACCAGCTTAGCATGGGACTCGGTCAATTGGTGTGAATTGTCCAATAAAAAAAAAATAAAAAAAAAAAACTTAGCATATTATAGGTTAATGTAAAAAAAAAATTTAAAGATTTAAGCCCTCATCATCTTACGAGTCACTTTCTTTGATGAGAATGAGAATGTAAATATCAAATTTATAAATTAAATTTAACATACCTCATCAAACAGAACTTGGGCCATAGAAATAGCTCCACCTGGGAAGTAGGGGTTGTAGCTCTGACCCTCTCGGAGTGGAATTCCAGCCGGTGGTTCCATGTAACCAGTAAGTAAAGCGAATATGTAGTCCTCACCACCGTGGCGGGCTGATGCTATCAATGATAGGTCCGGTGGGTAAGCACCTGGAAATTTAAAAGATAAATAACATCTGATTACAAACACACAAATTAATTTTGAGCTCTTTCTCCGTCACAAAAACAAGGTTGTGATGCTTAGACAAGATGTAACAAGAGGACAAAGCTATAAACTATATTTGAGAATAAAAAGTGTTAAATAAATGCAGTATATATATACATTTAGATGATTATCACTGATATGATGGCTAACATCTCAGTCAAACTGCGATTTTTGTAACAGAATCTACTACTTATTTATCAGAACCATTATTTTCAATCTAGCAAGATTACTTTACTTACTATGGAGCAAACATAGTGACTAATGTAGTTTAAGGAAAATGCCAACGATAAAATTACAATTATAGAAATATTATTTTTTAACAGTAAGTGTCCCTCATTTTTTAATAGAAACTATGGAGCAAATGGAGTAAAGCATGCTTTTCATTTCTGTTGATACTAATTACAATATTTAAAGAACTTATAATATTTTTTTTTCATCAATAACCTTTAATCGCTTTTAGTGAATTTTACCTGGGTAAATGAAAAGAGTTTGGTAATTTGACCTAGTACACACTGCTTGCAAGACAACACCAAAATAATGCAATATTATTAAACAATTACCGTTGTTGGCAGCCCTAGCAGCGTTTTCATTGGGATACGGCGATGGGAAATAGTCAGATAGTTTGCCCGGCCTTTCAAAGTAGTTTCCTTCATCATCCGGTCCGTCTTTAATCATTACCTGAAATTTTATTTATATCTTATCATTCTGTCCCTTTAATTTTCTGTGTAAGTAGGTATTATTCAGGCAAATTCTCGATGTATTAAGTCATGGAAGCTTAAGTTATTTCTATACCAAATTATGTTTTATACTGGAAATTAAAGAAAAGATTTATTCCATATCTACCACAACAGTGCATAGTTATATTTCCATAATTTCTCAATCATGGATGGCATTGTTGTAGTTTTATTAAATAAAACACATTAATTGTAAAACTCCTCCTTCACAATATTAAAAGATCTGTTAAAAAATATGTAGGAGTAAATACAAAAGTTAGTCCTGGTAAGTACATAATTTAATACACTTCCACAACTTACTTCAGCAGCCTCCGCTTTGGCCTCTGCTTCTGTGTGGGTCACATTGACCAAATTACGGTATGAGATGTACTGTAGTGAGTGGCATGCTTTGCACACCTGCTTGTACACTTCATATCCTCGACGTACGCTGTGAAAGTAATAATCCAATAATAACTTTACATAGCCTTGTGAATTAAAGACATTGGTTGACAGGAATCATTGATGCATTACATTTTTATCTTAAGGATAAGGAGATTCATACATAGACATTTTTTTTTGGGATTATTAGGACCAAAGGTAACCAAGTTTTATATATATTGTACTAGTTATTTATTAAAAAAAAAAAATATATGAAAAATATATGTAATTAGAGTCAAGTCAAATATATGTAAGTACAAGTAACAACCCATCATTAATTTAATCTTAATAGTAGTGAGCAGATCCTCCTTATTTACCAAACTGTAAAACCAAACAATATTCATACCTGGCATGGTCAAGAGACTTAAACCATCCATCATGGGCCCATGGCTGATGGTATGGGTGGGCCTCGGAACCTGTCGCCTGAACAGATTGCTCTAGAGCAAAAAGTAATGCTCCTACGCCTCCGCCAACTACACCTAATGTGGATAACCACTGTAATAAAAATACATATAACCAATTGGAAAAGGTTTAAGGAAATATAGAAACTGCCCTTGAAACCAATATTAACTAATTAAAGTTTGAAATATATTATAAACAAAGAATGTTTAACCTAGTATCTGCTACATTTATATTATTAATTTCAACTTAATAGATACATACACCTTAAAAAACCAAAATTTTTTCAAATAAAAACTTTAAAAATTATATTTAAAAAAAAAATGCTTTTTGTAATAAGAATGAGTGAAATTGGTATTTTAGGGACAATCATTTCCAGATACATGATATTTATTTCCTTTACTTATCAAAGAAAAAATCCAATAAGAATTATGTGGGAGTAGGAAAAGTGTTTACGTACCAATTTTCTACTTTTAGTCCATCCTTGAGCACTAGTGGACAGCTGATACACCTGAAAGGGATGATGTCCATTAGTTTTGAAAACTTGTTACATAATGTTATGAAGGTTACCTCTGTTCCATTTATTAAAAGGGCATTTTGCAACGATCTTCAGACAAACTAACTATGCGATCACGATACACCAAGAGATACTGCGGTGAAGAGTAATCCCCAATTAACGTTAAATACACGGGCATCCGAGATCGTTCTGCATAATTTTTGGTTTCACTTTTGACACACCCGGATCCCATAAAACGGTATTTGTCGCAATTTTAGCACCAAATAGAACAACTACAGCTATTGTTTTAGTACCTGGGGTGTAACTATGCCATAATTTTTCAAAAGTCGTGCCCCACAAATTCTGCCTACGGCGGCCGCCATGATATTAAACGTCGTAATGAAAGACGATTCAACTGACAACTATTACCGCATTGATGATTTTTTTGACAATTACATCTCATAGACTAGTTTAAAGTATCTTACACACAATCGTCTGTAACTGATATCAATAATAATTATACATAGTTCAATTAAAATCTGTCTGGGCGAAAAATCTACATCAAGTATACTTGAAGAATGGGAGATACTAATTACTATCCTACTCTACCAAAATTCGTCCGTAATCCATGAATTTAGTTTTTTGCGATTATACCGCTTGACATAATCGCTGTGTTTTATAGATGATTAATAGATTAGTAAACTCGTATAAGTATATGAAAAAAATATATTATTGTTACAATAAAAATTCTCTGTCATCAGTCATAGGAGTTGGAAAGATCAGAATATGAATACATAAATAAAAATTTGTTGTTTGGCTTTATTTTTCCTCACTTTTCCTTCCAAATTACTAGCACTCTACTTGTATTATTAATTTACGCTTGGCCCTAAAATCTTGTCATAATCTATGCTTACAAGTACATTATGAGTTTGAGTTTGGCCTAAAGGTCTAGATACCAGGCCATAAACTCCAAAAAAAAAAAAAAAAATATGAGTTTGAGTTGATATTGACATTTACTCTATGATTGACATTTGACTGTTGGCTAATCAAAACATGTTATTTTTAATCGTAATGCCTAATGGTCATATACCTACGATCAATTTTGATTGAGCATTTGGGTTTTGGTTATCTTATTGCATTTTTAAACTATTTGTTATTAATAAAATAACTTGTATAAACAGACACGATGTATTTGTTCTTGTAGATGCAAACAGTTATTTGTAAAAAAGTTTGTAGTTTAGTAGTTTCATCCTTCTTTAAAAGGTAGGACCGGCGTTTTTCTAGAATACAAATATAACGTCAGAAAATTTCACCATAAATTAATCTATACAAATTTTCCCCTAGGTTTCACAGTTTTAAAAGCATTAAAATGCAAGTGTTTACTCAGAAGCGCAATCCCCTCACTGGTGGTACAGAATGGGATGTTCAACACGATGATTACGATTATCACCAAGAAATAGCGAGGTCGGCTTTTGCAGATATGCTTCACGATACTGAAAGAAATAAAAAGTATTATAGAGCATTACAACTTGCTATAGAGAAGATGCACAATGATGGAAAAAAGGCGAATGTGTTAGATATAGGTTAATTTGTATAATTTATTCTATGTACGTAGTCTGTTTCATCCTCAACTAAACTCAACTGCATAATAAAAAAATAATCTCAATTACAGGAACTGGTACTGGGCTCCTCTCAATAATGGCAGCAAAATGTGGTGCAGATACTATCACAGCCTGTGAAGCATTTAAACCAATGGCAGAGTGTTGCCTTAAGATATTAGAAAGAAATGGAGTTTCACATAAAATTAAAGTAATACCTAAAAGATCTACTGACCTAACAGTAGGTGAAGACGGTGATATGAATCAAAAGGCGAATATATTGGTCACAGAAGTTTTTGACACTGAATTAATTGGTGAAGGTATGTATTTCTATCCCAAAGAAAATAATTTTTCCCGATTTTTTGTAGCATTTTTTTATTTTCTACTTGCTGATATATATGCTATATGATGTTACTTTATATTAGTGAAAGAATTTTGAAAAATTGAATATGGCGTGAATATAGGTGATATTGATAATATGTGTTATGAACGATTGTAAATAAAGATATATTACTTTAGTTGATTGATTTAAATTTTACAGGAGCTCTATCGACATTTGACCATGCACATAAAAATCTATTAGAAGAGGATTGTATTGTGGTACCAGACTCTGCTGTGATATATGCTCAAGTGGTTGAGTGCCCAACACTTCAGAAGTGGAATAAACTGAATGATATAGCAGATGATGATTTAGAGATTATGCTGAGAGCTCCAAGTAAGGTAAGCTTCCGTTATAGCTATTAAAGTTAAACTTATTGACACATAATATTATATTAATTCTGTCTTGTAACGCGACAGACTCGCATCGCAACCATTACAAATCTGTTCATGTCGATTTTACTAATCCGGCACAAAAATTTCTTATGCTAATACAGCTAAATACTTGGGCATGACCTTAGATGCCAAATTGCATTAGAAAGGACATGTGAAAAAGAAAAGAGATAAACCTAGTGTAGTAAATATAAGTGCAAGTGCGGTATCACACACGAAAATATTGTCAAAACATTATAGAACACTAAGACTGTTTTTTTTTTTTTTTTTTTTTTTTAATGGCTTTTATTTGTGCCAACTGGGCACAAGGTACTTCGCCAGTGTCGTGTAGATGGAGAAGGCACGATGGAGATTGATCGGTGAAAATAATAATTAAGTTAATTTTGAATATGCACCTAAACAAAAACAAAATAGTTGCAATTCGATTGTTAGTTTTAAGACGGCACAGACAACACAAATATGAGTGAGTAATAATAACATTATTAAATACTGTTTCCTATTTATAATAATTTTTATATATATTACACTTTAATTTTATTGCTTTCTATATATTTACATAAAAATCTACAATATGGACTAAACACAAACATTAACAAACATTTAACACTTAAAGGACGGGGGACTTTACGGGGAAGAACGTCATAGAGAGGATAGGTTAGTTTGGGACAATTAAATAGAATGTGAGATACAGTGCCTTCATCCAAGCCACACTCACAGATAGAGTGATCCCTTATCCGGAGCTTGGCTAGATGAACAGGGGTGCAAGCATGACCAAGACGAAGACGTGAGATTGTGGATGTAATCCAGCGATTTGCATTCCGATAATAACAAAACCAGGGTTGTCTTGGTATGTTTGGTTGGATGGAAGCATAAAACTTACCCCTAACCGATTTGGAGTCATTCCAAAATGTCTTCCAGGTTCTGTCCAGATATGTCTTTGCAAGAGTACAAAGATCCTGTGCTGAATTTTCAAAATGATCTAGAGAACCTGACTCAACAGCTGATTTGGCACATGAATCAGCAGTCTCGTTTCAGGGATACCTGAGTGGCTAGGAATCCAAACTAGTATGATAGACATTCCTTTTTGATTACAAGAGAGCAGAGTCTCCCTGATTTTTAGAATAATGGGAAAACGTGATTTGCTGCGAAATGGGTTTTCTTTAATGGACATTAAACAACTAAAAGAGTCTGTCAAAATAGCTGTCTGTTGTATGTTATGGGAGTGTGCAAACAGGATTGCTTCCAATAGAGCAGTGGCCTCTCCTGTGAACACTGAAGATTCGGGAGGACATTTAAATTTCAGGATAATTCTATACCGAGGAACCCAACAGGCAGCACCAACACAGCCGTCTGGAGACAGCTTTGATGCGTCAGTGTAAATAAGAAGATGATTTGGCCAATTTTTATTAATATAGCTTTGTAATTTGAGGTTGGTATCTGGGGCTCCTTTGATCAGACCAAGGTCTGTGATGATGGGAGGTTTGTATACCAGGGCTTTATAAGAAGTAGAATACAGGGGATTTATTGGAAAAGATATCAGGGGGTTAGGGAGGCTGGTGAACTTTAGATAACTATCTAGCAGATAGGAAGAGGAGTTTCGGGTACAAGGAGAATGTGATAGTTGGGATAATCGATGCCAAAGAGGGTGGGATGATAGCTGTAACATCTTGCTAACAAAGCGGTCACATAAATACTGCCGGCGGATGTGAAGAGGAGGATCAACACACTCAACCTGCAAAGCATTAGTGGGGGAGGATTTCATTGCACCTAGAATGATTCTAAGGCACCTATATTGAATTTTGTTTAGTTTCTCAGCAGCTGATTTGTTAAAGGGATCCAGAACAAACATACAGTAATCCATATGACTACGTACTAAGGCGTTATACAATAACTTTAAAGAATAGGGGTGAGCGCCCCACCAAACTCCCGCTACTGCTCTTAGTACGTTAATACCTTTTTCGCATTTTTTGATAATATGTTCAGAATGGGCAATTCCGTTCAGCCGGTTGTCTAAATAAATACCTAAAAATTTTGCTTTATCTGTCAGGTTGATTGCTTGATTTTCAAATGAAATGACTAGAGTGGGAACGTATCTCTTCCTTGTAAACACCACTGCCTGAGATTTGCCCACTGACAGGGACAAGCCATGGTCAGACAACCACTGGCCTAGATAATACAAAGCAGAATTGATACGACAGGATAATAATAATAATAATAATAATAATAATAAAGTCATTTAATCATTTAGGTACAATTTGTACTCTTATGCATGTCAACTCGGTTATCCTCATCTTACAGCGGCACTAGTGCCCACACATTCTCATCGTCTATAAATTCCCGAACAGTGTAATATCCTCCCTTTGTTAGGGTTTTCTTGATACAAAGCTTAAACTCATGAATCGGAAGTTTGGTTACACGGTCCGGAATCTTGTTAAATATGTGTATACATTTCCCCATAAATGAGTTAGCAGTTTTATGCAGTCTGAAAGCTGGAAAATCAAGTCTATTCCTACTTCTTGTATTTAAATTGTGACAGTCACTGCGCTTTATAAATTTATTAAGGTTTTTATAAACGTACATAATATTTTCATACACATATTGGGAGGCAACTGTTAAAATACCAATCTCTTTAAATAATTCTCTTAGCGAGTCACGCGGTTTTAATTTGTATATAGCGCGTATTGCTCTTTTTGTAAAACAAAAATATCTTGAATATCGGCCGCTGAGCCCCACAACAATATACCATATGTCATAACACTATGGAAGTAACTGAAGTATACAAGCCTCGCCGTTTCGACATCAGACAACCATCTAATCTTTCTTATCGCAAAAGCAGCCGAACTAAGTCTTGCCGATAGGTTTGTAATATGGGCCTTCCATTGCAAACGAGAATCTAGAGTGATCCCTAAAAAATACAGTTGAATCAACACATTGAATTATTTCCTCATTAATATTAATGTTTGTACTGACCTGTTTTACGTTAGGCAAAGAAAATCTAATACATTTTGTTTTATTAGAATTTAGTAACAAGTTATTATAAGTAAACCAACACATAACTCGGGAAAGGGTATCATTCACCTCGTCAAAATTTATTGCGTTCCTACTGATTTTAAAAATAAGAGATGTATCATCTGCAAATAATACCGTTTCACATAAGTTATTTACATAAAATGGCAGGTCATTTATGTAGACAAGAAAGAGCAACGGCCCCAATATCGACCCCTGAGGCACACCCATGAGAATAGGAGCTCCTAAAGACTCTGCTTTATTTATAACCACTTTTTGTAATCGGTCACTCAAGTATGAATTTATTATTTTTATTGAGTTTGCTGAGACGCCATAATACTGTAATTTTCCCAATAATGTTTTATGCTCTACACAGTCAAAAGCCTTGGACAGGTCACAGAAGACAGCTAAAGCATCCTGTTTATTTTCCCAGGCATCGAATATTTGCTTCATGAGCTCCACACCCGCATCCGTACTACATCTACCCTTAGTAAAACCGAATTGTCTATCATGAAATAGTTTATTTAATCTAAAATGTGAAAGCAATTGATTATGAATAATTTTTTCAAATATTTTACTTAGAGTTGGTAAAATTGATATAGGGCGGAAATTCGTGGGGTCCGATTTGTCTCCAGACTTAAATAAAGGAATAATTTTACTATATTTCATAAGATTGGGAAAAATCCCATCATCGATACATCTGTTAAAAATAATCGTTAGATAAGGAGAAATATTTCCAATTATTGGTGCTATTACAGCTACTGATATGCCCCATAGATCTTCTGTTTTCTTCTTATTCAACGATCTAAATGCCTTTACAATAGAATCCGTGTTAATTTTATGAAAATCGAATGCACTACTATTTTTATTTGTGCTAGACGTTAAAAGTGAAAGCGCGAATTGCGTAGATGAATTCAGTTTACTAGTGATTCTTGCAGGAATTTCAGAGAAAAAGGACTCCATAGCATTTACGACCGCTGCATCTTTTTTTATAATTTTGCCATTAATATTAATTTCAAAAGAGCTATCTTTAAATGAAGTTTTACCAGTTTCTTGATTAATAATGTTCCAAGTGGTCTTAATTTTATTGTCCGATTTTTTTATTTTATTACTCAAATAATTTGCCTTTGCTATATTACAAACTTTTTTAAATATTTTTGAATAATTTCTGACATAGTTTATAAGCGACTGCTCAGTAGAAATAGACTTTTTCATAATATAGATCATACAATTTTCTTCTACTAACGTAAATACCTGGTGTGGCCCAGTCACAGAATTTCATTTTAGAGTTTAAAGAAACAGTTTTTTGTTTAAATATGCTAGCAAATTCTATGTTTATTTGTTGACATAAATATTCGTATTGCTCATTAGCATCATTTGAATTTTTTAAGAAACCTAAGTTTATTCTTAATATTATTTTCAAAAACCTTTAAGCGTTTGTCCGTTATTGGCCTAAAAGTAATTTTTATGTCTTGTTTAACCCTATGGCGCTCAACAATGATTTTTTGTCCACTATGATCTGAATCCACCCAGTTAACAATACATTTTTCATATAAAACGCAATCAGAGAAAATGTTATCCAAGCAGGTAGCTGATAGGGGGGTAATCCTAGTTGGTTCAAAGAAAGAATATTGTAGATTGAACGACCTAAATAAATTAGTAAATCTACTTGTATATGTACTAGAAACTAAAATATTTAAATTAAAATCCCCACAGACAACCATCTTTTTGTTATTTTTACTTATAATATTAAGTACATTTTCCATAGAAGACTCAAACAGATCATAGCTTCCAGAAGGGGGTCTGTATACACACACAATTATAAATTGTTCAAATTCCACACAAGAAATTTCTATCGTTCGTTCAATGGAATGTTTTACTATGTCTAATCTTTCTTTATATTTGATATTGTTTTGTAACATTATTAATGACCCACCTCTAAT